GTAGGTACGACCATGAATTCTTTTCTCCACATGAATTCAGGGTGAATGGCATAGCCAAGGAATGAACCAGGGCTCGATGTTGGGTCGAAACGAAGTCCCTCTTTGTTCTTCTTTCTAGGACCATTCCAATAGTCAATAAGACAACCGAAAGGAATGAGAGGACCATCAAACCTCGATCCAAAACGTAATTCCCATGGTGATTTGTCTCTCCCCGTTGCAATGACATTCTGCATGAAGCACCAATGTCGGGCAGCATGTGGCCAGTGCCAATGATTCAGACCTGCCTGGAGCAGATTGACACGAGTTCCTTCGAGGACTGACCGGACTGCTCTCTCGGCTTGGGCGTTGGACTTGGATATGTAATCTCTACTTAAAACATGACGGCACTGAAGGATCTTCATTGCTGATATCAGCTCGGGTGCATTGTCACTGTAGAATACTCCTATCTTATCTTCATGTCCAACAAAGTGCTTGATTGCCAAGATGGCAGCATTGGTGGTTCGTCTGGCATTGGGGTAGACATACATAAATCCTGTCGCTATGTCCTTCACTACGAGTGCACTTTTCTCATCATCGATTCCCAACTCATCTTCATCTCTGGTGACAATGAAATCAGCAGTGATGTGGTCACCAAATTTCTCAGCTTTAACTTTGGTTGATCCGCCTACAGCTCTTGAGGGTGGCTTGAACATCTTAGCTCTGGTACATATGTCGCAAAAGGGATTCTTAGGGATGTGAGTCAGCATGTGTCGAATGGACCTGGCTTCTTCCTTCAATTCTTTCTCCCCAAGTGACCTTTTGTGAGCACCATCATCATGGACATTACTACTGCTACCCTTGGATCCTTCCATAGGCGGCTCAACCTCCCGGTCGGCATCAGGAACATCAACCTCCTCAGCCTCCAAGGGCTGGGGCTCCGGTAAGTCAACATTTATACCCATGGGGTCATCACCAATGATTTCAATGTCCCCATCGGGCTCCGGAGATTGTTGAGCTTCATCTGATGCCGGGGTGGCAATACTTGGTCTAGGCTGAGTTGATGGAGTGGAAATCGTCTTTGAACTGTTTGCAAAGTAGGGTACGTAATCTCTGACAACTAACTCAATGCGTTCCCCATTTGGTTTGACCATGTAAGGAGGTTCACCTTTGGATCCTCTCCATATGAAGTCGTAACCATCATCAATGCATCTCATCCCGACTGAAATGACAGGAGGTGAGCTTCGAACAAGATATGGGTCAATGGTCTTGCCTAATTTTGGAACAAATACTCTCCCTTGTTTCGATGACGAACTTTCACCATTGGCAGTAATCATGCGAATGGGATTGTTGGAGTAGTATCCATAGTCATCTGGCAACTCACTATCATTGACAAGATCTTGAGCGCTCCCCGTATCTGCAATTCAGTCAAGTTCGAGGTTGATCGCTCCCTTCACGTCTTCTCTACATTCCGCAGGGGTGGCTTTGATTCCCTTTGGGATACATTCATTGCAACCAAATCTGTGTCACATAAATAGGCACATTTGCACTCAATTCCCCGAAGACAATTGGAAACAGATCCTGCCAACATGGTACCGGTCAAAGCGGCATCATTTACAGCAAGTTGATCAACTTCAAATTGATGTCCCCATGGAAAGGTAACCTTATCCTTGGTGACTGCGTTTCCAATTGGCCTCAAGTTCCCTCGGACTTTCACATGAGATACGTCCGGTGAATCATCAAAACGAATCGATGGACAAAATACTCTTGGTTGAGGGATACAAAATGCCTGAGACACGGATGCAAGCATGGATGCAACAAGACAAACTGCGGCAGGAGACGGCTTAGATGAACTGGCCCCGGATCCTTTAGACTTCGGGGATTTCGGGCTCTTGGGGCTCTTAGAGCGGCTAGAGCTTCGGGATCCCTTCCTTTTCGGGTTCTTGGGATTCTTCTTTTTATTTTTGTTTTCGCTACTGGCCGAACGGGCAGGAGTAGCTTGTCTTGGTTTTCCCACTGAACCCTCATGAAGGAATTTGCAATCAGCTCCTCTATCGCAACGTCCCTGTTTCCAAAATTTGCAAATCTTCTTACCTTTCCCCTTTGGTCTGGGAGAACCAGAACGTTCATTTGAGCGACCTCTGGTTTTGCTGGGTTTACGACTTCTATCACGTGGCTTGGGGACTTCATGCTTGTAAGTACAGTTGTCCTTGCTACAGCCTCCCTTATTCCATGCCACACAATACCCCTTGGGGATGAATCCTGTCTTGCCCTCGACTGCGGGAGCGGAGGGACGACCGGAACCCGAAAGACCTTTGGCAACTCGATCACGATTTGCCTCCAACCTCTCACGGTCAAGGTGGCGTCGCACGGCAGAAACAAGGAAACTGTAGTTCCGTTTTTCGGTTCCTTCATCAGCTCTATGATACTCATTCATGTCATGTTGGATGGCCTTACAATTCTTCACTTGTTTGTAGAAGAGTGTCTCCAATACACTTACATCAGGAGTCTGGACGATACCAGCCAACACTTGATCCCAGTTCGAAATGAAAGACTTCAAATTCTCCCCACGCAATTGGACACTGAACAAAACCTGAAGGGCATAGGTTGCTCCGTGCTTGATGTTGGTACTAAAGTGGTCATGCAACATGAACAACACTTGTCTCCCTCTTACAATCCGTCCAGCGGTGGCTTCAGTCTCTTTGAAGGTATCTACCTTGCGGGCGAAGTCACCAGTGATAATATTGGTGAGTGCAGAAAGTAACTTTGCATCAAGTGTCGCAAACGGCGCAACCTTCCGGAGCGCTTCAAGGGTCTGTTCTTCTTTCCAAGAATCACTAATCCACTTGAAAGCACTGTCGGGATCGGTCGATGCTGCTACAACTGCTTCTCTAGTCTTAATTCTCCAATTGCGATAGCTTTCTGCCAATGGGAATGCTGGGATCTTGATGGTGTCAGCTTCCTTGACCTTGGGTTTGTCATCATGCCTTGGATCAATGTAACCACCTAGAAACTTGATCATCCTTCGCCTGAACTTCTCATCATCATCATCATCGGGATCATCATCACCGTCATCACCGCCGTCAGGAGGATTGGGACCAGCCCTACCTTTTCTGGGCGCCTTACGGTTCTTATCCCCTTCAGGTTTATCGATTGGATCAGGTGGTGATGGTGGTCCACCTCCCCCGTTCCCTCCGTTGCCATCTCCTCCATCCCCTGGATCGTCCCCATCAGGTGCATCATCGCCCCCCGGCTCGAAGTACTCCATTTCATCTGGGCCTAATTCGGTCGGGGCATATTGATTGGTCGGCGCAGGGGAATTGACACTATCCATGGGATGGTTATCTCGGCGGCGATTATTGGCCTCTCCTCCCGAAGGGCGTTCCTCAGCGGAAGACCTTGCAACATCCGACTCCTTCTTCACTTGCACTGGGACTCGATATGATGGATCATGATAAATAATCTCAATACCATCCTTTTCATAAGTATTGGCATCAGGTGAAGTAAAGTTGATCGGCGTTCTTGCAATTGGAGGTCGGGCTACATTGGTTGGAGGTGCTGCGGGTGCAGCCTTGCGGGTCGGTGGAACAAATTCGAAATTTGGAATCTCCGTTGATGCATGGGTTCCGGCTGTCATAGTCATGGCGGCAGTTTCGACAATAGGACTTGGACGAACCTGAGCAAATTGGGAATCGAGCATACTTTGCAGTTTCAGATTGTGTTGCATCTGGGCTTGTACCATGTGTTCAAGCTGTGTAATGCGCTCATTCTGAACCCTTCTCTCTTCCTCAGCTGCTCTCTTCAACTCAAGGATCTCTTGCTCCTTACTTGATAGTGATTGTCGATGGTTAGCATCAATGACACGTTGATATGCCTGAATTTTCTCATTCATCTGAGCTTCACGGAACCTTACGTGTTCATGCGCCTCATGCTGTAAGTTCTCTTTATATTGGGCACTCGCATTCAAAAGTTCTTGTTCTTTGATTCTGATAGCATCTAGGGCCCTCTGACTTTCAATGCCCTCGCGGACTCGCAAAGCTTCCTTCAACTCCTCAGTCTTGGCCGTGTGGATAGCTTCGGCCTGAGCTTCGGTATGAGCCAACACCTCACGATGGCGGAGCTCGGCCGCTGTTTCCACAAGGCTTGTCATCGCAGTATCATGTGAATGGACATGCAAATTCTGCTCGACAAAATTCACTTGAGGATTATCCATTTGCACATTGTGATGGAAAATGTTGTGAACATTCGTTTGGTTCAACTGGCGAGTCGGCGGCCCACCCTCCCGAGCGGCTTGGGGGACGTAACCACGGTGGTTGAAACCAATATGAGAAGGCACAATTGCGTTACTCATTGGTGGTAAGTGGCGTCGGTCCCTTAGGCTTCGCGATTTATCGGAGCTGGGTGGTGTGCTTATGTCAACAGAAAATGGGGTGTCGGATATAGGCAAGGCTCCCGGATTCGCCATGGCTGCATCAGAGGAAACGGGGATACCGGGGCCCTCAGAGGAAGCACCTGAGGGGGCAGACATGCCTACCTAGAGAAAAGGCGTTACGGCTGATAACCTGTTTCACAGATTAAACAGCCCAGAACAACCAGCAAACAGCGCTTGTTTCTTGAGCCATAACATAACGTAGGTAAATGAATTAACATAGTATGTACAGGGGTATTCATGTTAAACAGAAATAACTATGTTAGTGTACTGGAGGATATTTGGCATTATTGGTGTTTTTGGCATCCGATCTCTGCCAGAAGTGGATCCTAGATCAACGATTGGGCAAGTGTACTGTTTCAACACAACGGTTTTTCAGTGCAAATTTGTTTATTCAAACATTTACAAAGTGTAAACCATATTATATATTTACTATATGCACTTAATATCGCTTATTATAGATTGAAACTATGTGTCCGACAAACATCCGGCAAACTACAAATGTATCTATACATCTATTCATTGATCTCCCTCTTTGCATAAGTTATACCCGAAACCCCACCGCATCGTGTCTTCCCAAGGCGGGGCCCCAGACTCCTTTCGCCCTGAAGCACTTCGATCCTCGGTTTGTTGGCCATACTTGGCGGTGCAGTTGTGATAAACGGCTGCATCACCATAGTTGTAGGGACTGTATCCCAACTTATGGGGGTTGTCGCCATGGTTATACCCATGTGCCCCTCACTGCACCCCAAAGTACAGGAACGCGGAAAACCAATGCTAACATATGCTAACCAATTTTGGTAAATGAGACTCCGCAAAAGAGAAGGTGGCCTCGCTGGGTCAGCCACGTTAAAGAGAGCTTGGTGTTTTGAAAACAGGAAACAGCGGTCTCAGGTTGGTCCACCCAGGCTGAAAGATCTCTCAACTCTTTAAGTCACCGTTAGGGGTGCTTCCCATGTGGCCTGCTGCCCGCTGCCAACCATCATGATGGCGCACACGCGCTCCAACATGCCAGCCAACAATAAACAAGGTCTTGTTCCAATATGTTCCAGCACAGAGGGAGGTGGGCCTGACCATTTAGATTACTATTGCACCCAATGGCGGAAGTGAGCACGTGCTCTGCAGCTCTGCGGAGCAACGGTGTCTGCCCAAAACAAACTGTTGCGCCGCCCATACCCCCTTCGATTTCGAAAAACATGAGCAATCCTCATGGTTCTCAAATGCCACGCTGAAAGAAGAGCGTTCAAAACAGAATAGGCTGGGCTTCTGGCATGGTCGTGTTGGTGCCAGTAGACGGGCTCTTTCCTGGACCGAGTCCGGGAGGCCGGGGAGGCCAGGGAGGCCGGGGAGGGCGGGGAGGCCAAAGAGGCGATGAGGACGCTACGAGCCAAACCCAGGTTGGCTGGCGCAAAGCCATGGGTCACCTAGTGCTGGGATGCGGCATCCATGAAGCGGGGCAACGCGGGAAGGCTTCGTAGTAGTGGTTCTCAGCCTTAGTTGGCTGTGATCTACAGGAACTGGTTGAAGTTCGGTTGCAGTTCCGGGGGGTGATCTACTGATTTACATATTCTACATTGTTGTGATACTCAAAGCAAGAGTCACCATGTCCCTGCGACAAGATGATGTTGGATGACAACGTTGATCTTGAGGATGCGGGTTCGCCTGAAAATAGGTGACCCCAAATTTGATGGTTTAGCATCATTACCCTCCAGTAATCAAACGTGGCAATCAAAATCTACCATTTACAGTTGATGATCCCATTAAACCTTCCACTTATAGTAGGAAAACACCCTAGGTGCAATATTAAACTTGCCATTTTAAGGGGCGAACCTCAACAAATCTCCGGTCAGAACTTTCACATTCAAAAAGGGTCCCCGTCTTTTGTGTCATCAAACGTAGCTGGAAAATCCCCCTCAATGTTACCCTTTGGTAATCAAACATGGCAACAGAACATCCCCCGTTTATAGATGATTTTCCCATTAACACCTCCGTTTTTTTATGGGATTTTCAGTTGCCATGTTTGATCACCAGAGGGTAAAATCCAATGGAGCTTTTGAAGAGGAACACACCTATAAATGGAGGATTTTCCAGCCATGTTAGATTACCGATTAACCATCCCCAATTGGCAACTGGTGGGTTGGTCGTTGCTGTTCCCCGCAGATGAGTTGTTTTGGTTTTTGTTTCGGGGATATGGGTAGAATTCATGGAAGCTCCAAAAATGGCTGCCTTAGAAGTTGAAAACTCAACATGACTGACCTTTGTTGCATCCATTGGCATCTCACTTGTGACCCAGACCCATGCGGAATTCGATGTGGGAAACTTCACCACATTGTTAAGACTTCCCGGCCTGGGCCTTGGAATCAAACATGGAAACAATCCTCATAGTCAAGAGGCAAATCATCTATGAATGGGTATGAGGAAATACATTTGAAATACCCATTTACATCATATCACATCTACGTCCAATCGCCAGGGTAGATTGGAGAGGGTAAGGATACTATACCATTGGGTGGCAGCTCGTTTCGACAAATAGCACCAGCATCCCAAAATACAAAAGGCCATCAGTCCGCCCAAGATCTCCAAGATATCCCTTGGATGGAAAGAAACTGCTCTTGGATGGCACCCTAAAAATTCACTGCCCACCGCAAAAATACACGAAGCTGTGGATATACATTTTTCCCTTGGACATGATCTACATTCAATTCATGGTGGCTTTTTTAGATATATTTACATAAATATTTTACATATATATATATATATGTATATCTTACATATATTTATGTATGTATATATATATATATGTGTATATATATGTATATATATATATATATGTATATATATATATGTATATATATATATATATATATGCATATGTATATATATATATACATATGTATATGTTGGTTTAATGGAGGGTATCTATACATCTTTACACAAACATGGCATCAATCTGTCAGTTGGGCGGACAGGATTGCACCGGGTGACCTGACCCGGGAATCGAAACGACTTCGCGTTGACTCGTTTTGGAAACGCCACCAGTCTGGATAGGGATTGATCATCTATAGATGGGCTAGGAAATTATTGGTTTATCAGAAGCTAGTCCGAATTAACATCATCACTTTTCTTGGTCAAATCCCTATGAATCACCATAAAATTTCTCACTAAATCCCAGTAGTCATCCAATTGAATCACCATGAAATCTCCTCATTGGGTCCATGTTTGTTGGTTAAACTGCCATAGAAATCCTTGGCGCTTTTATATGTTTACCCTCTGGTAAACTAACATAACTATGGAAAATCACTATTTGTAATGGGTAAATCCACTATACATGGCAATTTTCAATAGCTATTTTGACATAACCAGAGGGTAAATCCAAGAAATATCCCTGCATCTTCGGCCTGAGCCTCTCAGTTTCATCCACAGGCTCTCGTTTCCGCATGCTATGGCCTGAGTGAAGTGGAACGAACGTCGGCAAAAAGCAGAGGGAATTCACTCAGTAAACATTGGCTGGTTGGTGGTTGAGCCACCCATCTGAAAAATATGAGTCAGTTGGGATGAGTATTCCCAATATATGGAAGAATAAATGTTCCAAACCACCAACCAGTTGGGGATTTGAACATTTTCAAGTCATTTATATCATCAAGTTTTAACTGGTTTTAACTGGTTGGTGGTTTTTCGCCTACCCCTCTGAAAAATATGATGGAGTGAGTTCGTCAGTTGGGGTTATGAAATTCCCAATGTATGGAAAAATCATCCAAATGTTCCAAAGCACCGTCAAGTTTTAAGCACCAAACATGGATAGCATGGGAATGTGAACAGCCAAACTTGAGATTCAACCACTAATGAAATAGTCAGGCCCCTGAAATGGATGAGTGCAGACGAGAGCACTGCAATGTTAAGGTATGTCAACCACTGGCTTGTGGTAAATCCAACAATAACCACCATTCGGGTAATTCATAATTCATAATCTTCATAGTTCTTGAGACTCCCCAATTTGCAAGATTGAACCCGGATATAGTTTATAGTTGTGTGTTGCCTCATAAGCAATTACACTCAACATCTAACTACCGTTTTTCTTTATAATTGAAGCACCACATGCATCACATGTGACCACAAAACGCTGTCCTAGTCTTGAGCTGTTCAGGCGGTTTAAACCATGATGCCTCGGTATATAACCTACAAGTGAAACTGTTTGAAACCAATCATCCCAAGTCATTGATGAGCGAAACGAATACATATGTATGTATTGTATTGTAATGTAATGTAATTTATGGATGCATGCACGAATGTATGGATGTATGGATGTCTGGATGGATGGATGCATGCAAGCATGCAAACATGCAAGCATGCATGTATGTACATGCTACAGTATGTTGAACTACTGTCTAGGAATACATCAAACTGCTACAAATAAAAACCATTCACACATTCTTTTGCCAGGATAGCACAATTACATGCAATTACAGATCCACCGGCCCATCCATGCATCCATCATCATCCATCCATCCATCCGTCCATCCTTCCATGACATATCCATCTAATCATCTATCTATCTATCTATCTGTCTGTCTGTCTGTCCGTCCGTCCGTCCGTCCATCCACCCATCCCATCCCATCCCATCCCATCCCATCCATCCCATCCATCTCTCTTTCTCTCTGTAGGCCTAACAAAAACAGAATATCATGTACATATCAATCCCCGGCCGCGCCCGGCACCACACCTGCTTGAGCCGCAATGGCCATGGTGGCAAACCTCAGCCCATGGAAGAAATCCTGCAAAAGTTGGTAGGTGGGTTATCCGATTATCCATTTAACGGGTTTCAAGCATCCAAGGTGGTGCAGGATTTTGCAACCATCCACAGTATCATTCAGTTCGCAGAATTTTACGAACGCCAAATCTAGGACGTGCATATTTTCTTTCTATACAGTTCAAACGCAGTCACCATATGGGTGGTCAAAATTGGGAATCTGCAACATGTCCAGCTCCTGACCTGCCAGGTACCTTCCTTTGCCAATCAGCATTGCCAATCTGAAACTTGGATGACTCCGTGATGCTTGGCTCATATGACCATACGGGTCTGTAGGGGCCCCTTTGAGCACTTGATGGTGCGATTGTACGCACACCCGCTGTGCATGGAAAACATTTGCTGAGCCTTGCGCTCGCTTCATTTGCTGTGCTGTTTGATTGGTGGGGCTGTGGAAACCCCATTTGGTTGAGAGCTCAATCTGCTACCAGTGTGCACCCGCTACACTGGTAGCGGAGCAAGTGTTGCTCCAGCTGCTGCGCTACTACATCCTCAAGGGATTGGCTTGCGCTGGACTTGCGGCTGTGCCAGGGCCTTTGAATCTCTTGCTGCTGCTGCAATCATTGCTTGAGGCATTGACGTTGCGGCGACAGTCGGGCTTTTGCATTTTTTGGCTGCAGCTGACTTCTTTGTACTTCCAGGTGACGCGACCTGGGCCTTTGCTTTTTCCTTGCAGTCTCCTTTGGCAAGATGGAGAAGGAGCACCATGTGCCTGGTTGGGATGGTCAAGCCAAGGGCTGGCGCCGATACACCCGAGAAGTGTGTTGGTATGTCCGCGCCACGCCTCAGAACAAGAGGCGACATTGCGCTTCGAAGCTGATGAGTAGGCTGACTGGGCCTGCTAGGCTTCTGGCGATGTCTTGGCCAGATGTGGACTTCGACAAGGTTGGGGGCACCAAGGAGTATCTGCGTCGACTTGCAGTTTCTCCTTTGGTGAGGCAATCGCTTCCAAATGCTGCTGCTATTTGTCAGCAGTATTTTTCCTTCAAGCGAGCTCCAGGAGAACCAATTCATGCCTTTTTGGTTCGAGAAGCTTTGGGCTATAGCGAGTTTGTGGAAGCCATCATACGTCTTTACGAAGACAAGCATGGGATCAAACAGGATGACAAAGATTTTGGTCTGCCTTCTGATGAACTGGAGGACGAATGGACTCAAGGTGAGTGGGATGACTGGTGGCGAACGTCTTCTTCCCCTCCATCAGAAGTTCCCGAAGTTCCTGCTGAAGATCCACCACAAGCTCCACCTGCGGCAGCCACTGCTGCGCCTCAAGTTGCTGCTGCAGAGCCGGCTACACCTCCTGGTGACATGGGCTCTCCTACTGGCCGAACACCTTCGCGCCAGTCTGGAAGAGTGCCTCCACTGGTTCCTGAGAAACGATCTGTCGGAATTCCATCAACTTCTCCTGACGTTGTGAATGAACTGACGCTGGCCGATAGCTTTGTGCTCGGCGTCCTGCGTGGATTTCGAGTTCTTCAAGCTGCTGGGCTTTCACCTGAAGATAAGCGTGACATTCTGGGCACGACCCGTGGCAGTTTAGAGTTTGAAGTTGTCACCCATGCTCTTCAAACCCTGTGGGATGAGCAATTTCTTGGTCGTCAGCATGGACGTGGCCAACAACATGACAACTATCAAGCTGAACACTATGATGAGTGGTGGCTAGATGGAATGGCTGCTTATGGTGATGACTGGGAATGGAATGGTGACGACTGGGACTGGTGGGACTATGATGGTTACTATGCCAGTCTTCCTGAAGAAGCTGCCGCAGAAGAAGAGACTTCACCGTCTCCTGAGGATGAAGCTGCTCTCAAAGAAGCTCAGCAAGCTGAGCGCGTGGCTGAGTCCTTAGCAGCCGAAGCTCAGAGAACGTGGAGTGAAGCTCAAAGGGCAACACAAGCCTTGAGGAAGGATAGGGGCTTTGGTCAGATTCCTGTTCAAGGCAAACCTGCTGGCCGAGGACCTTGCTTTATTTGTCATGGCCCACACCTTTCCAGTGAATGTCCTGATCGGCGACACCCCTACTACAGTAAGGGTTTCAACAAGGGCAAGTTCAAGCCTCACTACATGACTGAATACGAAGAGGTTGACAACTATTTCACTGGCAAGGGCAAGGGCAAGAAGGGATCGAAAGGTCTCAAATGGCTCGAGGCTCAAGCGTGGGTCAAGGGCAAGAAAGGCAAGGGCAAGGGTCAGTCTCGACCCGCGGTGAACGCATACAGTGCTGGCATGTATGGGCTAGAGCTCATGGATGTGAAGGAGATGAACACGGCTGCTAGCTCCACTTCTTTGTCTCCCAGCCAAGGTTTGATTGACTGCGGAGCGACTGCATCAGCCGGTCCTCTCTTGGCAGTTCAGTCGCTGATTTCTAGTGTCTTGGAACGTGACCACCAAGCGGTGATTGACATTCAGAAGTCCGAGCGACCGTATTTTCGCTTTGGCAATGGGCAGTGGGGCAGGGCTTTGTTTCGAGCATCTATCACATCACATGCTAGTGGTTCCCCAAAGACCTTCAAGCTGTTTGCGTTGCCCAATCCTCCTCAACTACATGATCCCAACTTTGATCGTTCAAGCATGGTTCCTATTTTGGTTGGTATGGATTATTTGGGGGATGCACATTTTGGACTTTGCATTGACTTTCCCACGGGCATGGCTATTGAAACCAACGATGGTGAAGCTTTTCAACTTCCAGTTAACCAAAAAGGGCACTATGTTTTGGATGTTGTTCAGCTTCTAACTGAAGGACATGAATGTCATGAGGGTCATGCCACCATCCGGGTCAAGGGTGCCGAAGCTGTGCATTCACTTCAATCTCTAGAATTTCATCCAGTTGAATACTATGATCTCACGGTCTCTGAACGCATGCTTGATGAGAAGGTGAAAATTGAGGCAGTGCAAAGACTGAGAACTTTGAGATCACTTGCTCAGCCTTCGAATGCTTCAGCATCTGGCTCAGCTCTCATGATCTCCAAGAGCAACAGCGCAAATTCGAGTTCTTCCAAGTGTGCTCGCCATGTCGACCTCCAAGGAGATGATCACTGCGGAGCAGTCCAAGCAGTTGACCAGCATGGCGAAGCAAAGCACACCGAAGAAGGCACCAGCTCAGCCTTTCGATCCTTCCAGAGAGGTCAGTATGGACCTGAGGGATCCAAGGGCCAAGGCCAATCAATGGCCGTGCTATGCGGCGCACACACCGACGGGAGCGCGATCCAACCAGCACGGTCGATGGATCGAATGTGCAGTGTGCGGCCTACGTCTGTCCTATGTGCCGAGAGTGGGTGCAGCCGGTCAGACGACCAAGTGCGAGAATCCGGGGATGGTAGAAAGGATGCTTCGAGAGACCTTTGTGATGACCGAGGGTCGACGCCCAACCTTGGAGCTATGCCGTGCCATGCAGGCCAAGATCGATGCGGACGAGGTTGTGAATGCCCTGGTCATAAAGATCAACGAAGCTCCAAAGCCTTCCAACGTGCTGTTCCACGACGGCTACAAGACGAAGCCGAAGACACCTCCTGGGAGCCAAACTCCATCCTGGGAGGCAATCAGCGAAGCGCCGACTCCTGCCGAAATGGAAGCTCTTCTGTCCGAAGAGGAGAAGAGCAAGCTGAAGCAGGTGATTCAAGAGCGCAAGGGCCAAGCTCAGTCATCGATGGCTGCTCCATGTCAAAACGCCAACAACGAGGAGAGCGAGATGAACTGAGATTGCCGAGCACGAGACCTTTGACTTCAAGGGTGGCATCCAAGTTGATGAACATGGCTGCTTCTATGCTAATGGTGATGGCTGCCAGCACCATTCAACTTTGTCTTGATGGACGTGATGGTGTCTGGGAAGTGGCATGCTCGCCACACAGCTGGCTCTCCGAAGCTTGCAACTCCCAAGGTCTCCAGTCGAGGAGAATCAATCTCCACTCTGGCTTTGATTTGTACCAGCCAGCTACTTGGGAGCGTTTGAAGCAGCTCCGTGCTCAACGAAAACCCAAAAAGATCTGGCTCAGCTTGCCGTGCACCAAGTTTTGCCAGTGGACTTACATCAACTATGCCTCTCCTGAACGTCAGGAACTCTTGAAACAATATCAACGGAGAGAACGCAAGATGTTGTGGTGCATGAACTCTTTTGTCCGTGATGCTCTTCTTCAAGACCCAGATTGTCAAATCTACTATGAATGGGTGTTTCCTTGTCGAGGCTGGCAAGAAGCTCCCATGTTGGACTTGGAGAAGTACATCAACTCTATTGGACTTCCATGGCTTGACTGCCGAGTTGATGGGTGTCGCTACGGCCTCATGGACAGCAAGAATGAAGGCTTCATTCGAAAACGGTGGCTTATCAAAACCACCGATGAGCAGTTCCACCTCAACTACAAGACCAAGACCTGTTTGGGGTCTCACAACCATGTTTGGATCCAAGGGCCTGAAACGGCTCGATCGGCATATTATCCTTGGCGTTTTTGTCAGTCAGTGGCTCGTTTTTGGAAACAGCAGTTTCTGTCTGACAAGCATTTGAAACTTTTGTACGCCAAGGAAGACTACGCGGATCCTCTGTGTCAGTCCTTGGACGTTGAAGATCCTGAACAAGTTTTACTACCAGTTTTGGCCGCTCTCCCAGCACAACAAGAAGATCTACCAGATGATGAATCACCAGAAGGTCTTCCACATGAGAGGTCTGCCCAGCCACCTGCAGATCCTGCTTCTGATGAACCAAGCTCTGACGAGCTCAAGAAGTGGCAGGCCAAGATCGCGGCCTACCACAAAGCTGCTGGTCATCCGACCAATCGCAACTTGGCCCGCTTGGTCAAGAATGCTGGCCAACCTCAGTGGAAAATTGATGAGGTGATGAACTACAAGTGTCCTGCCTGTGAATCCATCAAGCCTGGTGGTACGAGCTCTGGCTCCATTCCACCTGCCTCTACAGCTCCCATGTTCAAAGCATGGCAAGCTGTTGGAATGGACACTTCGGAATGGAAGATTCCTGGATCAAGGCTGAAGCTCAAGTTCCTGCTGATCATGGACTTGGCTACGAAGCTGCGTGTCCTTTGCCACATCAAGACCTATGAGAACTTCAAGCAAGAAGGTGAAACTCATCAAGACATCATCAGATGTTTCTCTGAAGGATGGCTAGGTCACTACCCCAAACCGAACTTGGTGGTGATGGACAGCGCCAACACCTTTTCCACGCCTGAGTTCTCCCAGTTTCTTTCTGAGCTGAACATCCAACAGCACTTCATCCCTGAGAAGGAGCCCTGGGCGAACGGTGCTGTTGAAGCTGCAATCCAAGATGTGAAAACAACAGCTACGGCAATCCACCTCGAAGACACGGGTCAAGACCCAAAGGTGACGCTGGCTTTGACTGCTTCCTCTCTCAATGCCACGGAATTTACTGCTGGGTTTAGCTCTTTTCAATGGGCATTTGGCAGTCAATATTCTCTTGCTGATGAGGACTATCGGACTTTCAGCCAGCTTGATACCACCATGGACTTTCAACGGTTGGTTCAAGCTCGACAAAAAGCTGAAGAAGTAGCAGTCCGCACTCGAGCTCGAAGAGTCCTCTCCAAGCTCAGCAACACTACAGTGCGCCAGCCTCTTAGAACCTTTGAACCTATGGACTTGGTCAAGGTTTGGCGACGATACCAACCAGCTGATCAACATCTTGGCAAGCGTGGAGGGTTGAAAAAGTCTGGGCGACCACACTGGATTGGGCCAGGCCGTATCATTTTCCAAGAGGTCCTGCCCCATCAATCTCCTGATGATGCTCGACGCCATATCTGCTGGGTGCTCATTGGCAAGCGGGTCATGCGGTGTTCGGTCCATTCCATCCGACCTTGCACACCAACTGAGCGTATGGAGTATGACCTGACCAGCGGAGAAGATCCATCGAAATGGAAGACATTGGCCGACATCATCCCCAAGCGTGAGTTTGAGGATTTGGCTGATGATGAACCAGGTCCTGATGAAGTTGAATGTCCAGATCTTCCTCTACGGCCAGATCAAACCACACTGGTTCCTGTGACGCGAGCATGGCGGAAATCAACTTACGGACCAATGGATTGGCGCCGAATTCCACGAAGCTCTCCACTGGGTGTCGGCGATGGACTTCGAGACACCAGAGCTTTCTCTTATGTGCCTGCTCCGCAACAATCAAAAGCTGCTGCCTCTTCTCCTGTTCTTCCACCTGCAGATGCTGAGCAATCAGCCCCAGCATCACCTGGCTATGATCCTGGCACACCGATTGGTGCCACGGCCAACACTGATGATGAGGCAGTGAATGACTATGGTCCTATGTTGGATGATGGGCCTTCCGATCCACCTGACTCCAAGAAATCACGAGGCTCCTACGACCTCAAATGGGTGGAACAACTTGCTGCTGAAGCTGACATGGAATCCAAGGCCTTGGACTTTATGGCCGCGCTTCAGCAGAATGATGAATGCCTGGTCTTCAACATCGACTTGGACTTTCAGTCGCATAGGCAACAGAAAGTTTTTGAAAGGAATCCAGTGGCGTATCTGGTCCGCAAACTCAACAGCTCAGAAGTCAATCTTCAGCGTCTGGGCCCTGCAGACCTTGAACTCTTCAGAACGGCAAAGCAGAAAGAAGTTCACAGTTTTATACAGAACCAAGCAGTACTTCGCTGCCTCAACAGCAGCGAGGTGAAGGAGGCCTACTCCACGGGCAGAATATTGAAAGCCCGATGGGTACTGACCTGGAAGGCTGTTGCTCCAGATGAAAAGACCGCCGCTGAGGAAGACAGGGACAAGAATCCTGACAGCGTCGTCAACGCCACAGCCACGAAGAAGGCGAAGGCGCGCATTGTCCTCCTGGGCTACCAGCACCCCTCTCTTCTTGACAAGGGGTTCAAAACATCAGCTCCGGTGCAGAGTTCCTTGGGCAGAAATATGCTCTATCTACTCGCCGCGACGCACCAGTGGCGACTACATGGCCTGGACTTAGCGACGGCATTCTTGCAGACAATGCCTACTGAGGCCGACAGCAAGATATGGACAACAGGTGTCCAGGAACTTCACGATGCACTCCAGATCCCACGAGACTCTGTCTTGCGTATTCTTCGCAACATCTACGGGTCAACAACGGCCCCAAGGGGTCTCTGGCTTGATCTGCATCGTACCTTAACCTCCTTGGATGGCCGTGCTGCACTTGGCGAACGTTGCCTATGGCTTTGGTTCAGCAAGCACGAGAAAGACATCACGGGCAAGTTTCCTCGGCTCATAGGAGCCATGGGTGGTCATGTGGACGACTTCCACAGGATCGGTGATGACACATCCTTGGAGTGGCAACAGATTTGCCAGAAGATAGATGCCTCCTACAAGTGGGGAACTATGAAACGCGACAGCTATCGTCATGCTGGAAGTGACATCAACACCATTGAGACCAAGAATGGCTTCAAGCTGCGCATCGATCAAGATGCCTATGTTGAATCACTGCCGGATGTCAACATTGATCCAGTTCGTCTTCGCAGCAATGGTCCTTTGACTCCTTCTGAGGTGGCTGCCTGTCGTACCTCTCTTGGTGGACTTCAATGGCTAGCCATCCAATCTCAACCTCAACTCTGCTCCAGGTGCAACATTCTTTTGACTGAGATTGTAACAGCAGGCACACTGGAACATGCGAGGGAGATCCAACAAATGATTGGCGAAGTGCGCCGTGAACCTCAACACCTTGAGTTTTTCAAGCTGCCAACTGTGGAGCGATGGAATCAAATGGTTTTCATCACTATGGGAGATCAAGCCCACAACAATCGCCCAAAAGGCGATAGCACTGGTGGACTTGTTACACTTGCTGCTGGACCTGAAGCTGTCTCAGGGTGTGTGTGTGTCCCATGATGCTCCTGACCTGGCGAAGCTGGAAACTGAAGCGAAAGGCCATTGCCTCCAACGACGCAGAGGTGCAAGCTGTTTTGGAAGGTGAGGACCAGAATTACCGGGTCCGACTTCTGTGGACTGAAATGCATGGCGCTTGTTATGGACGTCATGGACAGCGTGATGACTTGGTTGAAGCCACCGAAAACCAGGTGAGATGTATCAAGGGCATCATTTGCACGGATAGCCGTGGTGGATATGATGCGGTGGAGGTGAACGAATCCCCTCTCCTTGGTCTTTCAAATCTCCGAGCTGCCCTTCAAGCATTTCAGCTTCGAGACAACTTGCAGCGAGTTGGAAGTGAACTTCGCTGGCTGGCATCTGACTATGATTTAGCAGACTCAATGACCAAGAAGCGCAACGACAGCCGAGATGGCTTGATGAAGTTTTTGCGTCATTGGCATTGGAGTATTGCTTTTGATCCTTCTTTCACTGCTGCCAAAAAGAACAAGCGTGCCGGACTGACTGCTGTAAAGAAAGTTGATGACGCTTTGCATGGTCTCTTTGCGCGAGCCTTGCAGAATGATGACACAGTCAATGCCGCTTTGATTGAGCAGCTGCTGATTTCAACTGAGAGCGTCAGTGAGAGTGATAGTTTTGAAACCTGGCAGGATGTGATCTATGAGCAATCGAAGTATTGCTCAACCTTCTTTTGTGCTGGTGCAACATGTCCAGCTCCTGACCTGCCAGGTACCTTCCTTTGCCAATCAGCATTGCCAATCTGAAACTTGGATGACTCCGTGATGCTTGGCTCATATGACCATACGGGTCTGTAGGGGCCCCTTTGAGCACTTGATGGTGCGATTGTACGCACACCCGCTGTGCATGGAAAACATTTGCTGAGCCTTGCGCTCGCTTCATTTGCTGTGCTGTTTGATTGGTGGGGCTGTGGAAACCCCATTTGGTTGAGAGCTCAATCTGCTACCAGTGTGCACCCGCTACAGAATCCCAATAAATAGTTTTTTTTTTTTTTTCTAAACATTGTACTAGAATCTGTGGCTCCCATAGGGATTAAATTTTGACCCATCCCGATATGTCGACCACCATAGTGTCCAGAAGCGAGGGATCCATACAGTGATCCAACCGGGGCCGGCTTTCCCAACTGGGGTGCGTCTATGGCATTGAGTTTCTATGGGAATCATACATGGCTAGCTGGGAAATCCTTTAGACATGGATTTTTCCATGGGATGTTTACTGCTGGGAACATCACCGAACTAAATGGTGGATTTTCCAGCAAACCATGTTTCTGGGCAAATTATAATAATTCACTAACCTGACATGTTGGGCCATTTTGGGATGATTCCCCATATATATCATATATAAACCATGATTCCAGGGCTCGGGAGAACAGTGAGCCCCATTTGGGATGATATATCGATAACCTCCCAAATGGTTGATTTCTGGGATAATTAGCCTCTGGTAAACATACCAAAAAACTGATGGGAACATCACTAACATCACCATTCTATAGCTGGCTAAATCAACTAACTAAAACTATGGCCTGGCTTTCAATAGCAAGTCGTGTCAACAAGTCATTAGCATTTTGGGTACCCTGCAGGGATGATCCTCCTCACGCTCCATCAACTCACCAAGTGGGATGGTGAAAATACATCAAAATCAGCTGACTCATTGTTATTTTGTCTTCACTCAGATCAAGTTTTTCTGCATATTCCTATTCCTATAACAATGCGTTGATATAGAAACATAGACTCACGAAAAATATGTCTTTCAACCTACTCAACTTCATATTCACCTATTGGTCTCCCCCAAAAGAAAACTAAACTCATGGAATTTGATGCTGATACCCCGGTACCCACAAATCCAGGGCCACTCCGCGATAGCCAACTTGGTGGATAACTCGGTGAATTCTAGGTATAGTTGGTGGTAGACCAAACTATATTAGATGTCTACAGTTAATGGATGTCAATGGATCTTAATGATCATCTGAAAAAAAGATGTTAATGGGGTTTTTCTACCAACAAACATGTTTTGTTTTTGGGGCCCACCTGAAAAAAAACCTTGTGCCAAAAGTCTGCATGGATGCTCGGGACGTGGCCAACCTTAGCAACTCGTGCGTTGAAAAACAAACATGGCGCGATCGGCGTTAAATCTGTTTCGGGGGGGAATGTAGTCTTAGATGAAGCCAGCAGACATGGTGAGAACATCTGAGAAAATGTAGATAAACCAGCAGAAATGGTGAGAAGATGTGAGAAAATCTAGATGAAACCAGCAAAAGTAGAAAATCAGCAAACATAGTGAGATAACCGAGAACCATCACAAGAAACGGATGTAAGCAATGATGATGAAGGCTTGATCAGCAACAAAGGCAAAGAAATCCAGCGAACAAAAGGATTCCAACTCAAGAGGTATTCTAACATTGGCCAATGGGTTTACACGGGTAACAATATTATCAATAATCATCAAACAAATCAAACTAGTGAAAATACCAAATCAGTGGCAATGGCACACATGATCAATAGTAATGGATATCACTACCCTCTGGTAATCAAACATGGCATGCATTTCCTCAGCCAGCTATTACTATCCCAAGGGCCTCCACGTCTCTTCGGACAAATGGATGGTTACTCGCATGATCATTGTGAAACCACACGAACACATCAATCTGAATATGGCTGGTTTATGACATTGCTTTACTAACATTATATGAAATAATCAATTGCTTGGTTTATCAATGATGATTAAATGACATATTATATATATATGTAAACCTCCACAAATTATATTGAGTTAGAATTGCTATCCAGTTATTGGTGCTTAGTAAACATTACTTACAAATTTGATATTTTGATAGTGTGTTAACTAAGTGTTAACTATGCATTACTATATATAAATATTGTTGTCCAGTTATAAACTGGTTGGTGGTTTCAGCCCCTCTGAAAAATATTAGTCAGCTGGGATGATTATTCCCAATATATGGAACAATAAAACATGTTCCAAACCACCAACCAAATAAATATTGTGATCATTCATAGTTAATCAAACCAATACTATTACTATACTATTACTATACTATTACTATACTATATATACTATTACTATACTATTACTATATTATATGTTATACTATAGTATACTACCAATATTCTTATCCAGCTATGACGGTTTATGACATTCATTGGGTAATCAACTTTTTTGGGTCCCCGGACTCCTCGTTGATGGTCCCTACGGGAGCCGGATAGATCTGGCGAAAAGGCGTTGCAGCTGGAATTTCATGGCCAATTTCTATGGAAGTTACGGGTTCTCATGGGAATTTCATTGGGAAACAAACATGGCAAATTTCATTGGGAAATTCATGGGATTTCTTAGAGGATTTCAATGGAAATCAAACATGGCTGGCTGGAAAATATCCAGTTTTATGATGAATTTCCCATCAACACCTCCATTTAGTTTGGGAATTTCCCAGCTAGCCATGTTTGATTGCCGGTAATTGATATCTGGTCATCTTACGGTGATTTTCGCAATCGCAAGAATTCATCCTAAGCATAATCTATTGTCATGCGGGCCAGTGAAGTTGTTATCATAATTCAGAGTTCTGGCCCGAAATACCAGTTATAAGTACTTATAACCCCATTTATAGATTATATAATCCCATTGAAATAACCACTTATAACTAATAACTGGCCATTTTTCTGCAGCTAGTGGATCGGCATGGATCAGCTATTGAAACCACAAATCCTACATGGCAAATCTGTGCAAATCCTACATACCCAAATGTTGGGATGTCTTGGCTGGTGTTATGGCCATGGCTTTTTTTGTTATAACTAGTTATTTCAATGGGATTATACAATCTACAAATGGGCTTTTGGTAGTACTGGATTAACTGGTATATAAAGGGCCACTTTTCTGTGGTGTTTGGCTAATGTCTGGTCGGTTTATAGGGATTTTCCTATTGGATTATTGTAATCCCCAATAGATAAAGGGCAGTTTATAATTCCCAACTAATCATCATTTTCCATCATTTTCCCCCACCAACCAGGGTTTTGAACACTGCCCAATTGGTGTCAATCAGGGATCATCATCGGTTGCGAAATCCTGCACCATCCTGGATGGTTGAAACAGTTGAAACCCGAAAAAACACACATTATAAACCACCTATCAACTGGCCAAGATTTCTTCCATCCACTGTATATAATATATACTGCATATATATATATATACAATATACATATACATATATACTATTATATATACATACATCATACAGTAACAATGCTGACTCGTGACTTCAACCTATCTAAAAAACTGTTGTTTTACATAGTCAGTTGGGATCGTCTACAGATGGCACCGGCCAATGGTTTCCGGCACTTGGCACTATGCCAGCTTCGCAGCTTAGCAGCGCCATAGTTCAAGCAAAAGTCAATCTATTTGATGACAAACCATGCAACATTTTCATTTTGCCATCCCAAAACTATGAAAAAATCGCACTTGACTGGTAGTGGAAACACAAAAAAGTAAGACCAGCAAATTTTGAAAATGTGGTCACCCAATCAAAACTACAATTGGTGACAGTGAGAAACACTTGGGATTGTTGGTTAATAGTGATTGATAGTGATGGTTAATAGTGGTTTTTATAGGCTATAAACCAACAACAATGGGAATATGATTGATGTTTCATGTTGTTTCCATAGCATGGGTCGAGAAATCACCATTTATGGCATAAGGATGGGGCACATCTAGTCCTCCCATATCTTGCCCAGTTGTGAAACGGAAAAAACCCATGGTGGGTCGGAACAATCCCTGATACACCAGGTAGTAAAACCAATTATTAGTCAATCAACAGTTAACCAGCCATTGAGTGTCAATGTTTCCACCATTTCATCCTTACCAAAACCCATATTTGGTGCTTACATTCCTGAAATTGTATTTCATCATTTACAAAGTTTGGAGGTTTCCTTAAATGCGGCTACCACCCAAATTATCCATTTCATTTATTGTATAATGTCAACCGCGGATTAATAAACCCCTAGGCTGTTTAATTGGGGAGGTACCATTTCAGTAGCTATTTATCACTATTTGGGGGAACCACCACAATTAATCAACCAGGGTTTATCAATCCGGGGTTGACATTATGTGTTATGAATTTCCGTAAAAAAAACAATCCAGCTATTGGCTGATTGGCGGTGCAATAACCATCTTGAAAAATATGAAAGTCAATGGGAAGGATTATCGCCCAAAAAATATGGAACAATAGTCATTTCTATGTCCATTTTCAATAGCTATGTAAACGTTTACCGGAGGGTATGAATTTCCGTGAAACAAACAATGGATTGGTTTAAGGGAAAATCTACAGGAAAGCCCCATATTTAATGGGAAAATCTATGGTTTCCTGTAAATTTTCCCTTAAACCAATCCAATCAAACAAACCATCCAGCTGAGCTGGGGTACCCCATCCAGCTATTGTTGAACCCCCAGGCTGCGTTCAGTCGACCCGAGGGGTGATGCCACATCCCAAGCGCGCTTCTCGGCTCCTCGCCAGGTGAGATGCGGAAGAGATTTCAGCAGCAAACATGGGGTATATAGTATAATGAACCATTTTTTTTGGTGAGTTTAAAGAGTTTTATGGATATAACATGATATAAGCAAAAATGGCATGAAATGGCTAGGAATGAGGATTTCACTGGCAAAATGCTGGTATTGAATGAACTATTGGGTGATTTTATGGATATCAATATAATGGGATAACCCCGAGCAACCGCCAATATGATAATTTGTAAACAGTATTGGTGTTAATGAAACACCAATCCTGGTGTGAAACGTTGCTTTGTTTTCTCAATGATGGTTTCTTTACCGACTGACACCAAAATGAATACATGCAATACATAATATATACGTGTATATATATATATATATACATATACACACGCACACACACACATGGGGCGTTCTTAAAAAGAGGATCCCCAAAACCATTGGGTTTCAATACTAAAATGGTCTAACTTTGGATGATTTGGGGGGGGCATTTGAGGAAAACTCCACTTATATATATACACATGCGCATTAAGAATCATTGAGATTGTTATACACTCCAAGAATGCCTTAAAAGACGTAAAGTCAAAGAAAAAAAAGTTGGAAGCACTGGACGTTGGTTCTTCTCCACCCGGCCAAGCTGAGGCGCGGGCTGAGGCGGGTCCATGTGAACTACCCCGGGTCTCAATGAGGGAAAGATTCACCAAACCTGTTTGATAAACCACATAGCCTCTGGTAATTTCTAAAAAATAGCGAACTGGACAAAAATCACCAGTTTAATAGATAATTTGTCATCCATAAATGGACATTTTATGGTATTTTCAATGTCAACTCCGGATTCAGATGATCAACAGTCCAGGATTTAATAAATTCATCAGCACAAGCCTTAACTTTACTTGGATGTTCCACCATAGCTATTGAAAATGGCCCAGTCGAAATAGTGGTTTTACCCATGAATAGCATGGTGATTTTCCATAGTTTTTTGTATGTTTACCAGAGGGTAAAGCCATCAAAAAAAACAACCCGTTGACATTCTGAAAACTCTCGAAGGATCAGTTCCCAACATCCCAGATCCAAGGGATGAAGTGGCAATCCTTTTACTCTCCAATCAAGCACGGCGATGGGAAATCGACCATCGAAATACCATGGTTTTTGCCATTCAACCTCCATCTATCATCTATATAACTCCAATAACTATGGTTTATAGGTGATATATCTATAGTTAATGGGATTATAAACCAACTTATAACTGGGGGGCACCACCATCTATCATCTATAAGGGAGTCTTTTCTCTCCAGAGGGTAGCAGCAAACCATAGCTTGGAGCAACCAACGAACACTCAGATTGGCGCTACCCCAGTTGTGGATGTGGCTCCTCAAGGTTTCACCCTGCGTCCGGAAAGGCTTCCCGGTAAACTGCCAGGCGGGCGGCTCCCCTGTTGAAGCGGGCGGTTGCACGGGTAGAAACCCCAAAAGATGGGGGTTTCACATAATTCAATCAACCAAATCATGTAGATAACCAACCACAACTGGAGTTTGGTTGAGTTGGCATGTAGTTCGACCAGGTTTGTGGCAACAATCTGAACATTCGATAGGTGAAAGTTAGTCCGACCTTATCACATTTCGTCACGGTCAAGTTCAAGTTCATCAGGGGACGGTAGATGTTACTTGAAATTCACCATCTGTTCTTGGGTATCTCATGTTTGACCCCAACTTCTGAGGTGATGTGCCAATGATTTTTGCGGATGCGAGATTCTACCATGGTTTTGTCATCAAACAGTGGGTTTCCCTGCAAGTCTTCGTTTAATTGCAAATATTCTGAGCAATACACTCAAAATACCCTACTCAAACAAACACACACACATACACATATATATATATATACATATTATACCATTATGTTGTTCGCCGTTTTGCTACAAGAACCATGCAGTTTCCAAGCCTATGTAAATTTCAGAGTTGGTGGGAACACAATGAGCGCTTTCACTTCGGCCTAGACACTTCCCAATCATCCAAGAGGTAGGGACTGTGACAAGCTCTGTGGGATTTCAAGGGCGAGCCAATCTTGGCCCAGGATCATCCCAGTCTGAAATACGGTATACCTTATACCCCCACAGAACCGCGAAAAAAATGGGGCAAGTGATGATCAACCGCTTGTTTTTTGGGTTTCACATTTTCAGACAACTCTGTTTGTTCCATTGTTTGCGAGCTAAACTTCTCCGACTTATCCTTTCATCACATGGCAGAAACTCAATTCTTCTTCAGCTGGTTCATCTTGGCAAAAATCAATCGTTCATTCCACTACATGGTTGGTTGAGAACGGGATTCCCCTAATCAATGAATTGTGATAGTCCCCAATAATCATGGCCAGTATCATCCGCAAACTAACCATCAACCGAGGTTTTGAAGATTCTATTCCCATGGAATCCCATCAAATGCTATGGTTACCGGTACTGAAAAATTGGATCGGTACTGAAAAATTGGATTTGGAAAGGCTCCAACTATTTATGGTGAAATTGGGGATGGATCATGATTGAAATATCAACATTACCCTCTGGTAAACTTACATAACTATGGAAAATCACCATTTTCAATGGGTAAATCCACTATTTCTATGGCCATTTTCAATAGCTATGCAACAAATTACCAGAGGGTAATCATCCATTTATCCATTATAATGTATTGAACGACCCTCCACCAAGGTGTCCCAAAGTAGGAACCTGCGAAGCTACGCGCGTCTCCAATGCGCTGGTACTCTGTCCTCCAGCATTGCTGATTTCTGAGATATCCGCCAGACGGTGGGCACCCCAGTTAGAAGTTGGTTTATAAACTCCATGAGTTTTATATAGTTATATATTAGTTCTATATAGTTGTAATATACATATATATATATATCATATATGTAACATGTGTATACATATATAATTATACACCACCATATACCACCTAAAGATCGTAGTTGAAGAAGTTATAAAACAACTTTGCTATCTAGGAGGTCCCACCTTGCATGGATGATTCTGTTTTACCTGCAGGTGATATGTGCTGGTTGTAGTGGAGCATAGAATATGTGATAAAATGAGATGGACTGGTCCTTTTGCAGGTGTATGCCCCAACATACCTGTTCTTTTAGGTCTCGTGCTACTAAAATGGTCTGTCAACTTTGGCGTGTCTTTGGGCTCTATGGAACAATACACGGATATATCACTATATGTATATGTATATTTATATACATCACTAATTATATGTATATATATATGTATATATATATATATGTATATATATATATATATGTATATATATATATATGTATATATATATGTATATATATATATATGTATATATATATATATCACTAGCTATATGTGTATATATAATATGTGTATAATTATATGCATTAAGGGTCATCAAGTCTTCATGTTGTTCCAAATTTAATCATCTCATGCAAAGAAGCCTCTGGGTAGAGGCAAGCAAAGAGCGTAAATCCAGCTGCTTGCAAACCTGACTGCTTTCAAGCAGCCGGATAAGGTTCACAACAGCTTCAAACCATTCTCCAGATGCACGTTCAGCTTGCCACGACATGAAAGCCACCTGTCCTTCTTTTTGCCGTTGGAGGGACTGGGAATATTCAGATTGCAAACTCGCCCAGCAATGACGAGCATCCTGATCTTTATATGATGCTCGAAATCATGGATTTTTGTTTAAATCATTGCATGGGTCATAGGATTCGCGGAGGATGTCTTCAAGCTTCTCTGCTGATGTCGTTCGCCAACTGGAGCATCAGCCTGTTCGGCTTGTCACCTCCTTGAGAATGGACCGACCTGCTAATCCTATGCATATCACTGTGCCCGACCCATTGATGTCGACCTTCTCCTCAAAGAGGAAAATCTCATACATTAAGGGATACATGGGGAAATCTGCATTACCAGGTTAGATTACCAAACTGCAAATCAACATTTTTCTTGGTTAAGGCTGTGATTTCGTTGGTATTTTACTGGGTATGCAAACGTTCATTTTTGTTTGGTAAACTTCCTTTTTTATGGATCAAACCTGTGTTTTTAAAGCAGTGAAGCGTTGGTTTGGGCTGGTAAATTTCCAGTTTTCATGGTTAAACAGGTTAAATCACGTTAAACCTCCTTTTTGTTCACTATATGGAGGTGGCCATAGTCGGGGGTACCCTCAAATCATCCATTTATGGATTGGATTTTCCATGAAAAGCCGCTAAATATGGGGATCCTTCATGACTATGGAACCCACCCCACCAATCCCCACCATGGATCCGCCCCCGCCTTGTGAGGCTGCGGGCCAGATCATTGAAGTGATCGCCCTCCATACCCTGGAGCTGTGATGTTTCGAAACCAGTTTTGTAATAGGGAACCCCCCCTTTGATTTAGAGAATATCTGGGGGTTAACTATCAAACATGGCAATAAACAAAAAAACAATACAATCTGAAGTACGATATTCAATGAATTGGTTGATGGGAGCTATATGTGATATTTTAAAGGAAACCATGTTTTTTCTTGTTATGAAGAATTAGGGTATTAGGGTTTCCTGTAAGTTCTGCCTTTGAACCAATTCTAAGAGATATACTGTTATACTCGAGGTTGAATATTTATCAGGGGTTGGCAATCATGGCCACAACCTACGTATAGCTGCAAAGATTGCAAAGGGGGAAGTTACAGATTGAAAACGTCTTGGCTACCGCTGTTGGAAAAAAATCGAATCGAACGAGTATGAACATACAAGAGTGTTCCAGCCACTCTCGAAGCCCGAGAAAACAACGCATATCAAAAACGCATCTGTGGCCCCAACATTCTTCGGAAACATCAATGCAGCAATGGAAGCCGTGAAGCCAAAGGTTGAGTCATGCAAAGTTGGATTCCTATCGTAAAATCTCATCGAGCACATGTTCTGGCATGTTGGGCCTTTTCATCCGGCCAATGCCCCTTGAAAACCTTGGCACTCGAAACGGGGGGACTCAGAATTACGGTATAGATTCTAACGGAATCATAGAACTCCCCATCATGTGAATCTAGATCTCTGTTGGAAAAATGCCCCAATCTACTGTATATATATATGATATATGACACAATATACGAAATATTCCTAGAGTTAAACCAGCTATCTTGGACAGTTCTTTTAGGTTAACATAATATAGATAACTGTACACTATAGTACTTTCTGGATAAAAGCACTATAGACTATAGATATAGATTATACATGAACTTATTGTTCCAATACTTTCACCATCGTTCCAGTACCATTAATTTCTTTACCTCCCACCTCCCACGGCCCCGCGTACGTACCTTTCAGGGCATCAGAGTCGGATCATCCGCCCCGAAACTCTGAGCACAACAGAGCGGCGGATCAAATCTATAGATTTACCCTCTGGTAAACATACAAAAAGCTATTGAAAATGGCCATAGAAATAGTGGATTTATATACCCATTGATAGCATGGTGGATCTTTCCCATGAGTTATGTGTTAATGTTTACCAGGCCGGGTATCTATCAAATTGATTCACATCTATGGATTTATCAATGGATTTATCATGATTTATCCAGAAAAATAATGGGTATTATATGGCATTATATTTAATTATATCGGATTATGATGGTGATATGGATTGATATGTTGATAATCCCGTCCCAACATTAAACATCCCTGACACACCATGGTTTAGTCGGGGATTTACACACATTTGGGACCATACAATGGGGGTGTTTTATATTTAGAAGAATGAACCTATTTCTCCAAACAGTTTGGGGACATCTGAGGTCAATCTTGACCAGTCAATGGGCAATGGGTCACCACCCAGCTTTTCCGAACATGTCTGTCACCATTGTTTCTTATATCCAGGAGTTATATTCATGGGGCACAGATCAAAGCCACCAGCCACAGAGTTTTCACATCCACCGAACTTGATGTAGTATCTCAAATGGTTAGTAGCTGGATCACAGCCAAAGTATCTTTGAATGGTTTTATGGTTTTGGAACAGCTGCTAGCCATTTACCCTCTGGTAAACGTTTACATAGCTATTGAAAATGGCCATCGAAATGGTGGATTTACCGATTTACCCATTAATAGCATGGTGATTTTCCATAGTTTTTTCTATGTTTACCAGAGGGTTCTACGTATACTTTCAGTACTCAACTCAGGAGCGTTTGTCCAGCTGAAAACCCATCAGAGTTCAGCCGAGTGTCAATCCACCTTCCCGTCCAACACCCGACTGCCAACGCCCAAAACATCACTGCTTGGTGGTTGAGCCACCCCTCTGAAAAATAGAGTCAGTTGGGATGATGACATTCCCAATGTATGGAAAAATAAAAAATGTTTGAAACCACCAATCACATCAAAACATCTGTGAGTTGCACACCTTTTATGACACCCGTCCATTCGCTAAAAAGATCAATCGTTGTGAGTCGGCCTGGTTAAATTTGGACCCATCTCCAAATCCGTCGCTCTTCGCTGCGCGCAACGCACAGGGATTTGGCCATGGGTCCCCAATGGCCACAGCAGGAGCTTTGTCCTGATCTTTACGTCGTCCAGACTGCAGCCCCGGCCCAAGATCTTAAAACACATTTCATGTTTCCTTCCACCTGCGAAGTCACCAAACGTCAAAGGCTCTTTTTTCCGGAGTCATCAATATGGCATGAGGAACAAACACTGAGTCATAAATATGAAGGATAGTATACCCTCTGGTAATTTAACATAGCTATTGAAAATGGCCATTTATAGTGGATTTTCCCATTAAAAATGGTGATTTTCCATAGTTATGTTAGTTTACCAGAGGGTAACCCCGGAACTTATCATCAACCAACACGGGCTAAAAAAAACCACTCAATTTTTCGCAAAATCTGATCCACCTGATTTGCTTCGCATGAAACACCCTCCAGGTTTAGTAGATCATGTCCTTCGTAAGTAGGAACCGCATGAAGTTTCGAGGACTCCATCGTTTGGTTATCTCAACAATTACAAAAATCGCATTGATCCATGATATTAATGTTGTTTGCTGCTTAAATCCAACTTTTCGTTGGTTAACATCTCACCATTCTCGCTTGGATTTACCATGTGTCAATATGTTTGAAATGGATGGTTGGAACCATCCCAATCATATCAATTTGGTCATACCCAATCACATCCCCATAAAATATGAGTGACCTGGTAAGTTTTTTTGATACCCCCAATACTTAGATGGTTTCGACTAAACATAGACATTCCAATCTATGGTTATTAACCCCCCAATCATAAGATGCTAACTAGAGATACTGTAGTTGGTGAAATCCGTCGCCCCTATCCCCATAGCCATATGGCAGTGGGATTTATGGATACTCCATGGCCGTATCTGGATTGATCCATTGCCAGGCTGCCACTTTTTTGAATCATCCCATTCAGTATCATGTTGGTTGTGAATATAAAAATTGATATTTTTATGAGATATAGCCAATAGATTCATTTTCTGGATCTGATCCATTAACATCCATTAACATCCATTCACCATATCCCCATCGCCATATCTGAAATCTCAAATGGTCATCATGACCTGTGCTGGAGCCAGTTCATCTACTAACCTGGTCCATCGTGTGCCCTGGCCATCAATGGTGTAGACCGCCAGGAGATCCTGGGATATTTTCATCGCGACACTTGGCGTATTAGATATACTGTGGATATATATATACATGTAAATATTTATGGAAATCTGTAATATTGGGACATATTAAACCACATGCATCTAAAATCACGTGCAAATATTGAAAACATATAGTGTATACATAGTATACATATATAACATATATGCATATATATATATATGTATATATATACAGAGAGAGAGAGAGAGAGTTGATGTTGAGAGTTGACGGTCAGTGGACCCTGGGCACTTGGATGTGCGCCCACCGTGAGGGTTCAATGAACACATGTTCGACACACAAATGGGAATTTAACCCAAAAAATTGGGGATGTAGAGTTCATATACCCTCTGGTAAACTAACATAACTATGGAAAATCACCATGCTATTCATGGGTAAATCAACTGTTTCTATGATTTTCTATGGCCATTTTCCAGTTCGCTATGTAACAGTCATTACCAGGCCGGGTAACTGTTTTGTGTTAACTAAGCTTGTTTCATTCACTTGGTCTAGGCTTAGGGTCTTTGGTCATAACGGTGCTGGAAGGTGAACATGGGGCCACCTTGTGGGGATTGCATCACTAGCATATGATATAATATGTATATATATATACATACACAGTTATATGTATGTATTTATATATGTGTATATATAATATACTGTATATATATATATGTATTAATGATATCCATGTTGAATTCTGAATAGCTACATGTTCAATACATTTACGTATATGCTATGCGTACCACTAAGCAACTCACTCACTAACATTAACTGATATTGAAATGACATATCTCATGAATAACTAGGCCATTACCATGTTTATGAACCATTGATAATTGGGTGAGTGTGTTGGACCCCAAATGGAAGGGATATCTTCGCCATTTTACCCTCGTGAGTAGTAACTAACTGCAGTTCATGGTGGTTAATATTCATGAATAGTGCTTGATACTGGGATTAATATGGATTACCCTCTGGTAAACTAACTATGGAAAATCACCATTTTCAATGGGTAAATCCACTATAAATCACCATTTTCAATAGCTATGTAAACGTTTACCAGAGGGTACCCTCGTTGATTAGCCTATTGAAAATGGTGTAAATCAGCACAGCGATGTGGCACCCTATAGGATTCTGAGCCATGGCCACTTCAGAAACTGGCAGCAATGAACACAAAAAAAGGCCAAAGAATAGAGCCATGCCCTCCAACAAACTAACATAGCCATGGAAAATCCTCATTTCTAATGGGTAACTAATCTATAAACTATGTTTTTACTGGAGGGATACCCCAAATTGCCAATCTTATAGGGATAATTATGGCAACACTTTGGATGTTGCCAGAACCTATTTTCAGACACATCCAAATTTCTGGTAAAAATGAGGAAAATGCAAGAAAATGCCAGTTACTCACGGAGATTCGAACTAATCACACGGCCTGAGGCATTCAATCCTTGCTGTCGGGTTGTAAAGTGCCCTGGTTCCTCTGGTGAATTCCGTTCGAAAAACGGCCCTTGAAACAGGGCCGTTCCGAGGTCATTAGGATCCCAGATTTGGTCAGCTCAGGACTCAGTTCCTTATTTTTCAAATGCTCTATCTACCTATCTGAATTAATCTAGATCGATCGATCCATCTATCCACATTAGGATTTGGTGACATCCCAATTTTTCAGGGGATATGAAAAAAAAAGGGACGTTACCAAATCCTATATTTCCTAAATATATTTCCTGAATAATCCCAAATAATCCAGAAAATCCTATTCCTATAATCCCAAATAATCATTTGGTAACCAAATAACCCAATATTTCTTGGTTACCAAATTAGTATATATCCCAAATGTTACCAAAATCATCTGGGGATATTCATTTAGGAACCAAGAAATCATCCAGGTCGGCCAGGTCGCCCCCGGCAACCCGCCAAGCATCGTAGTAGTACCTTGGCTCCTGGCCACAGAAGCCTCCAGGCAGACGCGGGGCTTGCATATACACCTTCTATTTGTGTATGTGCACATATATACAAATATACATAATATATATATATATGATAATAATAATAATAATATACATATATATTATGTAGATTTATGTAGCTATGTACAGATACCTGTATATATATATATATATGATTATAATATTATGCTATGTAGCTATGCAAAGATATATGTATAATTATGTATATATGTGTCTGCATCTAATTAAGGATACAAACACTAACACAATAGATATTAACTATAATACATTATATAATGTGTATATTATATACCATTATATACCTAGAGACAAGAAAAACAGCATACTGGATGATAAGTGGGTACTAGGCATATGTTGTTATCCCACTTTCTGGTTGCTTGGATGTGCATCCCACTTAGCTCCTCCCAACTGTGGGATCAGAATGGATTCCGCAGCAGTGCGCTGCCTGACTGCTTCCCACATATCCGGGTATCCCTCACCCACTCAACAAATGGAGGTTCCCATAAATGGGGGTACCTCTGAATCATCCATTTTAATAGGATTTTCCATTATAAACCACCCATTTGGGCCTCCATTTCTGGGTACCCCCAAATGAGCTCGGTTGTTTTGCGGCTCCTCGGTGCCGGCACACAGGCACCAACACCAAACATGTTAGCCGAACCGAAAAAATAAACGAATTCTGTGGAGGTGGAAAACCGGCCCCATAGGTTAGTTGTTACAACCGCCCTCCCTCATGTTTTGCTGTTTTCGGTACTTATGGGAGGAGAACTATAGGTATAAACAACAGGCAACATATTCTACTGATCCGCAAAAAACCAGATATAACTAGGTTGAGGTCACTGGGTGCGGATTGCATTCTCTGGGATACAAACATGTTCGACCCCGGCTGAAGAACCAGGGTGCAAATTTTCCACTCTTCGCGACTTGGATTCACCAGGAAGATCTACAGTAACTAAGTACTTTCTTTTGCGCTTGTGCTGTGATCACGAAAAGGTTCTCCAGAGGGTCTGGCAAAGAGTTCTGCACTCCGTCTCTTACTGTCTTCGGGCACCAAGCGCCATTTGCGCCAAACTCCCTGTGGCAAAACGGCCTCACTTCCAAGACACCTCGACGAGGGCACATTTAACATTTCGCTTCTGTACTTTGACAACTCCTCACACTCTCCTTGTTGCTTCTGGCAGCGCTGAAGATGACCAAGATGTCGTCAACCGGGCTGGAGAAAAGAATCACATATGGCTGGTTTTGACCCCCTTGAAACAACACGATGAAGGTTGCACTATCATCATCTATCATCCAAGCCTCTTTGAAACCACCAACCAGTCACGTTGAACGGGGGATGGGTCAACGGCCATTCAATTTTGGGGATAAACATCCGTAACTCCCAACTATTTCGTTCACCGGAAGCATCTGCCTGAATAGCGTTCGAAATGGTCTCCACGCACTGAAGAATCCGCCTGCACCATGTAGTTCTTGATCAAACCTCCGCAAAGCAACCAGTGAGGAGTGTTAGCGCTCCCTATATACAAAGCGCTAAAACGTGGAGGTCAAAGTTCAACAGAGATCATAAGAGACCGCATGGTTTCGTGTTCTCTTTAGTACATACTCAATCATCGATCTAACAAACGATGTATGATATGTTCAAACGATGTTTTTTTTTGGACGAATCGTTTCTCAAAGGAAAAACCCAAAATGAAACGGTCAATGTACACCAACAAGTTACCATGCTTTCTGATGTTTATTTCATCTTCCAAACATGTACCAAAATCATCCAAAATCCTACGCCACAAAAATAAGAACAAGTACCATTTCTGAAATAAATCTGCTTGGTGGTTGACCTACCCCTCTGAAAAATGATGGAGTGAAAGTCAGTTGGGATGATGAAATTCCCAATATATTCACAATGGAAAAATCATCCAGTCATGTTCCAAAGCACCAGAAACGATCTCCAGTTCCCATTTCGGGACGCCGCGACGCCGAGCAACACTCCGGCAGTGAAAACCATGGCGGAATGCAGGGGCAGCCTGGGCATTAGCCATGGAGACCCTTGGGAATTAGCCCAAAATGGGATGGCTTACGACGGCTTACGACTTGACGGTCCGAACAACGGACCCGATTCCGTTCGCGGTGGAGTGTGGTCTGAAGCAGCTGAGAGGCAGCAACAGCAAAAGACCAGGAGGTTTCCGCGGCCAATGATGTCTGCACGCTGGAAATCCTCCGAAAATTTGAACCTCACAACATGCCATCACAACATCACAACTATTGGTTGTGTTCGCATGGGTGCAGCCACTTTTCATAGCACTTTAGCAACTATGATTGTAGAATGTTATAGACTATGATTAGTAGAATCACAATCACTCTATATACATCTATATACCATGTGTACCCAGTTGCAAAAAAACACTCTATATGGCCTATATGACTGATACCGATAAATACTGGTTTGACCGTTGAAATCTCAGGCCCTCACCGGGTTTGACGCTGAGGCCACACCTTTCTGTTTGTCTAGCCTTCTGGTATTACAAGATCTTGTTTCAATAGCTGAGATTCACATGCCATAAACATCCATAAACCAGAATAGCTGAGCAACTCGTACGTGGCATTGCCTCAGACATTTCCGGCTTGGCACGTGCCATATGCATCCATATGTGCAATGGAAAACAAACGTGGGTTTTGAACAACGGAAGTCACATGATATATATATATACATTAATAATTATAACCATGAATATAGGAAATGAATGATGGAACATTTGCTATCAATATGATGAATTATGGGAAAATCTGATCAATAAACAATGACTACGGGAAACGGATTGTAGCAATTTAGTTTGCTAATTCATATGTGCCGTTGGTTTTAAACATTGGAACACACATATCAATTTATCAATTGCGGGCTATTGGTAAACTCCAGCAACAATGAACAAATACGGCACATGCAACTAGACGCCAATAAGAGTGATGTTTACAAAGAAATATGGAAATGACAATTCGTTGATCAAAATTGGTATATAAGTGAAACGTTGGTTTTGCCCCCTACATGGTTTCAAGCATGTAGAGCATCGCCTTAAATTTGGGTGTCAAATCTTGACATGTCAGAGCAGCTGTCTGGATAATCCAGTAAGTTAACTTGAAACAATGTGTAAATCCTAGCTTGCTTCAATGGATTGGTTTAAGGGAAAATCTTAACCAGAAACCATATGTTCCCATTAAATATTGAGTTTTCCTGCAAAAAAAAACCTAAACCAATCCCCATTGATTGTGACAAATGTTGCTTCCCTAGGACGATTAGATTCACCTACACAAGGAGTCAATCAACGCTTGAGCCGCTTGAGGCTTCCATGGGGCCATGGGGTACGTCTGACTATGGAAACCTCCATCTGTGAGCATCAAACAGAAAAACACCCATGGTTAATATTGATGAATAATGGTTAATAATGGATAATAATGAACAATAATAATGATTGATGATGGTTATTGATGTGGGTAAAACAATGTCATTTTTACCACCCATGACTGGGAATGGTAAGTTTATACTGTACCACCTATAAAAATGGTGATGACTGGGGGATGGTTCATGAAATTGTTTTACCCACATTAAATAACTTTGCTGTTCGTCCTTCGATCGATTGATCTCTATGACTGTTCTGACTGGTAAAACATGACATTTCTTGACAATTCAGCTTGAACATGATTGAACTATAGACGAAAAACAGCCATGAAATGCATCCCTCTCTATCCAAATCATCAGGAGAAGGTTCCCCGTAGTTTCAAAGCTTTTCAAAGCCAGCAGGATCAAGTTTTCGACGCCAAGATACCAATACGCCCAAGGGTGAGCAAGAAACACCAAATGGGATTAATTGGCTCAGTCCAAGTTCCAGTGTTGTAGGGCTGCCAAGTTGAAACCCTCTGGTAAACGTTTACATAGCTATTGAAGCCATGGCCCAGTCGAAATAGTGGATTTTCCATGATTTTCCCATATTTTCCATGGATCTTTCCCATCAGTTTTTTATGTTAACGTTTACCAGAGGCTACCAACATGGCATGAATGGTCCCATGTTCCAGTCACCACCAAGCAGATTGTATTTCATGGCATTTACAGGTATTGATCCATATCCTAACTGCATGGCCATTTCTTTTTCTTCTTAAATCTGCGTGGCTTGAGGATGAGGTGATGGAACGTTCGTGCTTGGCGCTGGGGCCACTCAAAGAGAAAATATTCCAGGGACTTCCAAGGAATTCCATATGTGCCATGTTCAAAACATGGCATGTGGTGTAGTAACCCATCACGGGATTAACTACCTTCCCGTTTAACATGTCTTTTGACCATGGCATATATGTTTGAGGCACACATGTTTTCTTCTGCGATGGCCGCCTATGTCTTTTCCCGTTTTCCAATAGTTTAATAGTTGATTCTGAATTACACATGTCAAAGACCGGTGACCGGACACCTAAATTGTCGATCATTGACATAGGGAGTTCAGCACCATGGGGGTATTGTAGGTTGTTCGATCTTGTTCTTAACCACTTAAATCATCATGTTTGATGCTTGCTTCTGCCTGTTGTATGTTTGATGTTTTGAGTCAATGTGGTTCATCTACCAGGAGGCGCATCTGTAAAATAGCCTAACGGAAAAGGATGTTATCTCAGTTACAACCCTACGGTAAACCATGGATCTTGAAGCCGGGGGCTCCGTTGTGAAACATTTTTCGAGCGATGTCAACGTGGCGCCTTCCTCCACAACCCATCCTATGGCTGAACATCATTGGATCCCTTCGAAAAAATGGCAGTTTTGGGGTATTCCCAATTTTCGGGCTAACACAAACTGCTTATGACTGTTACAGTTCGCCATGGTTATTACGATGGCCCTAATCGAAATAGATGGTTTACCGTTCTTAAAAATGGCTGGATTTACCATGGCAAACTGTAACAAATAACCAGATGGTAACACAAAATATCATAACAAGTTGTTTTTTAATTCCCACTGCGTCCTCATGAAAAAACAAAACCATATCTAGTACTTAGGAAAAAAAGTTGGATAGACAACACTTTTCACATCAAGTTGGATAGACAACATTTTTCCCACGATTTTAGTCAGGCTGTACTTTTTTTGGAGGGGGTGCTATATCATACCCATGATTATTCACATAAATCATTCCCATATATGTGTTATATAATTGTTGGTGCTTGATATTCCCAAATATCTACATACGAGTATTTGCCAATTTGATCCACACTCTAATGACTCTAATCCATTAAAAATATATATAAATCCCATCAAATCATATCAAATCTCCATATTTGCTGGGCAAAAAATCACCATGTGATCCCCAAATCCCCCAAATTCGGTCCACCCTTAAAATGACCAGGCTCCATCCTCCGAAGCCAGTGGTTCTTAAGGTCCTTGTGGCCGCCTGAGACTACAATTCACCGTGAAATGTTGATGATTAGGTGGGGATTATACTATCCAATGGATCCAATAGATTGGGGATAATCACAGTCCATCAGATCATCAGATGTTTGGTGAACTTAGATGTGTTTCTTTCATCAGCTCATCCCCATGACTGTATGGCCAGTAGCGAAATCTTGGGCTTTTGGACCTGCAAACTGGATGTTTCCTTGGGCCCCAAAGGTGGGTTTTAGACACCCAAATGGGACAATTTACCAAGATGGTGCGTTTCTTAGATGGGATCTATAATGTTGTATTGTTTAGTCGGAAAAAGCCACTGTCACAGTATTTTGGGCTTTCATGATGGCTGTCACTATCAAACATGGGAGATGGACTTTTTGGATGCGGCTTGAACCGTCATAGATTCCCAACAAACAACATTTAATGTTGACCACCAAAGGTTGGCTTTTACCTTTGGTAATGGCATAGCCACTGGACATTTACCCGTTTGTAGATGTTTTACTTATGAAAAAAACATGGCTATGTTATAGACTGTTTACCAGAGGGTAGCCATTCAAAAAGGATGGATCATCCCAAAATAATGGTGGTGATTTTGCTAGTCCACTATCTGCTACTCAATCATGACTCATCCCGGTCCCTGATTTGTTGCGGATTTCCCTATCAACACAAGGGACTTTCACAGTTGTTACCATCACTTTTCCCAAAGTGGGGCTATACCCAATTTTCATACACACCCATGTGTTTATGTAGCAATATTCAAGAGTTAACTGTCAGGCTCCATGATTACATTTCAGCAACCTGAAAGAATAAACAAAATTGGCTCTCGGTTCCCACATTGATTGTCCTAGTAGGGCTTTGTTGTCTTCGAATAATTCACACAGAGAGAACAATTGGGTGTTGGTCAAAGTTGAATACCTCCAGAAATAGAAAACCAGGGCGTGGTGAAGGTTCACCAAGAATGACAGGTCCCATCTGTAGGAATGACCTCAACCGGGTCACATGTGAGGCCACGCATTTGTGCATCGTCTTCCACGATCCCCAAAATCTGACGTGGAACACTCAACAAATACTGAACGCGGGAGTATGCTTCGACTACCGCGGCTTTTCAAAAAAACAACTACCCTCTGGTAAACTAACATAGCTATGGAAAGTCACCATCTTTGATAGGTAAATCAACTATAAATGGGCCATTTTCAATAGCTATGTTAGTTTACCAGAGGGTACTAAAAAGGGCAACTGGACTCTTTAGTCTTGTTCCACGTGTTGAGATTCAGAATTCTATCCCCACCTGATGCCTTACTGCGACTGCGACGAGCAGCATCGTAATCACCCCAGCGAAGCGTTTCCAGCGATCCAGCAGTGGCATGGCTCCCGGACCTGATGACATTTCCGCCGTGGAATGACTGGAAAACCATTCTCAACCCCCAAGAGAATAGTAATGTGGTTAAAACAATAATATAAACTATCCCCCAGTCATCACCATTTTTATAGGTGGTATAAACTTACCATTCCCAAATGAGTGGTTGATGACATTGATTTAACCACATTAATGAATTATGAATTAACACAAATTAAGATTGGTCCCACCCCGCAAGCAGCGATGCCGTAAAAACTGTGCCATAACACGGTAACGCTGTAGTAGTATCACTCAAAAAAAAACATCATGGTATATAATGGTTATATAATGGGTTACTTTTTATATATCACTTATATAATATCACTTATAATAGCATCACTTCTTTTAGAATGTAAAACCACATGCCTTTGAGGTTTATGTATAAACCTCCAAATGCTGAAATCTTGTATGGCTGGCTTTTGTGTTTGCCACAAAAAAACATGTGATGTAGCCCCTTTCTTCCGTTTTTTCTTCGTTTCTCACCAAACTGCACACATGTAAAATGGCAAGATGAAGTGCTAACGAACATGGCATTCAAACCCATAAAACTAAATATCATTCCTCGTTAAGTCCAGTCTTACGACAACCATGGTAATGCTAAATCCCAAAAGCATTCTCTTCAATCAAACTTGTTCCAGCATAGCTGGTTATCTAGCCGCGTTCCTGCGACGTGTCTCCACCTGCAAACTGACCAATACAATATGTCTATCGGAATGTTCAAGAAACCTCCATCTGTGCAGGCAAGCATATATATATATATATGGATAGAGTCTAGAGCAGGGTAAACTACAAAAAAAAATGCAGAAAGGTGAAGTATCACCATTTTGGCATTTAAGATTTCTGATCGTACCATATATATATATATGCACATACAACATATGTATATATTATATTATATTATATCATATTATATTATATTAAATCAATTACATTACATTACATTACATTACATTATATTATATTATATTATATTATACTACATTACATTACATTATATTATATTATATATTATATATTATATTACATTATATTATATTATATTGATTAGTATAACCCCCGAAGAAATCATCAACCAAGGGGCTGCAAGGTCACGCCCGCGAACGCACCTTGGCTTTGACATCGATTTTCATTTTCAACACGCGATTGAAACTGGTGATTTAACCATGCGAACACGTTCATGCAAGGTGGTGCCCCCCAGTGATGTTTGTTGGTTTATAATCCCATGAAAACTATAGATATATCACCTATAAACCATAGTTCATGGTGATAGATAAATGATAGATAAACGGTGATTGAAGCAGCAAACTATAAGTAATGGTGATGTAACATGATGTAACCATCAAATTCATGGAAGAATCAGGATATATCAGGATTCAATCCTAAATATGGATGCAAGATTGGTGGGCTTCCCGAATCATAGAATTATTGACCGCAGTTAGGGATATATTGGACATGTTGAGAAACCAATAGTGATATTGGGTACCCCGGTACCCAACTTTTAGAGACATCCAGAGAATTGATAGGTGGAATGTCCCATCCTCATATGGCAGTGTGTCAAAACCTTGTAACCCTGGTGAACATCAAAATAGCTGGTAAATGGATGTTCATCCCCCTAAAAATCGTATGTATAGGTATTGATCCATAGCCATCTATCATCTATAAGGGAGTTTTTTCTCTCCAGAGGGTAGCAGCAAACCATAGCTTGGAGCAACCAACGAACACTCGGATATGTGTTGGTAGAGGATTCCCAGTTGGATTCCCAGTTGGATCCAGTTGGGACCACCGGTGCCAGGTGAAAACATAGGAATCGGCGCCGATGTCCGAGGTGCTAATGGCTTCAATGTCCTTAATCCCCGCATCTTTCCTGTGAATCTGGGGATCATTGGTTTGTTCGACGTCCTCTTCAGGGTTTGGTTCAATAGCATCAATAGCTGTCCGTCTCATGGTTTCGACAACTAGAACGACCCACAAAATCATGGCAACATCTGGTTTAAAACATCTTGAAAAGTATTAGTCAATTGGAAGGATTATCCCATATATTATGGAAAATAAAACATGTTTGAAACCACCAACCAGTCAGTGGATTTCAGTAGTTGTGTCTAATTCGTTCACTGAAAAACATGTGGTTTCCTAAAATCTGAGGCGACAACCCGAGAATTCTCATCGGATTTTCAATCGGACTTTCCATTCGACCCTCTCGTAATGACTAACAGTTCGCGAACTGGAAAATCACCATTCGAACGTAGGTAATTCATCAATGGTCCATATTATATAGTTATATATTCCATATAGTTAAATTGGTCTAAATTGTCCATATTCCATAAATGGATATATTTATGGTCCATATTCTAGTTCGCAAACTCTTAGTTACTGGAGGCTTTTCACACCATCAACAGCACCATTTTTTGGGATCCCATGGCGTCGATTCGGCCTGGGGATCGGTGCACATTGGCACCAACAGAGCCGCGCCAGGAATGAGGGACCGTCCGGATCCGTGGTCTCCGACAAGATCTGGTGCACCGCAGCGTCTCCTGGGGACCAAACAGGATTTCCATAGGGATTTCCATGGCGAAGAATTGTCAATAATGGTTCTTATATGGTTAATATACGGTTAATATATGGTTAGTATATGGTTAATATACGGTTAATATATGGTTAGTATATGGTTAATATACGGTTAATATATGGTTAGTATATGGTTGTTATATGGTTAATGATGGCTAATAATAATCTGATTGGTGCTATACCGACCCCTCTGAAAAATATGAAAGTCAGTTGGGATGATTATTCCCAATATATCGAAAAAAAAATGTTTGAACCCACCTACCAGAATATGTATACATATGCGATATATATATATAACTTGTGGATATAATCATAACTTATAGATAGATTCACAGGCAGATCACACTAGATTAGAATCGACCATACACATATGAACAAAAAATGATGAAGTTGGATATTGGATCCCATTTAGACTTGGATTGGCTTCAATTTATATATATATATATAGATCTCATTAGATGAAATAAGATGAGAGCAGAACATTATATACATGGTATAGATAGACTGAGCCAGACTGGGCCAGGGAGTTGCGGAGTGGATCAGGGACCAATGTCTTCCCCTTGTGGCTATGATATGCCACCACAGGATACCAAAGGTGGTAGGAACCTTCTTCGAGGGGAATCAATTCACGTATTTGGGGGTGATGTCCCGTCCCTTTTTGCATCGATGTAATGGTAAGGTGACAAACAAATCACTTCCACTCCCAGATCCTAATTGGTGGTATACCTACCCCTCTGAAAAATGATGGAGTGAAAGTCAGTTGGGATGATGAAATTCCCAACTGAATGGAAACAAATGTTCCAAACCACCAAGCAGAAAAAAATTATGCGAAATATTCCACCGGGATTTTGAGACATCCGACACCATCCGACACTGGGATGGGATGGTAACGGACCCAATTTTCTGGTGTTTTTTTAGCCACCCTGAACTCGACCAGCCAGGAAGCGAGTTTGGGGTGAGTTGAGCATCCCATCCCACATCCCAAGCTGGTACCATTGGTTCCTCAAAATGGAGAGATACCAGGTCCATTGATGGGGGCATGGCTCCCTGATCCATCTCTGAGGTGTCTGGTTAAGTAACCACAATTAAGATGGGCTAGAGATATGACCCTTTATATACCAGTTAATCCAGTAACGAAAACCCATTTATAGATTGTTTGTTATCCCATAGGAATAACCAGTTATAACAAAAAAAAGCCATGGCCACAACTGTAGAGATCTGAAGAGATCCTCATCCCGATGGGGGTTATTTCTGCTGAGTTTCGGTCATAGATCTTCAAGCAGCAACATGAGGTCACTGTAGAGCTCAAACATCCGACACCAGAGCCACTCGACATGTGGCAGCACGTAAAAACACGTAAAACCCAGAGCGATTTGATCTCGCAAACGGCAGAGAAACTCATGTCTTTTAAAAGATAAACGTGTTGCAACAATGGAATCTGTCCAATCTGTGCGCAGTCAAGAATGCGAAGATGAAGCAAACCATATGTATCTATTGCATAACCCTCAAAACAACATACAAACAATATCCCATTCAAATATTGATACATTATGTTTCTATCTATTTAAGGTTTGCTAAGTTTACTATATATTCATATAAGACATGATTCAACGCATCATTCCTGGGTGGAAAATGTTGTCATTGGGGATCCCCCTTACCACCGCGACCGCCATTTGTGTCCATCGCAGGACAGCGCATTCCGCTTGAAGTTCCAACGCCTGGATTCGCGGGCCGCGTGCGAATCGCCAGCAGGCGACTGGCGACTGGGCCAAGATTGATCTTTATGGGGATCATTGATGATCATTGATATATAATAAGATCTAATATGAGATATAAATGATCATCAATGATTCGCATAAAGATCAATAGTGCCTTATTTATCAATGATCAATATGCGATATAACTGGCCTTTATTTCGCTAAATGAACCTGGGCTTTTTAAAAACAGGATAAATGGGGAGAATGGGTGATCAACTCCATGGCCCTTCAGAGGGATTTATGAAAAACAACATGGCTTGTCAAGGACAGAAAGTCTTAATGTGAATTATAATTCTACCACCAAGTCTTTATAAAGTCTTAATAACAAATTTATGGGTGCTTTATTATAGAATGTTTCAATTTAGTGCTTGTTCTACGTTATTTAATACATCATGCTTGAGGATGTCAGGCAACAACAAGTGGAAGGGTTCAACACAGAGTGAGCAACAGACATGGAATGTGAAGCATGTTGCCGAACATCCAACTGTTGTCCATCTACCTATGACATAGCCAGTACATACCTGTATCAATGGATTGGATTAAGGGAAAATTTACTGGTTTAAGCCCTATATTTAATGGGAAAATCTATGGTTTCCGGTTAAATTTTTTCCCTTAAACCAATCCATTGACTGTAGCAATAGATTGAAATAACATCTATGTGAATATATACCCTCGGGTTATGACTAACAGTTTGCCATGGAAAATCCACCCATTTTTAAGAACGGTAAACCATCTATTTCTATGGGCCATCTATACCATGGCTATGTTAGTCATAACCAGAGGGTATATATATAATATGATATGTATATATTAGTATCTGAATCGAATGGTTCACTCTGAAGAGCCGCTCTAGAACCACCACTTTAGGAGTTTCGGACCTCGAAGTCAATGTACTCTCATGAAATAAAGGTCATAACACACATATCTCGCTCCCGAATACACCATACCTTTAGAGGGCCTGATTCAAGATCGTTGACTCATACTGACATCAAGTGCCCCAAATCACTCAAATCAAAAACAAGGTCAGTGACCCGCAAAATGTATCATTTGTTTGTCCTGTTCATATTCAAACATCCACTTTTCCGGTGTCAATCTGTGTCAATAGCACACATAATTTCATATAAAATTAACTTGACCTTAAGCAATGCAAAATAGGCACATGGCCAATCAACATGGAAGTGCGTGAACATCTTATGGCTCACAAAAACGAGGACCTGTCTATGATTGGTAGATGGCTCAAATTGGGTTGGTTCCTTAAAATCTAGCAGGACAAATTTAACATAACGATAATGATGATTCAGTAGTTGGCAAGGCAAAGCTTTAACATACAGCAGCCACTGCCACATCTGCCACAACGTGCAAATATCTCATGATATCTCCTAATGGAATCATCGGAAGAACATGAAGATGCTGGCCGCTGGAGGTACGTTGAAGCGGTTAGCAGCATGTGCTAAACTAAACCCATTGAGTAGATGATTGTACCACCTCCACATTTACCGCACATGGTAAACATGAAACTATACGTGTTGGTGCCCATCACAATGATGCAGAACTTTGTCAGGCGAACCAAACTGTTGTAGAGATCTTCAATGGCAGTTTCCCTCACTGCCATCATTTTGGTGTCTCTTGAGGTACCCTCTGGTAAACGTTTACATAGCTGTTGAAAATGGCCCATTTATAGTGGATTTACCCATTAATAGCATGGTGATTTTCCATCGTTTTTTGTATGTTTACCAGGCCGGGTAGTCTGTGTCCACCACCAATGATCCATCATCACAGATCCACCAGCATCACTTGATGAAGGTCTTAGGCGTAGGTGAGAGTGGTGCTTATCTCCCCACTTTCGTTGGTTAAATACGTCATTTTTGGCACTCAAAGTTCCCATGTGTTGTAGTGTTAAAAACACAGCTTATGTGTTGTCCTATATATAGATACTGTAAACTTGTAAACTTTCAAAACAAGTTCTGTTGTTCATAACTGGATGCCGCTTTTGCTCCTCGAATAAAACAAACTAGTGGATGGCTTACACCAACAAAATGTTGGTTGGTTGTACAAATTGGATATCGATGACTCCTGACAATCCTTCCTGACCACTGGATAGTCACTTTCTCACTGGGTTTTGCAGTGCATAAGATTCACTGTCGATGAAACATCCATTGAGTTCTATGATTCTCCCATATAGTTGCATTGAACGAGTTGCTTTGTTTCATTGCCATGTTAAATTTGCTGAGAATTTTCCCCCCCAAAAAAAGCAAAACTCAGTTGAGATCATCATCCCAGATAGGGTTGAAATAGATGAGAATACTATGTTTGAGTCAACGTGTAAGGGTAACACCATCCAATCCTATCATCCTGATTATCCAAAAAAAATCATAATTTTTGTTGGACTTCCCCGTCTTTCCTGGTTAATGTGGTAAGCCCAAACACAATGATCAATCTCAATTTTACCATAAATGGCTTGGGTTCCAACAATCGCCAAATGGGAGGTTTATTATGGGCTTTATGTTTGGCAACATTAACCCATTAACACTGGGTTATATACCATCAACTAATGATACAGTTTGTATCAATTTGTCGGTTTTTGGGTTCATTATTGGGTGTGAATAGATAGTTGAGGCTCACTATGCTTTTTGATAGATACAGCTATATTTACATATATATATGTACACATATAACATCTATACATATATATAGTATCCATGGGGTAAAACTATTTAACCCCACTATTCTTGGCCATGCCCATCTTCCCTCCTTCGTGCCTCGTAGCCCCTGGAGACGAAGGGCTGCGCCGCCCATTCGGCCTTGCCCGGCTGGCATCCTTAGTTTCTGCATCGATTTCCCACAAACACATCTGTCCATACAGTGTTCCTCATGTTTGTTCTTATGTATATATATATACACTACTGTATGTATATATATATATACTTATATACTTTACTGTATATATTCTCTATATATTCTATGTATATATATATAAATCATTATAATGAATTATATTAATATATATATACACACACTATATATTCTCTATATATTCATTCTATATATATATGTTCATGTATACAAATATCACCTTGGCGAGGGGCTTAACTATGCTCAAGCATCATTGATGTTTAATGCCTGCAGAATGGAGAAAACCCGTTCTTCTTTTCATGTCCAAACCCCTGTGTTCTGCGCCTGGGCACATCTGTTCAACCCTATCCAAAGATTGTACTTCTGTGTTTGGGCGCATCTGTTCAGGCCCCATCAAAGATATTTATACATAATACGTGTGTATATACATAATAATATATATATATATTATGTAGGATTATGTAAGTTAATATTAATAGTTATCTTCTAATGCAGGAATCCCAATACTAAAACATCTTTGGCATGAGATTTACCACATCATTCATTCCCATGGATCTAAATATCGTCTCCAACAGGATCCCACAAGCCGTCACCAACGTCACCAAGTGTCCCATGACCACAACAGCACTATCTCTCAACACCTGCGTTTTTCGTAGCTGGTGCCCCTTTGTATCCAGAATACCTACTGTATATAGTTTTGTCCAAACATGGGGGATACCCCGAAGTTAAATGGCACTGTAAATGGGGAAGGTTGATGATCAATCACTGGTTGGTGGTATACCTACCCCTCTGAAAAATATGAGTTCGTCAGTTGGGATATGTTGGGATTATTATTCCAAACCACCAACCAGATCATATCCAATCACTGGTTGGTGGTTTCAACCCCTCTGAAAAATATTAGTCAGATTGGATCATCATCCCAACTATTGGGGAAAATAAAAAATGTTCCAAACCACCAACCAGATGAAATTTTGAGGGCGCCCTATTTTCAAACAAAACCATAGGGGTACCTCAAGCTCAGGGACCATCGCACAATTGATGCGGGGTGACCCTTGAAAAGCCATGTTTTTTTTCGCGGCCAGGGATGGGGGGACCCACCATATGAATCCCAAACGCAACGTGGTTTTATATTGTGTTTACTTTGGGATACTTGGGGATGGTTTCTTGTTGGATTTACATGGATTTACGGCATTAACTAATAATGAACCGGTGTCAAGATGTGCCTTGCGTCAAGGGCTCACACAGCGCAATTTGGGATGTCCTAGTTGGCTGACAGTTGGTCTCTGACTGTTGCAGATGGTTTATGAGGATGTCAAGCAGCGCATCGTAATGAATGGGAGGCTTGCAACTTGCAACACATGCAAACATATTATTATTTTTCTTCTTATGATTATTAATTAGGTATTTATTTATTGTTTTTAAGACTACGTCATCATGAACGCAAGCTGAGCCTGTACTCAGGGTGAAAAAACTGCCTCCACATATTTCGGTCGCTCTGATCATCGGGGATGTCTACTGCATCGCATGCAGCCGTCACATGAAAGATTGGTCCATTGACATCTGGTTGGTGGTTTTAACCATCTTGAAAAATATGAAAGTCAGTTGGGATGACATTCCCAAAATATGGAAAAATGTTCCAAACCACCAACCAGTTGTGGTGGCCATCTGAGCACCGGTTTCCTCCTGGGCTGTGGTGTCCACCAAGCCCATACACCTACCATTTCGACCGTTGTCGTGAAGCTTAGTCGAGGCAAATGATCCTCCAACTTCTGCCAGGCCGATCCGCCAGATTGGCTCCATGAAAAAACAGGTCGATATCATGTAAAGCATCTACAAATTCGAGAAGAAATCCCTAAACATTCCAGTTATAAAAGTGAAATTTCCCATCAAACTCATCATAGATAATCATAGTTCATCAGTAAACATATCCCAAGTAAATCTCACATTTACCTTAGCTAATTGTAAACATTTTACCTCAGCTAATCATAGTTCAGTGGGTTGGAAACCCGAGGTGAACAAACCCACGGATCCGAGTCCGACGGAGCTTTTGCGCCCGGTTCTGACGGTTCAGTGTCTCTTTTTAAAACCCTGCATCTGGAGAAGGCTCGGGGTATAGCTTTACATGATTTTAAATGGTTGTATTATGTTATATTCCATTACCCATAGGATCCATGGTGCTGCTATATATGGTAACACGGATCCCATCAATATACCCCAGTCATGTTAGCATATATACCAGCACCATGGATCCTATGGGTTATTGAAATGAGTGATAGGTAGTGATAGTTAATCCATGTTAATCCTTTTAGATCCTTTAAGATGTAGAACGCGATATTTTTGAATCGTGTGCCAATCTGTAAGTCCCTGAAGCCTGGAGCAGAAGCCAAAAAATGATTTTTGGAGCTTCATCCCCTCCTTGGGTCATAGGTTCCAACTCATCGTTTAAGTTGAATTTCCTGGAATAAACCAAGATTATCCTTTGGATTCACTTTCAAAACAATTACTCTACTTCGTGTGATCCCCACCATGACATGTCAGGACGTATATTTGGACATATATTTAGTATATTCTGACATCCTATCTGACATATATTCTGGCATATATTCTGGCATTCTATCTGGCATATATCCTGACATTCCACCTGGCATTCTATCTGGCAGTCTATCTGGCATTCTGTCTGACATATTTTCTGACATTTCATCTGACATATATTCTGGCATTCTACCTGTCATTTATTCTGACATATATTCTGGCATTCTATCTGACATATTTTCTGGCATATATTCTGGCATTCTATCTGGCATTATATCTGACATATATTTTGGCATTCTATCTGACATATATTCTGGCATATATGTTGGCATTATATCTGACATTCTATCTGACATTCTATCTGGCAGTCTATCTGGCATTCTATCTGGCATTCTTTCTGGCATTCTTTCTGGCATTCTTTCTGGCATTCTTTCTGGCAGTCTATCTGGCATTCTATCTGGCATTCTATCTGGCATTCTATCTGGCATTCTATCTGGCATTCTTTCTGGCATTCTTTCTGGCATTCTATCTGGCATTCTATCTGGCATCCTATCTGACATTCTATCTGGCATTCTATCTGGCATTCTTTCTGGCATTCTATTCTGGCATTCTATCTGGCATCCTATCTGACATTCTATCTGGCATTCTATTGGCAGTCTATCTGACATTCCTACATGAGGTCCGGCAGGGAACACTTGGCATGGATACTCGCGGTTGAGGTCCGGCAGGGAACACTGGGCGCGGATGGTCGCGGTTGAGGTCCGGCAGGGAACACTGGGCGCGGATGGTCGCGGTTGAGGTCCGGCAGGGAACACTGGGCGCGGATGGTCGTGGTTGAGGTCCGGCAGGGAACACTGGGCGTGGATGGTCGTGGTTGAGGTCCGGCAGCGAACACTGTGGATCGCGGATCGCAGTTGAGCAAGGACGACGAGGACGACGAGGACGACGAGGAGGACGAGGAGGAGGAGAGGAGGAGGAGGAGCAGGAGGAGGAGCAGGAGGAGGAGCAGGAGGAGGCAACTGACATAAAATCTAACAACCCTCACCTGGCAGGTGGGGAAAAAGGATACCAATTCCATCAATTTTCGAATCCCCATACATATCCCAAATGCTCCATGTATGGAATATTTACCTACATTTACCCCAAAAATGGCCAAGTTTTGTAGGCAAATATTCCAGCACCATGGGGCATCTGGGTATTCTAAAGCCAACCCACCAGCCACAAAAGTCACGTCACCTGCGGTAAGTTCTGGGCCAACTCTTCATATGCGCCAAGCCCATCCTGGCGTTGGCCGCGCGGTGGGCTTAAAAACGCGCCCAACACGGACGCACGTATAATTGACTGGGATTAATAACCATCAACAAATGTTTTCTATGTTTGTACTAACTGATGATCAGATAATGGGAATTTGAATGACAAGATTTGACGAGTTTGACCAGTTTGGGTGTCTGAAAATGGGTACACTCTCCCAAAATATCGTTGTTTGAATGGGATCATTCACCGGTGGATGGAATGGGTACCCGATTTTTCATTCAAACCCAAGAGTCGGGGGACGATTCATGACAGTTGAATCATGGATATCCACCAAATGCAACAATCTGTTCTGACGCAATACATAAATATACCTACACACAACAATAGGATATATGGGTTTGTCTGCCAATGGGGCACCCCAAAGTTTGATGGTTGATCATCACTTTGACCATCAAAAGTGCAATTTTGCGGGATTCCTTTTATGAACAAACCCATGTAAAGTAGCAAGCAAGTAATCTATAGTAAATAAAATCATATTCATAATATTATAATATATATATATTTTATGTGAATGGTATATGCATAGCATACGTAATATTTTGCAACATATTCGAGAACTAGGCATGGCATTTGGTTAGGTAGAGCACACTCATAAGCATTTATTGTTTGAATACATGCTAGGATCATTTCCATTCATTTCCATGTGATGGTGACATCCCATAGTACCCGTTAACAGTGGTACTTACACGTGCTTATCATAATATAGTGTCCCGGAATTGCAGATATGGAGGTTTCCTGAAACGGGGGTATTCCTAAATCATCCATTTTAATGAGATTTTCCATCCCCATTTTAGGAAACCACCATATATATTACTCTCTGGTAATTTAACATAGCTATTGAAAATTGCCATTTATAGTGGATTTTCCCATTAAAAATAGTGATTTTCCATAGATATGTAAATTTACCAGAGGGTACTGGAAAACCTTTGATTTGGGTCTAAAGCAACAGTTTCTTGTCGGATGTCCCTTAAATCCATTCCCAGCAAAGCTGCATCTGGTAATGGAAAGTCGTATCTCTTGCTGCCCATGCCCTCTTGCGACTTAGTAGTCCAAAGAGTTGTACAACATATCTTGCCTGTAGTGAAATAGTAGTATGCATCGATGTGTCCGGGATTTTGTGTCTTTTGCTCATGCACCCTTATATCACTGCACGTTGAGGAACATCCGACAACATCTGGCCACACCCCCCCATATCCACATATTTCTTCATATTTCGGGGCAACAATCCTATTCATATCAATATCAATATCAATATCCAAACTTACTATAATATCATTCCATGTTGCCCCAACTATGATGTTCCTATATTCCACTTATCCATCAATCTCCGCCTGGTGATTTCAGCGAAAAATCTGCGAACATCTTGGTGGATTCCCCCGATGTTGCATGGGCTTGTCGAAAAAGGCGACCCAGAAAAACCCCAAGGGTTCGTCATCATGATCCCTCAACAAAAAACGGCGAGTTGGGGGGTACACCCCATTGTCAGACACCCGTTTTCTGGTTAAATTTATGTAAATGTCATTTATCATCACTTCAATTCCCATTTATCTCATCATTTAACTGTAGTCTAAAGATCCAAGATGTACTGGACTATACTAATCTGATGTATGGAGCTTTCCTAAAAAGGGGGTACCCCCAAGTCATCCAAATCATGTGACCACTTTAGTTTTGAGCAACCGTGGAAACTTGGGGATCACCCATTTTACGAAACCCCCATAAAGGTTCATTTTTCAATTAAAAGAACCTTAAATTACACCCCACTATATCAATCCCATTATATCCCATTATATTTCCTTTGTATGCCAGTGTAATCTCATTATATCCAGAAATCACAGTTAGTAAGATTTAGCAAGTCCCAATTTCGGGGGGTTATCCCATATACAATTGGACTATCAAATTATGATTTCCCTATTGATGTAAAGAACTCCCCCTTGTCAGTGCATACTGGAAGGTAAACGTCCCCATTTTTCAAAATGATTCCTCTCTGGTAATCAAACGTTGTCCTTTCTGCTGCTGAAGTCACCACGTTTAAACCACCATTAAACCCCCATGAGGAGGTTTCCGAAGAAATGGGGGTAATTATCCCTAAATCATCAATTTTAGTGGGATTTTCCATGAAATTATCCCTAAATCATCCATTTTTAGTGGGATTTTCCATGAAATAAACCAACCATTTGGGGATTTCCCATTTTAGAACAACCCCCATGAAATCCCCAAAAATCCACCATTTTTCCTCGCCCACCCTCACCTCACCGGCCGCGAAGGCATGCACCGATTGACTCTGAAGTTCCCGCGCCTCAGTGAGGCGAAAAAAATTGACCCATGGAAGGCCGTGACTTAACTAAGTTAACACCCCATGTTTATATTGAGAAAATGATATGGGATAATATTGTGTATTTTTTTTGCCCGTTTATTTTGCATGAGAATATCGGATACCCCAACCAATATAGTTAGGGATTGTTGATTGCGATATATCACCGTATTTTTGAATAATATGTTATCGGTTGCTGGTTTGTGGCAATATGGAAACATGTGTATAAAGGATTGCTGATTGGAATATATATCTTTAATGTTTTCAACACCTGATTTATCCACCAATTCATGGTGATATAGGGGAAGGGTGCAATAATTGGCTGTGTACCAACCATTGGAGGTAATAAAGAGCAAACCCTCAAATCCAATTTGTTCGCAACTAGACGACGGATGGCCCGAGAGCGTAGAGGAGCAGGGTCTTCTCTTGTTAGTATGGAGATGCAATTTTAGAAACGGTATATGAAAGCTGTGTTATAGGCAGTCGAGAAGAGGAGTATCAAGACAAAATAGTGAGAAGTGCAAGACACTAGTTTGCATCGCAAACACTTTTACACACAGACGCTTTTACACAGACGCTTTTACACACAAAGCTTTTACCCACAGAAGCTTTTACACACAGAAGCTTTTACAGACAGAAGCTTTTAAACACCTCTAAGCTTTTACATACAAACACTTTTACACACAGACGCTTTTACACACAAACGCTTTGACACACAGACGCTTTTACACACAGACGCTTTTACACACAGACGCTTTTACACACAGACCTTTTTACACACAGACGCCTTTACACACAGACACTTTTACACACAGACGCTTTTTACACACAGACGCTTTTACACACAGACGCTTTTACACACAGACGCTTTTACACACAGAGACGCTTTTACACACAGAAGCTTTTACACACAGACGCTTTTACACACAGACGTTTTTTACACACAGACGCTTTTTACACACAGACGCTTTTACACACAGACGCTTTTTACACACAGACGCTTTTTACACACAGACGCTTTTTACACACAGACGCTTTTACACACAGAGACTTTTACACACAGAGACGCTTTTACACACAGAAGCTTTTACACACAGACGCTTTTACACACAGACGCTTTTACACACAGACGCTTTGACACACAGACGCTTTTACACACAGACGCTTTTACACACAGACGCTTTTACACACAGACGCTTTTACCCACAGACGCTTTTTACACACAGAGACTTTTACACACAAACGCTTTTACACACAGACGATTTTGCACACAAACACTTTTACACAAACACTTTTACACACAGACGCTTTTACACACAGACGCTTTTACACACAGACAAGTCCGGCACAGGAAAAATCGCAATTTTACCTCAGTTTCTACCGATCGACCCTCATTTCGTGCGAAAGGGTTGCTCCAGCACAAGTCAAATCGCAATTTTACCTCAGTTTTTGCCGATCGACCCTCATTTCGTGCGAAAGGGTTGCTCCGGGGCAAGTCAAATCGCAATTTTACCTCAGTTTTTGCCCATCGACCCTCATTTCGTGCGAAAGGGTTGCTCCAGGACAAGTCAAATCGCAATTTTACCTCAGTTTTTGCCGATCGACCCTCATTTCGTGCGAAAGGGTTGCTCCGGGACAAGTCAATCGCAATTTTACCTCAGTTTTTGCCGATCGACCCTCATTTCGTGCGAAAGGGTTGCTCCGGGACAAGTCAAATCGCAATTTTACCTCAGTTTTTGCCGATCGACCCTCATTTCCTGCGAAAGGGTTGACGTTTCGTGACTCGCCGCCGGCACCACCCTCGGCCTTAAGAGAGAAAGATAAAAAGAAGGCATGAGAGAGAAGGTGAGCAGGTGTGAAGATGAGCAGATGTGAAGATGAGCAGATGTGAAGATGAGAAGATGGGAAGGTGTGAAGATGAGCAGATGTGAAGATGAGCAGATTTGAAGATGAGCAGGTGTGAAGATAAGAAGATGTGAAGATGAGCAGATGTGAAGATGAGCAGATGTGAAGATGAACAGATGTGAAGATGAGCAGATGTGAAGATGAGCAGATGTGAAGATGAGCAGATGTGAAGATGAGCAGATGTGAAGATGGGAAGATGTGAAGATAAGAAGATGTGAAGATGAGCAGATGTGAAGATGAGCAGATGTGAAGATGAGAGGATGTGAAGATGAGCAGATGTGATGGGAAGGTGTGAAGATGAGCAGATGTGAAGATGAGCAGATGTGAAGATGAGCAGGTGTGAAGATAAGAAGATGTGAAGATGAGAGGATGTGAAGATGAGCAGATGTGAAGATGAACAGATGTGAAGATGAGAAGATGTGAAGATGAGCAGATGTGAAAATGAGCAGATGTGAAGATGAGCAGATGTGAAGATGAGAAGATGTGAAGATGAGAGGATGTGAAGATGAGCAGATGTGAAGATGAGCAGATGTGAAGATGGGAAGGTGTGAAGATGGCAGATGTGAAGATGAGCAGATGTGAAGATGGGAAGGTGTGAAGATGAGCAGATGTGAAGATGAGAGGATGTGAAGATGAGAGGATGTGAAGATGAGAAGATGTTTTACAGACCCCCACTATTGAAAGAACCCTGCGCTCAGACGCTCTCGGGAAAAAAAAGGTATCGATTTATTTGTTTCTTGTGGCTGCGACCCATGGCACGTCTTTTTGATTTGTTCAGGTTCAGTGGGCGTTTCGTTTCACTTGTTTACTTTTGCGACCACACCATGGCCACTTTGTTTGACATGTGGAAATTGAATCGAAATCGCATTTGGTTATCAAAACAACATCTTCATTTCATGGGATCCATGATCTCGTTCGCCCAATTCCAGGCCGAGATGCGAAACCCACATGTTCCATCAAACGCTTTGGCAAATACCTTAAAGCATCCCAAGCGTGGTGGGCCAAAATTAAACATATTGAAAAATGGTGTGTTTTCCTTCTTGTCTTGTAGCGGAAAACCGGGAACTCATGTTTTGGCAGAATGTGTGTACAGACCCCACTGGAACCGAATTAAACGTGTAGTGATTTTCCAGGTCATATCAGCATTGTTTCAGAACATATGCGCCTGCGCAGACGCCTCATTCATCAAAAGGGTCGCATGAGCAAATTCTAGAAGGCTGCGGGCAGCACATCGATGCTAAATGCGGGAAAAGACTGGAAAACATCAAAAAGGAACTTGAGCGATTTCTAGATGTTAAGCTCCCGGCGGTGGATTTGACACTGCTACGCTGAATCGCTGCGGTTCTGCCAGCAGGAAGTCCGAAACAAACCACGGCAAGACAAAAACAACAACGCTTACAATATCTTACAATGTCAAAACTTTCAGGTGGACCCGGTCAGATCGTGAAAACAATGTCGTTTTTTTTCCCAGACAGCAAACGTGGGTACCTAGTCCCATCTAGAAGTACTTGTACATCTTCAACAATTTGTTTGTGGCAAAAACGTGCCGTGTGGTTCCCCAAGTTGGCGAATTTCAGTGCTTGCCTGGCGCTGGCATCTATCCCACGCAAAGCTTCCTGAGCGTTCTGCAGCGCGCCTTGCTGTTTGTAACGCGGGTTTAGGCCTGGCTCCCTCGCTGCTTACTTGCACAAATTTGGCAAGAGCAAACATTTCTATAGGGAAACTGCTTGTGAATCTTGATGTACGTTCATGCAAGTTCACATCAAAGTTGGATGAGGTTGCAACATTCCGCACCCATGCTTTTGTGAGGCAGTAATTGCTGCGACAGCAAATATAGCAAATGCATTGTGCTGTGTGCTTGCAATCCCCATGGAGACCATTGCTTTTCACCTTATGAATTGCTCTCTGTTGGGTGGGAAGTGGGGGGCGGTAACGTTCGGTTGCCCTTGCGCACATACTTAATGCCACCTTGTTTGAAGTTCATCTGCACTGGCACACGTTCTTGATCTACGGTACTGTAGTTGAAGTTCATTTGCACCGTGCAAAGAATGCAATCAAATGGTCTATGCAGTTGTGCGGGTTGGCTGACAGGGACTTTTGTAATGGATGATGCTAGACCCTAAAAAAACAACTATATAGTAAACCTTATTTAAGAATCCAACGTGTGTATATGTTAACGAAAGCGTCACATATCAACTATATATAGATGCAAAGCAAATTCACGAATCCAACTGGTGTCAGCCCCTGCTGGTTGAAAGGGATTTACAGTTGATAGGGATTCTATACTGATCCCCAAATTAGAACACACATGAACACACTACATCAACGAACATGCGTTGTGAACTCATGAACTCAATAGAATTGAAATCTTCATAGTTCACATGTTTCTCGGGGATCCGGATCGTTTGAACCTTGACCCATCACACAGAAGTCAGACAAAAAACATATCAAAGACTGGAATAAGCACAGATCTCAGACACTGCTGGATGTGGCCAGTCTCAGCTTTTTTTTGCTGGATGTTCATGTGTCTGCCTCATCGTCTGTATCCGAGTTAATCTTCACCTTTCACATCTTTGCGTAAGTCATACGAATGTTTTGTTACTTTTCACATCTTTTCACCCATATGTCAAACGATGTCAAACGCTACAGTACTTTTTTACATTCAGCCAAACACCCAAATTCACTAGCTGAATGTCTAAACAATAGTGTGCCCTAAAATCCCATGCTTCATCAATGACCCAGCGACGACTGGTGAAGTCATACGTTTCACCGTTTCACATTGCGCAACATTACATTCCATTGCACTACATGAAATGACATGATATTGTAGTACATTATATATATACACATTATGGACATCACGTTATCATATACGGTTATAAAACATATTACATTATACATATGGACATTAGTGAGACTGTAACGTCATGTAGTCATACATTGTAGACATATGATAATAATGTATTATATACAAATAACATTACATTATATACACTATGGACATGGCATTATCATACTATTCATTGCTGACAGCCCATCGAGGGTATGACTCAAATATGGGGTGTGTATTCAAGTATTGCATTGGCAGGTGTCACTACCATACTCGTTTGCCATCATCACTAGGTACCCTCTGGTAATTTAACATAGCTATTGAAAATGGCCATAGAAATAGTGAGTTTTCCCATTAAAAATTGTGATTTTCCCATCAGTTATGTAAACGTTTACCAGAGGGTAAATCCCGATTATTTGTTGCTCAGTCTTGCAAGTTCAATCCACAATTCATCGTGATTTTCGCCCAATCTTAGTTGGATCTTAGCGAAGGTCTCCCCATGTCATCCCATTGTACTGGTTGGTTAAGAACGGGATATTTGGGTATAATCCCGGAACGAATCATCAACGAGAGTACGTCATGTACCTAACTGAAATCTGCTTTTCTGCGCCCAACTGTGTAGTGGTCACCCTCTCAATCATCAACCACAAGGTGGTTGACCACTGCTCATTTCTTCCAATCCTGTGGTCGCTTTTAGCGCGTCCCAACCTGCTGCATTCAAGTCGTGCAACTCACTAAAGCGCAACTGGTGCACCTGACAGCACAGCCACATTTCTGCAACGTGAAACAAAGCTTAAGTTTAAAAAAACGTCAAATGATAGTAATGTTGAATCAACAACGATAAACATAACACTATAAATATTATATTTATATACCAGTATATAGTAAAAACATGTTCAGAACTGTGATGCCATGTCTGACGACTTCCCCAAATGATTTTTTTCCTCGACTCCAAGAATGTGGCCATTGAAACAGGCGTTTCCCAACACTTTCAGACAAAGCTATATATATATATGCTATATAATATAATATATATATATGCTATATAATATAATATATATATGCTATATATATATATGCTATATATATATATGCTATATATATATGTATATATATATATATATATCGAGGTTTCCTGCAATGATGGTACCCCAAAATGGATGGTTTCTAATGGAAATTCCGATTAAAATGGATGATTTGTACATATTTTAGTTTCCTGAAATAGAGGTACCCCCAAATCATCTATAGGATTTTCCACTATAAACCACTACATATAAAAATGCATGATTTGGGGGTACCGCATAGGAAACCTTCATAGGCTCCACAGGTAGTGCTTGGCCTCGCAGCGACCTGCGAGATTCAAGTCCTGGCCGGTGTCTTCATGGGAATTGTCTAGCTGAAGTTGGAAGCGCAGTTCAAGTTAAATTGATATCATGGTGATATATATATATGTATATGTATGTATGTAACTATATATATACATATACATAATATTGTAAATATTATATGATATTATGATATATTATATATATATATACTATTCTATATATAGTATAAAATATTTAATATATTTTATCTATTATATATTATATATTATATATCAAATATATTTTATATTATATATTATATAAAATTAAATATTATATGATATATAATATATGTATATATATATTATGAAAAATATTTATGTATAATAATTATTATGTTTAATATATATATATATATGTACAATAGTATATATTGGATATAATATATATTAAATATAATATGTTTATATAATATATATCTTATATTATAATTACTATATATATCATATTGTATGTATGTATATATATAAATCATCTATACATTATATATACCATATATAATATATTTAAACATATATATAATATATATATATATATATAATATATATATATATCAATCATATATTAAATAATATATATCATATTATATATATATCATATATTATAATATATATATATATCTTTATTATATTATATTTTACATATACATATATATCTTAGATATATTATATATGTCATATAACATATATATATAATATCAAAAACAAATTATAGATGATTACCATATATCGTATATATATATACATGTATGTATATCAAATATACATTATCATCATTAATATTATATACTATATACAATATACTATAGAGGTTATATCCCGTTTTTTGAGCTTTTTTCATGATTATACTCATTCGTAACCTCCACTGTACCAAGCATGATAGTTTGGGAAAAATCTGTGAGGATCCAAGAGGATAATGCTTGATTGGTTGCTAATGAAGTTTCCCTTGATGGCTAAATCACATCTTTCCTCGGATTAATTCTGTCAAAATTCAAGCTTTGGCTGAAACCAGAACTGCGCTTAGCAGGGAATGAGGGAATGATCCATAATAACTATTAACAATCATCCCAGCAACCCCCATTCCCATCGATTCCCTACGTTTAGCACCAGTAAGGAATGTTTGATTCTTATGTGCATCAAACATGTCTGACTGGCTGACGGTTACCCTCTGGTAATTTAACATAGCTATGGAAAATCACCATTTTTAATGGGAAAATCCACTATAAATGGTCATTTTCAATAGCTTTTTGTATGTTTACCAGAGGGTAATTCCGGATTTTAATGCTCAAATCATCTTTTCTTGTGAGATCCCGCTGATGAAAATCACCGCTCGTTGAATCCTGTGGTAAACCCAGGTTTTTACCCCATGTCCTAAACCATCCGCAATAGAAATTTAGCAAGCAGCTCTAATGGTTAGTTCATGGATCCAGCAAAAGTCATCCTGAATACTGGTCAACCTCGATTTCTATGATTTGTCTACTGCTTAGATCACTAAAAATCTGCACCTTGGAGTGCTTGAATCATAATTTTTCGTCAATCACAGCCTTTACTGGTTAGGTCACCATTTCTACTGCTTCAACCATTGCTGAAATCACCGAATAAAACTGCCTGAATCATCAGTTCTATTGCGATAAAATCACCTTTTGTTATACTCAAATCACAACTGTTTTACTGCTAAATCATCATTTCTGCTGTTTACATCACCATCCTCAGTGGTGGACTTACCATCTGGCTATTTAACATAGCCATGGAAAATCACAATTTTTAATAAATGGGCCATTTCCCATGGCTATGTTAAATAACCACAGGGTACCATTTTGTACTGCTTCAACCACGTCCCCATCCTTCGCATTGCGCGTGGCACATGCCACCGCATTCGGATCCGCATCGATGGCCACCGCAGTTACGCGGGGCAAACGCCTCCAGGACAGTAGAAAGGGTGATTTCACCAAGAAACATGTGAGATCCAGCAGAATTGGCGAAAGGATGGAAAAGGAAGATGTTCACCAGCAAAAGTAGGATTTAACATGATTTAACATGAATTACAGTAACTAACCAAAATGATGATTTCGCCAGCAAAAAAGAGAACTGAAACATAAAATAACTTTTTCAAAACTTGAATCAATGGTGACTTGAAAATCAAAAACAATGACTTGTTAAGTGTGTATTTCATTTTAGACAATTTAAGGAGATAAAGTTGGGAAACAAAATACATAGGAAATTGGAATCTAACAAACAAATCAAAGTTTATTTAATGAATGAGCAAAACATGTGAGTTGAACGCGCACAAAAAGTGATTCTACCAATTCTACCAGCAAACATGTGGATGTTTCATGGTTTTTCTCAAACACAAATAGTGATTTCAAAAGTAAAATCAGATCCTAACCATTAAATATTGGATTTTACATGACTTGAGTTTAGCTCAGACATGAATACGATACAACGCTATTGTATCCTACCATCATCATTTAACGGTTTCTGGGGGCATCGCTCCACCGATGGGTTGGATGAGTCGCGAAATAGAAGAACACATATACCGCAATTGAATCCATGTGACAAAATATATAGACATATTTACAGTGACTAACACAATTTTGTGGCTTCATAATCATACATCAATATCTTGATAGCCACGCATCGTATACACATGCATAGGATCATGGCTTCTTCTTATACCCTGTGGTTAAGGAACGTGTTTGACTGGAAAATTTCAGAACATATCCCAGACATGTGGATGAAGTGAAGATTAGTAAAGCTTGCAGTGTTCCTATTCCTCTCGGTAGTTTACATATCTATGCTTGATTACCAGTTACCAGAGCCAAGTGGTCCACTAAGTGGTTTTCAAAATGCTGCTGTCCAAACAGCATGAAGTACTTTTTTAATTAACCCTTTAAGGCTCAGGAATTTGCAGTACACTCTCATCCAGGGAACCGCTGCTAGCGAAGCGGTTTCTTGCAGGGAATCTAGGGTATTGTACATGACTTCTCACAAAAATGAATGGCACCCTATAAGTGATGTCCATAGCTAGCCTTACATATCGCAAACCACTGAAAATATTGTAGAAATGAATCATGCGATGGTGCCCCCAGCCCAACATCGTTCACGGGGGCCGGCTGGTGAGGTCACTTTGCTGTCATTGGCCCAGAAATGAATTCGGATTATAGTCATAAAGAGTGAATAGGGATCATAGGGGATGTCATGAGTCATATGTATATATATATATATACTGTATATAGACAAGGGCCCCGCAATATAGTTGTTTTTTTCTATATTTGGAGGATCATCCCATCTAAGTGGTTAATAGCCCAAGGTATCCCAAGGTAATAAGTCCCCTAGGTCGGGTTATCCTACGTACGTACAAGTGGATTATTACCACACTAATCTGTTGTTAAGTGGGATGATCCTGCAAGTACAATGGTAGGTTAAAATTACCCAAAACACCCTCTGGATTCGGATGGTTCCCTCTGGTAATTTAACATCATTAATAAGTATATCATCAAACTAAATAGGTCACTTTTCCATGGTAAACTGTTGAATCACCGCTAAAAGTGGTTAAATCCCCCACAAAAAAAACACTTTTCTGAATGACCACTTTTATTGGTTAAAGATGAAAACAACAACAAACTTCTGAATCACCACTTTTAGTGGTTAAATCCCAATAAAAAAACACCATTTTCTGAATCGCCACTTTTAGTGGTTAAATCCAAATAAAAAAAACACAATTTTTCTGAATCACCACTTTTAGTGATTAAAAATGCAAAAACAGAAACACCATCTTCTGAATCACCACTTTTAGTGATTTTCAAAATCCACAATTTTCTGAATCACCACTTTTAGTGATTAAATATAAAAAAAAAACATTTTCTGAATCACAACTTTTAGTGATTAAATATCCAAAAAAAACACCATTTTCTGAATCACCACTTTTAGTGATTAAATATCCAATAAAAAAAACAATTTTCTGAATCACCACTTTTAGTGGTTAAATCCCAATAAAAAACACAATTTTGGTTGGTAAAATCTCATGAGATCACCATTTTTGCTGGTGAAATTACCAGAGGCGCCTCAACAGCGCGAGTGCAATGCATCCGCTCCCTGGCAGAAACGTGTCGATAGTGTGACGGTGCTTCCCCCAAGAACTATCCAACATGACCTGATTTTGTTGCCTATAATTACTAAAGTGATCTATCTACAGTAGGCGTAGATACAAATCTATGCGGTATATATATTATATATATATTAGCACTGTATTGATATATTTTAAGTTCATCGGATTGGTTCAAAGCAAACACTGCAGGTACAACATGTATTTTTGATGGGAAAATAAACATATTTTGCCGAAAACTCCCCAGCATACTCATCCTAAGTGCTTCACTCAGAAATTTTGCCACCAACTTCCCAGGCAGTCTTCGCAGGGAACCCTTTTGCCAGCAAATTTCGGCCAGCTATCTGGATCTAATGAACCAATACGAACAAAAATGAATAGATAACTCGTCCGTGTGGACATTTAAATGAATATGCATATTCGTACATATATATATAATTATATATATAATCTTGGTGGTTTTAACCATCTTGAAAAATATGAGTTCGTCAATGGGAAGGATGACATCCCATATATTATGGAAAATAAAACATGTTCCAAACCACACCAACAAAATATTCATGTAAGTTAGACCTGTTAATATTATTCATCAGGATACACCTAGCGATGATCTCATCCATCCCAAACCATGGGTCCCATGGATCCCACAGTCCCCCTGAGTAGATGGTTTGTAACCAAGTAGGGTAAGTAGGGTTAGTCCACAGTTCTGACCTACGGTGATGGTAAAAAGCATCAACAAATTTAATCACCAAGTTATACAGTTCTGGCTCATTTATGAGTTAGAACTGGTTATTTCTATGGTACTATACAATCTATAAATGGGGTTTTGTTAGTACTTATAACTGGTATTTCGGGCCATAACTGTACAATTGGGCTTATAAGTCATCATCAGGATCATCCCCGATGGCATGTAGCTGGTTGATCAATAAACCTGGCTTGGTAGTTCCCCGTGGTTTTTTGGATTATGTGTTAACCTTACGATTGGCTTTTAACCCCCCGATTTTTTGAGTTGCTAACCAGCTACTAAGTGGGATGATGCTCGACATAGGTTCATGTTTTTTTTTTTTCCGCGGATGCCTGCTGGCTCAATTTATCTGGCTGCGCCACAACCTCTGGGTTCGGATTCTCACAGAAACTTGTTTACTCCATATTTGCTGGGTGATGTATCCGATACAATTCATGCCATGCGCACGTACATTTCCGGTGTTTGGGTGTACATGTTGGTAAACATACCATACATTGATGATCTATGTAGATAATAAATTGCAGTAGGGGGATATCACCATACATGGGACATTCTATGTATATAGAAACACGTCACTACTCAAAATTGGCGCAGTGATATCCCCAGCGCGTCGCCTGTGCCACAATCCAGCAAACGACCATCAGCAAATCCTGCGTTAAGCATCTGGAAGGTTCAATAATTTCTTTTCCACATCCAATGAATATGGTGATTTAATATGGTGCTTTGGATTATATTCTCAAGACCATGGTCAACCATTGGGAAAGCCCACAAAAAGATAATACCCTCTGGTAATTTAACATAACTATGGAAAATCACCATTTTTAATGGGAAAATCCACTATAAATGGCCATTTTCAATAGCTATGTTAAATTACCAGAGGGTATGTTGCTAGTTCATCCTGGTTCTGGGGATGTTGCATAGCAAAAACCTCAAGGATTAAACTATGGCCATGCAGGGCTCGTGCTGGCAGGGCCATGCAAAATGACGAACCGTTCACGCCTCAAACATCCATTGATTTATTGATGATGCCTTTTCAAAAATCGTGGTTTTTAATGGTTTTTACCAAGTTTTTATGTTTCTTCATGTGCCTTGTTTTCTGTTGCTCCATTTTTTTTTGCTGGAGGCCTCTTCATCCGAATGCCTCAGCATATAGGCTTTTTCCAGTTGCTTGAAACAAGTCTTGCTTAATCGCCATTGCCATTGCCTGGCGTAAAGTAGCAATTGTGGGTTATGTTTGTGTCCTTTGATTGTAGCGGATAAACTGCAAGGAATTCGGTTCTTGACAAAACGACGGCCACGACGGAACTTGCGTACAAATTGTCCTCTCACGTGGTTACACGACGTGGTTGCACGAGCCATGCTTGAGACCAAAATTGGTAGTGAGACCCTTGTAAGCCCCAGCGCCATCGCTAATCAGCCACGTGCAGTTGCCAGCAATATCTTGGCTATGCACATTCAGAAGAGCTTTTGTCGATAGAATTCTTCCAGCACTTTCTTGTGGCGGCTTCGCCTTTGCAACAGTTTCTTTCAGTGGAAGAAGATGTAAATGAACTTTCTGGGCGCGACCTCCCGTTGCTCTTTCCACCAAACCAAAGAGCTGGATCCAAGTCAGTCCTGACAGGAAAATCATAATTTGTGCATATTGATACGTTTTTCTATTTAAAAACGCAGAGTTGCAACCGCTGTGTGAATTGAAAAAGAAAACTGGTGCCTCCTTGGCTCTTGAATTTTCTCAGCATAGTTGCATCTGCTTCGACATCACCGGAGACAGGGTTACTAGCTTGCCATGACAGTGCACCTTGTGCTTCGGGTCTTCTCAAAGCACTCACCATGCGTTTCAGAACTCCACCATTTCCAACACTAAGACGCAACATACCTGTTGGATAAATGTCTGAATTTGTACTAATTTGTTGCCCATGGTTCAAAGAGGAAAAAAACACAACATTCAGGATTGGTGACTGTGTTAAACAGTTTCCATGCTGATGGAAAGCATCACAAGACGTGCCGCACGGAAATAACAAAAAAATATACATCCATGGGCTATGATGCAGATGTTGCTGCACTGAGAATCCGTCAAAAAAGGGTCCGGTAAACCCCTGCTAGTATATAAACCTGATGATGAACATGATCATGATGATGATGATGATGATCATCATCATCATCATAATCAGCAGCAGCAGCATCATCAAATTAAGTACCCGTGTGAAGGTGCAGAGTTGTTTGCTGATGTGGATTCGAACTTATCCCATTCTTGGCAGAATGGACCATCTTGGTTGGAGCATCACTGACATTTTATCAGCCAACCAAACGATGATCAACACGGATAATCACTGGTTAATGATGGTTAATATATGGTTAATGTATGGTTATTATATGGTCAATGATGGTTAATAATAATCTGGTTGGTGATTTTAACCATCTGGAAAAATATGAGTTCGTCAATGGGAAGGATGACATCCCATATATGATGGAAAAAATGATTGAAACCACCAACCAGAATATTTTTTTTGGGTCATTAGCTGCTGATACATCAGTCGGTTGTAATTAGCAACCCAGCTTTTCCGCCTGAACTCCCATTTTCGCTGTGCTATCGTGTGATTCTGAGCTAAATTCAATTCCTTCCTAGGCAAATCCCATTTTTCTTAAATCAAAATCCTCATTGTACTGGTTCAACCCCCATCCTTCATGAGGATAGTCACTAGTCACATATGACATTTCCCGGATTAATGCCCCTTCTTTTCCTAGCTAAATCTCCTTTTCCCGCCGAATTCAGCAATATTCCTTCTTCAATCTGATGATATTCATTGGGTTCCTACTTCATCGAACTTGCTTCACAGTGAAATTGCACTCTTCTCCAATAGAATCACAACATATCACAACTGAATCGCCCTTTTTCCCCGGAATTTCTTCCAGATTCCTCCAGGCAAACACAAAGACTACGGCGATCGTTTAACGGTCTCCTTGGCAGGCGGCATGTGCCGCTTGCACGATTGGCAGCGCGGAGCGCCGGGGCACGAAAACACCTTCGGGTCATGATGTCGACGAAGGCAAATAGCTAGGGAGCTATAAGTAAGTTGGTCGAGGATTTTAAGCAACAAAAGTGTATGGATTGAAAGTTTTACTATATAATATGACTAAACTAATGATGTTAGCTAGAGTTGGTTTATAGTGTTTATAACATTTTATAACTTGGTTTATGTGGGATAAAGCAGGAGTATAACTGTAGTTCATGGGGATTTTTCAATAAACACACGAAACACTCTCACTTTAGACTTTGACCCGCTCCTTCACGGAACTTTCGTGAACATCTCCTTGCAAGTTATATAAATATGTGCTTAATAAATTGTGAAATGATGATTCATGATATCTAAGTGTCGTGAAATAAGATGTTACTTTTGCGAAGTCAAACAAAAACGAAAACTTTCGAGGGTTCAAACCGTGATATTTTTACAGTCATCGTAATTATAACATATTATAACTCCAAAAACAGGGACCTTTTTAGATCGATACCCATGGATTTATATCCATTTATCTCCAGGAATCCACACGGGAAGTGGTGATAAGTGATGAACGCTGTGGAATATAACAAGGGGAGATGAAAAACTACAGGCCCAATGTCACAATCCTTTGGACCAAACAGCAAACATGCCAAATTCATGAGTATGTCTCTGGCAAACACGAAAGGCCGTGGAATTGCAAATAAGAATTGCCAACAAATCATTGAAAACTCATCAACATTCTATTATGATCGAATAATATCGAATATGATGACCTAAGCTACACAAATAATTATCGAAATTATATGATCTAATTAAGCTACAATTTAAAAACGAAATGTTCATGAATATTCAAGATTCAATGGGCACTATGTCATCATACGTTAACGTTAACGTTTTCACCAAAACAACATCAACCCTGCGGCGACTTCTTTTCTGTTGGTCAACTGAAGGCAGCGCACCTGCGGCGGTTGGTGGTGCGGAGGGATGATGAGAGTTCGAAACAATTGAATGATAGCGACCCAAAAAATAGACTTGAACAATAAAATCCTACTATATAATATGTACTAATATCATTTAATATCATTTAATATCTATACAATGAGGTTTCTATCTTTGCAGTGTCATTTTTATTTTTTTTGGGCTTACACAGATCATTACCACCCAGGTACCACTCTCCGGGCTGCTCCAACATGCCAGATACGTTCAATGGAGGCAAATAAAGCAGCACAAAATAGCACAAATGACCAATGTGGCAGTGTGTCAAAACCTTGTACCCCTGTATATAGTTCACATCAAAATAGCTGGGATTCATGGATGTTCATCCCCCTAAAAATGGTATTAATAGGTATTGATCCATAGCCATGTACCGTAAATGACCGCGCTTCTGGCTGTGATTGGAGCAACACCCTATGTCTGTTGCTTCTATCATGTTGACCTCCGTAAGAACTGGAGGACCTCCAGTCCCAGGCCTTCAAAACATGACAACGCTGTAGCTGCAGCCTGCCATGGCTCTGTGTGTCAGGTGGTCGTTTGATCCTCAGGTCTAAATCACTAGGATTCTTTCGCCCACAACCGATAGCTAAGTTGGTTTATAATTCGAAAAACATTCAACAACTATGGTTTATGATACCTATAACTATGGTTTAATGGGGTTTATAAACCAACATTCACATCACTGGGGGGCCCCACATTGTAGGATTTTTGGTATGACGATCTTTGTTGATTCAATTCAAACGTTCAATGGTGAACCATATTTTGCTCACAACTAATCAGCTCGCTCCACAAATGTTTGATGATATAAGAGCATGTTTCAGAGTGTCAAATCACCCAGATTTCCAATTTTTTGTACTGTGCGAAACACATGTTTTGAATGGGCTAACATCCAATGATTCGTTTACAATGAATCTCGTGCCCCCGCCTTTTTCCACGGTCAAGTGAATCAAATTGTATTAAATACAGTTTTTTCATGGTTAAAACCAAATTATTGAATAACCAGTTGTTTCATGGTTAAAATCCATGCTTAAACTACTATTCTCCAATGTTGAACATTTATCACATTATCCATCATTAATGGATACTATATAACTTAATAACCACCATTCATGGATATCAAATGATATTAACCACTATTCTATAATTATCTTTCACTATTGCTAAATAATTATCTATAACTATTACTTAACATTTATGAACATATCTCAACCATGGCTATTGATTACAGTAACATGGATATTGAAATGGCTCAAAATAAAATATTAACCCCCTGTCAACTCCTGCTTTCTTTAAACCATTAAACATTAAACCACTTTTTCATGGATATCAAATGATATTAACAACTAATGATTCTATAATTATTCTATAATTATCTAATATTATCTATAATATTCTATAATTATTTAACATTTATTAACCACCATTAATGGCTATTATATAAATGTTATTAACCACTATTCTCCAATTATTAATTAACATTTATATAACCTTATTAACACCTAATTTCAAGTAATCCATTCAAGAATGGATGATATTAACCACCATTCATGGATTATTAACATATCTCAACCACGGCCTTCACCACACGTTGCATCCGCTCCGCATCGCCCGTGGGATCCAAGGCGGTATCAGCGCCCGCCAAGCGATGCCTAAATCCCGCAAGTTACCCATGAAAAACGGGTGATTTCATGGGAAAATACAGTAAAATCTAGGAACATCTTACTGGTGCTAAACGTAGGGAATGGATGGGAATGGGGGTTGCTGGGATGATTATTACTAGTGAGCCAGTGGATCATTCCCGAAAATTCCCTACGTTTAGCACCAGTAAGAAATCTAATGGATATTTATGGGATAATCAGAATGGAGAGATTTTCAAATGGGATAATCAACTGATATGGAAATATATAGGAAAAAGATGGAAACATATAGGAAAATCCAGGAACTAAATAGAACTAAATGGATGTTTAAAGCATTTATAGCTGGAAAACATCAACTATAGTGGTGATTGATGATGACAAAAATGGTGATTTACCTATGAAACCAGGTAAGTTTTCTGTTCGCAAACCAATGTAATAACCAGAGGGTAGCAACATAGTTCCAGGGCAGTTGACATGATTTGACTTCATCCCACCTAGTACGTAGGTTAGTTCACCCCAGTGATAAGTGGCTGAACCCTGCTTGACTATCCCCCTATCCCCCTAACAAAACCAGGGATGTAACATGATGCAATTTACGTCCGTTCGGATGAGCCACCAAGTAATGTGTGTTTTCTTTTCATGGTTTTTGCCAGCCAATATATAAATGGGGGTTGAACCAACAAATATGGAGATACAATGCGGATATAACCAACTTAATATGTTTTTTTTTTTTTTAAATATGATGTTTGGGTGCGTCTGAAAATGGCGCTATACCAAGAAACGGGGCAACATTAAAAAATTAGGGAACATGTTGATTATGCTGATTAGCCACTGGATTTACGGGTACCCTATTTCAGACAAACTCATATGAAACAAATGGCTGGTTTGCCACCATTTATGGGTTGCAACTATCATCTATTATCATCCCCAACTGATGATTTCGATGGCAATGTTTACCATGTTTAGAGGTTGTTGGAAACATGATGGAGATACGACATGGGAATATTAGGGGGTATACGGTATACGGTACCTATGGAACAGTATGGAATGTATGATGAGATAGGATAACGAAGTAAATCTTGGTTTGCCTGAATTTCAGGGCAAGAGAAACGTGACCAGGGCCAATGGAAGCCTGGAAAAATTGTGTAAATATTCTGGTGGTATATCCAGCAGATAAAGTACAGGGCTCCCAATAAAGAACGGGGTTTGTGAAATTTAGCAGTCTGAAAATAGCTTAGTCGAACAATGTCCCAATTCCATGGTACCATCAGATTTTTTCTGGTTAAATCTTCAAAAACTACCTGGAAACGACTCCCCAGAAGCGAACTGTTCAGAAGGTGCCCCCGTTATGAGTTGTTTCATAATCCCCTTTATATACCATCTGGTAAACTAACATAACTATGGAAAGATCCACCATTTTTAATGGGAAAACTCACTATAAATGGTCATTTTCAATAGCTTTTTGTATGTTTACCAGAGGGTAACTATAGGGATAGTCCTATCCCCCTAATCAAGCCTAGTTGGCCTAGCGAGTGAACTAGCCCCCAACTTATCGAACGTAAAATCACTTGCATCAACGAACGAAATCCCCATTTTTCCGGGTAAAAACAAGGAAAAAAAACAGGGGTCAATAACCCAAAGGAATCGACATATCCCAAATGGATCTTAGCTGTTTCATGGCCAATCTTAGATACCCATTGATCCCAAAATAAAAATCTTAGCTGGTTAGTAAATAATCCCATTGATACCAGAAGACTAAAGGATTACCCTCTGGTAAACATTTACATAGCTATGGAAAATCATCATTTCTAATCAATGGATAAATCAACTATTTCGACTGGGCCATTTTCAATAGCTATGTAACAGTCATTACCAGAGGGTAAACTATTCACCATACCCATGCATTCACCATATATTTACCACATATTAACCATATATTGATCCCCTTAACCATCCATCCAGTCGATTGACCTAGCTTCCACGTCAAGTGACAAGGCGGCAGTCACAATGTCTCTATGATCAAAGCTCCAGGAGCAGGCCCTCAGCACGTGGCGGCACGTGGCGGCACGTCGCGACGGGGCGTTGTTTTTTTAATCCAAGATCTATGTTGAAGAATGGTTCCACCCCTGGTGGATAAGTTGATGATAAGTTGGTTATAAGTTGATTATAGATTATAAATTATAACTTCATACTGGTTGATCATGGAATGATACTCATATATAAGTTGACTATAGATCTATTATTATTAACAAATGAACACAATAAAGGTATATTAGCATAATGGTTGATTATATATTATGACCAATATACTAATATATATATATTCATTATGTTGATTTGGTTAACCATAGTTCAACATATGATTAATTATGTAATGCTTGATAATAATGACTGATAATGCTTGATAATAATCATTGAGAATGGTTATTGATGATGGTGATTTAATAATGTTTATATTTGGTGAGATTAATCAACATCAGTCCGATCCCCAAAAATGGTTGATGACATTGTGAATATTGATTAGTAATGATTAACAATGGATAACTGATATATATATATATATAATCCCTTCCCCTAAGATGAAATATAAATACACCCAAATAGACCCCCGAAATGAAAAAACACTGTACTCAACCATGGTTTCTTTGGGGGTTTCCAATATCGGGCACAAACCCTGTGGTTTGCCAGGATTGCAACATTGAGGATGCCTGGTTGTTGAACATGATAAGAGATCTTGCACAAAATACTGCGTATACACAGTGTTTTCTGGTTTAGGATTCCAAGTTTTCAGGGTTTAGGGTTTTAGGGTTATAGAGTAGTTATAGAGGTTAGGGTTTAGGTTAAGGTCTTATTTAGGGTCCGACAGCACAGGTTTATGAGGCCAACGGGAACAAATTCATCAACAAAAACAACCTGACTGGAAGAATCACCAGAAAAAACAAACAAAGAACAAGAAAAAAAAATCAAACCCGTGATGTTCCTCGGTGTTTTTCTTTTTTTGTTTTTTGTTTTCCATGTATTTTTGAGTTTTCTGGTTTGTTTGTTGTCCGGTTTACTCTGGTTTTGTTTTTTGAATTTTGCGTAAAACCCTACATTCTCTGTGTTGTTGGACTCATAAGGACAGGTTGTCGGGCAAAACCTTAACAGAAACGTCTTGGCCGCGCCCAAAGCTCCAAGCTCATTGGGATATTTTTTCTGGGCCCGAGCGCAACTGGGATAGGTTTCTGTTCCTTTTGGGTGCTTATTTTGGTGCCCAAAACCTCACTGGGATACCTTTTCTGTTCTTTTTGAACGTTTTTTTGGTTGTCCGTAGCCCCACGGGGTACCTACGGGGTACCTTTCCTGTTTTGAAGCCTTTTTTTGGGCCCATTGGCGGCCCATTGGGGGCCCTTTTCCAATGACGTCCCGTAGTCGTATACCGGGACTGCTGCTTTCATTGCACCGCTTGAGCTTGCAGCCTCCAAGGAGTTAGTTTATCTTGAGCACCATTGATGTCCGGACTCCTGCTGGCACGTCCTTGGCAACCCTTTGCCACCTCGCGGTCTTACGGCGCCTTCGCGCTTTGCTTTCACCGCTTGATAGCTTTCCACAGATCGCCACTCAGTTTCGATCGGAGAGCTGCTACTCGGTCTTTCTTTTCCTTTTCTGGTGAATAGCATCAGTGAAGTCGAGCACTGAAGTGGAAGTGCTCGACTTCAACTTGGTTGATCACTGGCCAATTTGCAAAATCCCATGAAATCCGGCAAAAAAAGGGAACACAAGGACTCAAGGATATAATATACTTAACCAATCTTAACCATACTTAACCATCAACTCCTGCAAGTAGATGAGTTTCTGTTGGCTTCACCCAGTTCTTTAAAAAACAACATCACCAAGCTGCGCTACTTGACTCAAGGCTTGATACTGTGCGGTTGCAGCATCGTCTCCAGCCTGCAGGGACATTCAGATACCCTTGGTGTGTCTGCAAATGAGGAATTCACTCCTAATTATATGGCCTTTCAATGAGATGTATTTGAGGTTTTGAACCAGTGGATGGAAGTGTTTTTTTCACGTTTTCAATCAAACCCGCAGTATCGACTTTCTGGATTAAGACAAGAACAAAAAGGCATGTTCAGTCTTCAACCGTCCAATCTTAGCTAGTAAAAGGGGGCAGAATACACCGGCAGTTGTGGCGGGTGTAGAAATCGACTGCTTCAAGGCTTGCTAAAGGCCATCGACCTCGACACAGTCGCATGTTGTTTCCCCTAATTGTTGCTGCCTAGATCCACATGTTTGCTTCGTAAAATCAAGATGTTTTTGGTCATTCTAAATTTAAAACACCAAGGGTGTTGAGTTAAAATTTAAATGCGTTTCTCCCTTGTCAGCTTCCATCTGCAGTTTTTCGGCGTCAATGCTTCAATCCCAATGTTTTGCAAGTGACATCTCAATGTTGTGTTGCTTAAATCCCTGGAATTTCTTGGAAAGAAACAACAAAAAAACATATACCCTCCGGTAAACAAAGATGGTGGAACATTCATGACCAGTTTTCATTGATGCATTTCCCACAAAGACCCCATGTTCTTCGGGAGGATTTGACCATATTTTCGAACATACGTTCCATATATTTGCCATCTGGTTGGTGGTTTCAACCCCTCTGAAAAATATGAGTTCGTCAGTTGGGATGATGACATTCCCAAGATATGGAAAAATAAAACATCTGTGGAACCACCAATCAGACTTTTTCGGGAAATCACATTTCTTCCAGATTTCATAAATTTGCCATAAATGTGCCATAAATTCGCCCTGGAAATTGCCATACAGACATATATTTGCCATAAATTCTCCATTAAGAGCTCCAGATTCCTGAAATCCACCCTGGAAATCCAGCGCCTTGCAGGACTGATCTGGGGCCAGCGCCATGAAAGCCGTGGTGGAGACCAGACCTGCAATGGGAACGATGGACAAAAATCCATGGGAATCAGGGGATATGATGGGATAATGCATGTATACATGGGAGATATATGTATATATATATGTATTGTATATATATATATATGTATATATATATATATGTGTATTATATATATATATATGTATATGGATATATATATATATATGTATATATCTATATATCTATATATATGTTTACAGTAATTACATAATGTATGCTGGATTTCTTGAAATCCCTATGATATGGGGAATCATGGCTAATCCCTTCCCCCGTTGAAATAAAACCGGCACTAAACAAAACCATGACGGACGTAGGGGTTGAAGACACATATGACTGGGTGTTTGATATTAGGGGAACGGGATCGGATTAGTGACTTGACTTAAAGAAACAAATATTGAAGTGTGGACTCAATCATAGGTTAATGAGGTTTGACTAAGAATGGGTACTGCAAACTTCAAATGTCAGATGGTATGTATGAGGCCGTCGATAACCCACAACATCTTATTTCACGGAAATACTGAGACTTGGTGCTTCAAAGCAGTTCCCAAGACCTGAATCACTTGTTCCAATTCGGTTCGGTTCTTCGTGGCCTGGATAAAATCAACATCCCGGGCTTGCAACTCGCTGAGAGCTTGGAAACCAATTGAGTAGGGTTGTAGCTGGGTCAGCGGGTTATCTCCAAATGGTTTAACCCAAAACCAAGGTTTTATCAATATCAAATCGTTCATATTCTCTGACTCTCTGACATTCTCTGATGTTGTTCTTACTGTTGAAATTGCAATTTGGGATTTCCCCCATTTTCCGACACATCCAAATATACGGTAGATGTCATGTGTCAGAAAAACCACGGCTGCCACGTATCACGGCTATTTTTGTGTTTCCCAAGTTGATCAAGAATCCCATTGTGATCCCAGATGATTCAAGCCTCGGGGATCGCGACCCGGGGTGTCCCAAACCCCCAGTTCCACCAAGGGCAAACCCATCACATTGGTCTCCTAGGCAAAGATGTTGTAGGAAACGGAGATAGAATTTTGGACATAGATAGAAGAATTAAAGTATATCAACGTATATGATAGGTTTTTATATTGTATATCAATGTACATCATGGGCCTTTATAACGTTCAACTGATGTTGCATTCATATTAAGCACGGTTCGCTAAGACAAAGCAACTGGGGCTGGAATCGGAAGTCTGGGCATCGCCAGGGATGCATCGAAACAATGAAGGCCACGGACTGATGCATCGACTCATTGACATTCATTGACCAGGCATTGCACATGGTTTTCATTGGTTTTCCCATGGTTTTACCTGGAAAAACATGAAAAAACAAGCGAGTAGATGCGAGTAGTACTTCCTGCATCTTTTCCTATGGTTTTCCCATGGTTTTCCTATGGTTTTCAATGGTTTTCCCATGGTTTTCCTATGGTTCTGTCAACCCCAAATCTCTTCTCTTACCGTCCTCTTGCAATTCCCGCTGCGCTGCCAGCATGGGCGACTCATCCCCTGGGAGGGTCAGGGATGATATGCCCAAGTTTAGAAAACTCTCTGGGGATGATACTTAACAATAACAACTGAGTACATATATATATACATACCAGTATATCAGTATATATTTATATATATATATAACAATATATATATAAGTTTTTCTTAACAATACCAACTGAATTATAATGAGTATATCAGTATATATATAACAATATATTTCACCATGATGCAAATTTGAACAATAGTAGGTAAATTTAATCAATAAAAACCATTCCCCACTGGGGATTACAAAATGTATTGGGATTGTGTACCCTAATGTAAGTCACATATATATATATTTATAAATATTTAAGTCACATCTATCTGTATATATATATAGATAGTCACATCTATCTATATATATATGTATATATATATATACTGGTTTATATTTTTTCCGAAAAAAACAGGTTTTGTCTTGATGAAACTCCAAAACCTCCCATGGATGGCTTTCTATTTTGGGCCATCGGGATTTACACATCGCCACGGATGAACAATCATCGAAGATCTTCTCAGTCAAGTCTTCACTCCGTTCATTGCTACCACGGTGAGAATCTAACTAAAGCCTCGAACTTGTCAATGATACCACGGTGAGAATCCGAGGGAATAGCAGATTCCTCAACTTCAGGCTCTCCCCTTTCAACTGGAGCCTTTTTCACTGGAGGCTTTTTCACCGGTGTCTTCTTAGCTGTCACAGCAGGAGATCTGCTACGCACCGCAAAGAGGAATTTGCCAACGGTTGTGAGAACATCTGTGCCTGCTTCCTCAAGATACTCAAAAAACACCTCTAGAAGAGGGGCATCGAGCCAGAGGTGAAATCGAATATAGCACCAAGCGAGCTCAAAGAAATCTGGTATTTGCCCCACGCGATCCCTTCTCTCAGGCACTGATGGAGCACTGCTTTGACCCTCTCGAATATAGCACGAGCTTTCTTCTTTGGTGGCCTCTTAGGTTCAGGAACACCAGCAGCCGGAGAAGCCCTAGGCACTGCTGTAGCACGAGACCTCTTAGGTTCAGGTACACGCCTCTTGGATTATTTCACCATGTTACCAGCTAGGGTCAATAATGACATTAGCCAGGACTCAGTTTGCAATATCTGACAGGACATTTGAAAATGGCAAAAACCACTGCCAGACGATATATAATTTCTATTTATTAACTAAAGGAATTTGAATGAAAGCAAACCATAGTTATAATCACGTATAGTCATATAGACAATTCACTACAATAAACCAAAAATTAAACATACAGCGACTTACTTTATGTTCCACATATATAATTATATCTCTGTGATTTGTCCAAAGCATAGCTATGTATGTTCTGTTATGCATACATGTGTCATGTACCCCGCATATATTGTTCACACTCCAAATACCCACGCGAGCAAGAAGCGTGAATCCATTTTCATTGCAAGACGAAGTTAGAATGATTTTAGAACCAAGGTCCTGTCCTCAAAGTCAGGATCCTCGATCAATTTATTTGCCATTGCAGCTGGCACAGGTTAAATTTCACAGTGGGAAATGAAAATGCAGCAGGGAATCATGGGTAGTCACGCGTCACCAGATTTATATATATATATGGATTTCTGCCGAAAAAATCCAAGATCAGCAGAACTCAAGTACACATTTTGTGAGGTGGAGTTCCGCCAGAAAAAAAATCAGCAGAAATCCTAGGTCCAAACATTGAATCAGCAGAAGTCCACTGCACAAAACCAGAAGATGAGTTCCGCCCAGGCATGGGTCTGAATACAAAGCTCCGCGGACAAAAAAAACAGCAGAAGTCAGGTACTAGTACGCAATTTGTGTAGTGGAGTTTCGCTGAAAACCAATTTACACTAAAGTCCGCAAAAAATTGTTTGCAGTCGATTCGGGGGCCCAGGATCTCAATTTTCCGCCGATTTTTTTCGGCAGATATCATGCCCCATAATCGGCGGCAAAAAAAGACCGCAAAGTCTGCAGAGATTTGTTTGGCAAAAATTTAAGACTTCAATGCAAAGTTCTGAGCCCTAGACTACCCTACCTATTGGCCATGGGTGGCACATGTGATCGGGAGGAACTTGCCTGGGTAACCCTTGGAAAATCGTGTGGACTTGGTGATGGGCAATATAACCACCCACTACCATGGTCTGGCCCCATGCTTTTTGAAAGCTCCATGGAAAGAGGGTTTAACTCAAGCACTCCCTTCCCCCGCCCCCCTACTGAATGCTCAAATCCACCCGAATAGTTTAAAACATGTTAAAGCATGTTAAAGCTAGGCAAAGAAAAAGTACCTGTAATTAGTACAAGTGCGACATTTGTTGTACAGGAGAGGCCCGCGCACACCCGGACCTGGAATCTGAAAGCAGCACTTGGACCAAAACCATACCAAGTTAATCAACAATTCAGCATGCGAATCATACGAACGTTAATCAACATGTGCTCGCCGAAGAGGCTCCTAACAATACTAATAAGAATCAAATTTCTTCACTAAAAAGTCAATTGTTCAATCATGTCCAATCTGTAGCGTCACCCAATACAAAAATCAATTAAAATGCGCTTGGCGAAGAAGTTCCCTGATAAGCGCCTTTTCAAAATTTATATTCAACCAAGGTCAAGCACAATTTGCTGCCTGAAGAGACACCCTAATCAGGACCAAAGTATCTACTAAAAACTTTACATATATGTTTCACATTCATTTTGTACCAACCGAATCCAAGCCTCAAACACATGGTCTCTTTTATTCTCGGGGTCCAAGACCATCATTTCAATCCACTTACCAAGAGCATGAAGGGGTGAAAGGGAATGATCCATTAAACCAAACTTAAATTATGACACATGATCTAGATCGCGAGACCCCAATTCGACTGCAAAAGTTTGGGGGTAGTTAATATATGTTAATATTATATTTGCTGCATATATCACCGTTAAAAGGATGATGACATCATGTTTCTCACCCACCAGCTTTTCTGGTCAAATCACCCTTTTTCACACCCCATCAACAGTTACATCCCCAGCATCCCCAAATACTTTTTAGAGAAACATACTTTTTTATTGATCCGTTTTTTTTTTAAATGTTTCGTTCCCCGAAAAAATGGCTGGGATGACATCCCCATGACGTCCCCTCATGACACAGCGCCGCCAGGTGGCGCTCCACGAAACCACCGGGCAAGGCCAAACAGCCTTGGAAGGGTGGCTTACCGCGGGTGATGGTCAGCAACCTCAGCAACCACCAGCGGCACGGCGCCACAGGGGGAAGCAATGTATATTGTGGAGATAGCATCATTAATTGGAGCTTCATTTCCAGTTGGGCCGAGGCTCAAAACTTGATTTTTACTATTCTTTTAAACACAGGATGGGGCCCGTAAGTGGCCCGTAAGTTAACTTGAAGTTGCGAAGGTATAAATTGAGTTACGGAAAATCATGTTCAAATTGTGGTAACTTATGCTAGGGCACACTATAACATTATAAGTTTTGTATCTTTTTAGTGTCTTATCTTTTTCGATGTGGAGGTGAATTGCGAAAATTAAACGGTAAACACGGATGTCCATTCTAACATTCCCTTGAGGCCAGTCGAACAAAGTTCTTTGTCACGGCAAGACCATGATACTATTCTTTTAAACACAGGATGGGGCCCGTAAGTTAACTTGAAGTTGCGAAGGTATAAATTAAGTCACGGAAAATCCTGTTGAAATTGTGGTAACTTATGCTAGGGTACATTATAACTTAAGTTATAAGTTTTGTATCTTTTTAGTGTCTTATCTTTTTCGATGTGGAGGTGAATCGCGAAAATTAAACGGTAAACATGGATGTCCATTCTAACATTCCCTTGAGGCCAGTCGAACAAAGTTTTTTGTCACGGCAAGACCATGATTGTCCGATTGGCACTGTCACAGCTGATTTGAGACACTGAAAACCTACGGAAAGACCGTAAATCAGAAGACACAAGAAAACACATTCCTCATACATACGCGTTTCCTACCTACGGGGGATGTTGTCTCAAAACACAAGGGCGCTGCACAAACAAGTATGCTTTTACCCTGAATACACATCCGCGTTTTCAGTTTCCATCAAAAACACATCTCACAATCCCAAAAGTTATGTGTCAAGTGAAAACACATTCCTCATACGTACGCGTTCTTTTAAGTCATTTTAGGGGTTGCTGTATGTTGCTGTACATCCATGATCATCCGTGCACGTTTCTTTTGGTGATGATTTGTCTGGGCCAAAATACATTCATCGTAGGTATGAAATATCCCGAATGCCAAGTCACCATGCCTCCCTTTGCAGGATTGGTTGTTCTCTACAATTTGGGGTGTCAAATTTCGGACCGCGGGAACCACAGGATTTGGTCATGTTTAGTATCGCATTCTATCCATTTTACTCCGATATCGCATATCTAGGTAGGCCCATGCTTGACTTGAGCTCGACAAAACCCCCCCGCTCGATACACTGTCAGCCAGGCAACTCTAATTCGTCGCCCATGTGGAAAACTAGAATGTCTGCCGTGTATTTGATCCGCGGCATGACGCTTAAACATGGAGCGTCACAGATCAACCATTGGAGGTTTCCAACTGGGTGTACCTCCAAAACATTCCTATTTTGATAAGATTTTCCATCATAAATAAAAATCCATATCCCCCAATTAGTGACATGTCAACTTCAAACTTCCAAAGGGTGGTTAGGTCTACAGGCTCTTGCCTTCAGTGTATCTGAAGCTTTATGTTTTTCTAGTGGGATCCGCTGTTGGATATCCTTCTCTGTGCCAAGCACAGGCAGCTTGAACATGCGCAAATGCCAAGAAGACCACTCGCAAGTCTGTAAGTCTAGCGTCTGGATGTCACATCCCCAAAACTCAAAGAAAAGTGCAAGCCAATAATAGCATATCCATATCTCATTGACTTGCAATGGTTTGCAAGGCTAGTCTTAGACCCTGACTTTAAGCGGAAAATCAAATACATAAAACCATGCATGGCTGAAAATCAACCCATCATCAGTTGGCTTGCAGGTTTAAATCAAATTTTGTTCTCATTGAATCCTCATTTCTTCTGGTCAAGTTGCATTTTTGGTCAGCTACTCAAATCCTTGCATCTCTTGAACAAATCCACAGTTTTGTTAAAACAGCTTAAACCCACATTCTTGCCAGTAAAACCCGGATTTCTTTGACATCACCTAAGTAACTATTGGGAGATTATATCATATTATAATACATTATATTCCCTTTTTGGTTGGGTGATGTTTAATTAGGATATGTTCCAACCCCTGTCAAATTCCCAAAAATCAGCAAAACCCCCTCGCCTCAGCATGGGTTTGACTGAAAATAGGGTATCTCAAAATCCAATGGATTATCATTCTCCCATTTAAAATAAGACTATTTTGGGCACCCTCTGGTAAACTACCATAACTATGGAAAATCACCATTTTTAATAGGTAAATCAATGTAAATCATCGAACTAAATGACCATTTTCAATATAGTAAACTGATAAATTACCAGTGGGTATCTCTGGCTTTGTCTGAAAGTGTTGGGAAAACCCTCGAATATTTCATGGCTTAAAACCTCATTTTCCCCATGGTACAAGACACACCCCCAATTCCTCCACAACGCCATGGCACCTGGCGGCACGTGCAGCGTGAGCCCATCGAACTGCGCCAGCTGCGCCTGGTGCTCCGTACGTCCTCCCCAGGTCGATAATGCGTGCGCCGCATCCGTCACGCCGTCCTGAGGAGAGGCTGGGTGTATAGCAAGAGGTTGAGGGTACCATATATATAATATATATATAGTTATATATTTATGTACATGTCTATGTATATATATATATTTATACATATATTTGTATTCATGATTTGTTTATTTAATGATTTATGTACTTCTGTATGTTATTTATACGGCAAATGCCTGGGCTTTGCCCGGAACCGCAACCACGACAGGCAACGCATCATCATCGTCATCATCCTCATCCTCATCATCCTCATCCTCATCATCATCATCATCATCATCAAACCCTTATTGGAGATCTTCAATGAATGTAGAAGTTTAACGGGGGTGGGAGAATTAAACCCTTACTGAAGACCTTCAATGAATGTAGAAGTTTTACGGGGGTGGGAGAATTAAACCCTTATTGAAGATCTTCAATGAATGTAAAGTTTAACGGCGGTGAGATTTTAATATTCCCTAATACCTTGGTTGATCTTCCCAATTGAATGTAAAGTTTAACGGCGGTGAGATTTTAATATTCCCTAATACCTTTGTTGATCTTCCCAATTGAATGTAAAGTTTAACGGGGGTGGGATTTTAATATTCCCTAATACCTTTGTTGATCTTCCCAATTGAATGTAAAGTTTAACGGGGATGGGATTTTAATATTCCCTAATACCTTTGTTGATCTTCCCAACTGAATGTAGAGCTTAACCGGGGTGGGATTTTAATATTCCCTAATACCTTTGTTGATCTTCCCAACTGAATGTAGAGTTTAACCGGGGTGGGATTTTTATATTCCCTAATACCTTTGTTGATCTTCCCAACTGAATGTAGAGTTTAACGGGGGTGGGATTTCAATATTCCCGAATACCTTTGTTGATCCTCCCAACGGAATGCAGAGTTGCAACAACATTTGCTTGGGAATAGGGAACCTCTACGCTGCAACGCCTGGGCAAAGCCCAGGCGTTGCGCGTATATATACATACCTGCATGTATGTGTGTATGTATATATATATATACATGTATGTACATAGCTAATCATAGATATAAACACAAGTGGATACATGGACTTATAAATGGATCATTATGTACAGAATTTAATACTAATATCCATTGATGGCGTGGTATGTGATATATAGTAAAGACCCATTCAATCATTCATACCCTAGTCTAAAAACAATTGAACAGTGTTCAAAATGTCCTTTGTCATTCCATTATACTGGTTGGTGAACAGGAATTCCCCTATTGGATTATTGTAATCCTCAATATATATATAATATACATCAATATAATATAATATACATATCATTATCATATATATATAGATATATCAAATTATATCAAATTATATCAAATTATATCAAATTATATCAAATAATATAGGTAGATATAGGTAGTACCCTCTGGTAATTTAACATAACTATGGATAATCACCATTTTCAATGGGAAAATCCACTATAAATGGCCATTTTCAATAGCTATTTTGACATAACCAGAGGGTAATCAGCAAAATTGAATCCCTGTACCCCTAGTGAACCCCAAAATAGCTGGGATTTATGGATGTTCATCCCATTAAAAATGGTATTTTTATAGGTATTGATCCATAGCCATATATCATGATATATCTCTATGAGCTATACATGGGGGATGATATATCTAAATTATATCAAATAATATAGGTAGATCATCCCCAAATAGGTAGATATAGGGGGTAGATATAGTAGATATATGTAGATATTATATCTAAATTATATCTCTAATATAGGTAGATATAGGGAGTATTTCATCCCCAAACCAATCAACCAACGGGCCGTAAAAACAACCCCGTCCTTGAAGCGTCGCTGCAAGGCGTCGTGGTCCTTCTGCATCAGCCGACGGAAGCTCCGCGGGGCCTCCAGCCGAAAACCGAGCCCCGGCAGCCTGACGCCAGCCGTTCGCGGCACGCGGCGCCGCGGATTTCACCACAAGAAATGGGGATTTCATGGTGATTTCATAGTGATTTCATGGGGATTTCATGGGATTTCATGGGATTTAATGGTGATTTCATGGAAATTTGATGGAATTCATGAAGAAAAATGGTGACTTAGTCGGATTTAATGGTGATTTAATGGGATTTCGTGGTGATTTCATGGCGATTTTAACGGATTCATATTGATTTCATGGTGATTTTGCTGATGATGCTCAATGGCAAAAACTTGATGGAGAAAATCTTCTGATTTCACCCAAAATGGTGATCCAAAGGTCATGAAAATTCTGTTGGATTCAATGGTGATTTCACAGGATTTCACCAAGAAATATGGGGATATGTATTGGGAGTATCATACACTAATAGAGATAGAAATCATGAGATATCTTTTTCTGAGTAGCCAGCTATATGGAGTAGCCTCTGGAAAGTGAGAAATCAACTCTCCATTGATTCAATCATATTATTAACTTCTGGTAAACAAACATAGCTATTGAAAATGGCCATTTATAGTTGATTTACCCATTAAACATGGTGATTTTCCATAGTTTTTTGTATGTTTACCAGGCCGGGTTTTTCTCCCAAGTGCGATCATGGATTCACCGAAGAAAAACAGCAGTCAAGTCACCTTCAACGCATGTTGAAAAACGGTGGGTTTAAGGCTTTAATGATGGAATTGAGAATGGGGATTCATGATAATTTATTGCTGTTAATGTGGATATATACATATCATACATGTCAGGTGTAATCAACAAAAAATGCATGATTCACAGGTGATAGAATTAAATGAAAATTCTGTCAACTAGGGCAACTAGCCCTATAGGATTGAAATGGAATAAGTATTTGGGGACGTTTTCCCAATCATCAACCAATGTAGGCCTTTCTGGGGGAGCCGCTGAGCCACTTTTTCCTAGCAAGGTGGTCCTGCTGGTCCCCAAACAGCGCGGACAGCGCGGAGAGTGGGGGGCGCCAGGTCCGACTTTCACAACATCGCCAGGGCGACAAAGGAGATTTATGCAGGCAAATGGGAGTCTGCCTTAACTGAAGAGTCAAGGCTGGAGGTTTCCATAATCATGGGGGTACCCCAATAGCTGGATGGTTTACATTGCGGCAAATCCATAGATGTAAAATTATATGAATGGATGATTTGGGGATACCCCCATGACTTAGGAAACCTTCATTTTTCTTTTTGGGCAAATCTTAACCACCAACCCCTTCTCGAAGGGGCTTCATAGGTCGAAGCCCCAGATTTCTTTGGTTCTATCAACTGGGAACTATCAATATTGACTGGATGACATAGGTATATATATATATTGAGAGGTCGAAATATCCATATACGTTTGCAAATCTATCAATCAATCAGTCATGATTCATAGGCAATATCAACTGGATGAAATGATCATGACTGATTGATTATGATTGATATGGCTGGTACCATGACATGGACAAAATCACTTGGATGAAAACTACCACCGGGTTATCACTATTAAACATATTAGCATGGTTGAATATGTTATCTCCATTGTATAATTTGCCTAATAGCAATTCAGAAAATTCATGCTGACTAGAGTTGAAAAAGAAACAACATATCCATGTTTGACATGGAAACCAGTAAGAGCCATATGATCCAGCAATAAAATTGTCGACCCACTTTATTAGGTTCCACATTACTGATCATGATTGTAAATTTAGGACCGTAATCATGGATCATCGACATCACTGTTCCCCACAGATTCTGCAGAAGGCTTTTTGTTCCAATGGGAACACCACACAATCACCTTGAGCAAATACACGCTGTTTGCCTTGTTTTTCCATATCCACACTGAAATCAGTCCATGTCAGTGAGAGACTCCCATTTGGCCCTCGGAGTCACACGTTCAGAACTGCTGTGTGACTGAAAACTGTGGACTGCTTGGAAGTGGCAGTGAGAGCCTCTGGTGAATGACCAGTGAAAGATGGATAGCAATCAACGGTGGGGCCTATCAGCAACAAAGTATGGGAACAAAGGAAGCATCCAATAAATGGGATACTGTATACTACTACCCTCGAGTCAGTACAAGTATAAGCCAGTTACACGTTACTTCTTCTGTACAATTGTTTTGGTGGACTCAACAAACGCCAGAACATTTAAATGTTAGCTCCACTATAAAACAATGAAGCAAATAGGCACCGCTTGAAGATCCTTGAGCCCACTCCCATCAGAAATTCTGAGCTCTGAGGGAAATGTTCCATCCAACAAAAGCGATGAGATTTTCTCGGGACCCAACGAAATCATCCCCAAACATCATACATTGTTTCAACGGCAACTGTTAAATGTTGCCTCCAAACAGCTCAAAAAGGGTGGAAAAAACATCTCCCAAAACCCACCACTGCAGTAAACCACCACCGGTGCGATGGCCGGTGCAGTGGAAAAGAAGGCACCGGACCAATCGCCACCGCTCTGCGTTGCCGACTCGGACAGCTTCATCGACTCGGACGCGTCGACCAGTGCCCCGAATTTCAGAGCGAGAAACCCAGCGAAAACAGTCGTATGACTCCAGAAATGATCCGAAACTTTGTGCACTACATTCCTGATCTCAACTGCTGACATAATATATATGTGTATATATATATATATCACTCACTGAATGACCTGGTTGACATTGGGATTTCATAGAACCCTTCAGAACCCTTGTCTTGAGAACCATTGTCCACGTGCAAACCAACACCCAAAAACAGTGTCGTTACTGTCATCATATGGGACGACACTAAAATCTGTCCCGCACTACGCTTCTGGGTTTATTCTATGACCGCTGAAATTTCAAGATCAGATTCACTAATATGTGAAAACAACTGTAACTATTTGTCATACACATATCAGATATCCCCGGTCATTAAATATGAAACTCATATAATATCAGATACATATATCCCCATTATCTGCCATATCTAAATCCTCCAGTCATCTGTTCGACCAGCTCGTCCGCGCACACCTAGAACCTGCATCTGACCAGTTGGAGCTGGGATGATAGTAATACATGCGTATGATATGATCAATGACTAGATGTTTATTATGAACAATCAGTACTTGTTGTACAGAAAAACGACACTTGTATTTACATAGCTACATTCTCAAAAGAATCCAGACATGTTCATATATTTGCAAGCCTACTATATATATAATTATATATACACATTGAGTTCATCATTGTATGATATGCGTGATTTGTAAATGATTGTATACATGCGCCATGCGCGAAAAGGGAAGTAATCTGGTACGGAATCATCAACGACTTCCAGGGACGGAACAAATCTGATGGCCGTGCTAACAGTACTACTATTATTACTATGAGACTAGATTATGTTATGGTACTAATATTTAGATTATGGCACTATCTATCTATATATATGGTCCCGTCCTCCGTCTCTCCACCCCCCCCCATGGGTTGGGGGGGGGGAGGGGGTAGCTCGCCTCTGGGGATCCATACATACATACGAAGCAGAATCACCCATACCATACATACGAAGCATAATCACCACGCCTACCATACATACAATTCCAAACATACATGCCATACATACCATACCTACCTTACATAGGAAACATTCCATACCCATCATAGTAACCATGCATACCATACCTATCTTACCTATCATGCATACCACACATACCATACATATGAAGCATAATCACCACGCCTACCATACATACAATTCCAAACATACATGCCATACATACCATACCTACCTTACATAGGAAACATTCCATACCCATCATAGTAACCATGCATACCATACCTATCTTACCTATCATGCATACCACACATACCATACATGTGAAACATACCCAACATACCATACCAGCATGCAAAGACGAAGACATGGGTATGGACATACAAGGCCACTACCAGCCACAGGGGGGGGAGGGGGAAACACCCATGACCACAGGGGGGGAGGGGGGGGGGGGGGGGGGGGGGGGGGGTGGCAGGGCCTGGAGCATATATATAGACTATATAGATTATGGTACTCCTAATGGCAATACTAATACTAGATGATGTTATGTTCATACAACTATTTGCACTAGTAATAATGAACATGATATCAACTACGCATCCTCATGCAACAGAATTCACACATGATATACCAATAATACGTGACGTATTATCAGCAATAAAACATAATGATCATAAAACAGTCACAAGTATGTATATAATTGTATATATATATTTATTATAGTCTACATCTATATAATTACAGTAATTAAAAAAAGTAATAAATACAACAAACTGGTCTTTGACTACTTCCTTCGGGCTATACATTCAACTGAAATTGCCGACCACCAGCTAGATGATTAATCCTGGAAGGGATCCCTAAGTAGACCCAGCTACACATACGAAATATGTGAATTTCTTTTTGGCGGTTATTTGGATCTGAAATCTGGCAAATCTTGGGATATTATACAACATTATATAACCAACCATATATCACATCCCAGATGCGAACCATGGTGCTGGAATATTTACCTACAAAACTGGGCAATTTTTAGGGTATATGTAGGTATTTATATGCCAGCACCATGGTTCGCATCTGGGCATTAGGATACCCTCTGGTAATTTAACATAGCTATGGAAAGATCCACCATGCTATTAATGGGAAAACTCACGAAATCAATGGCCATTTTCAATAGCTATGTTAGTTTACCAGAGGGTATATCCCATTAATATCCCATTGAATCACTATAAAATCCCATTAAACACCCACAATGCTAGTTATGCATGGTGAGTGCCCCCATCCACTAAGGATCATCCGTGAGTCCCCGTCCGCTTGGTATAGGCTTGGTAAATGATGGAAATGGGTAGGATGAATCTCCAAAGAATCCTCAAAAAATGGATCCGAAAATGGGCCCCAGTCGTAAAACCATATGGTTCTCTAGAAAAAATACTTGAAAACAAACTTTCACATCATTTCGTCATCCATTTCATACTGGATGATTTTTCAGGCATACTCCACTGGTTGGTGGTTTCAACCCATCTGAAAAACATGAAAGTCAGTTGGGATGATTATTCCCAAGATACGGAAAAATAAAACATGTTCCAAACCACCAACCAGTACTCCTATGATCTCCTATGGACTTCGGTTTTTTAAAACAGCCGAACAAAACATCCGTTGAACTCCCCGAACTGGAGCCTTCACTCGTCGACGGGAATTCCCAGATATTCCTTGTACCACTTCCTCTGTTGCCTGCAACGATCCAAAGATCCAAGATGCGGGTCATACAGCGATATTGGCTTCGTACAGAGTCCACCATTTTTCCATATGAAACTCATTTTCCCATGAAAATCATGATGGTGTGTTTTTTTCAATTCAAGTGATTGAAATTCATGTTGCTCCCAGCTGCTTTGCAGGGGTGCTCGCAGAATCCGTCCGTTTTGCTGTGCGATTTGGTCAAGTTCCAAACGAAACCATGAGTGCCAAAGACCAGCAACCAGAATACCATCTGGTAAACTAAGAGTCTGCTATGAAAAATCATGGCTAATCACCAATTTAAATATTTACATCAATAATTAACTTGGCCATGTTGCCATGTTCAGCCATTTTCATCCATTTTCCATTTTTCCTGTGAAAGGTTGCACCAGAAGGTTAGGAGAGATCCCCATCTGCCTATCGCCCTCTAGAGAGACTTTCACCTCTTTCAAGGTCTCCAACTTTCCTGTGGTCAAGCTGCTGCCCTATATGGTGGCTGCTAAAAAAAGGTCAACGAATGGATACCCTCTGGTTATGACTAACAGTTTGCCATGGGAAATAGATGGCCCATAGAAATAGATGGTTTACCGAACTTAATAGCATGGGGATTTTCCATGGCAAACTGTTAGTCATAACCAGATGGTATCTTGGGGGTTTATCAAAGGGGTGAAGTTGGGGAGAACCAATTGAAAAATGCAATCATCGTGCTCTGGAGAAATGTTATCATGGCTCATCTCTTCCATATCCGGCATTCAGGTCACCTTTTTTGGGGGTTATATCCCCATGGTTATTGGTTATACAAATATCATACACCAATTTTTTTTACAACATTAATTGCAAGCTGCAAGCATAAAAACTACGTAGATCATCGTAGATCTAGCTGGAAGGGGGATTTGACCCATGGTGCTCATAATTTATGGCCAGTCTTAGATAGCTTGCAGAAATCTGTTCATATTTGCGCGGTTCGTATACATCCCCAAGCGTGGCAAGCAAGTTAAAGGATTTACCTTATTAATCCCTTCCCCGTAATATTAAATACCTCCAATAAGGGACATGATCCTTTCTCGTCCTTTCATTTTCCTGGCACAAGTTCTACAAAAGGGAACTGCACCCTTCTTGGGGTCAGTCAAGGTTTCAATAGTGCTTTGCATAGCGAAAGGACGGGAATCAATACCCAACAATTCGGACATATTGGGGTAACCAACTGGATTAATTACCCTCTGGTAATTCAACATAGCTCTTGAACATGGCCATTGATTTCGTGAGTTTTCCCATTAAAAATGGTGGATCTTTCCGCAGTTTACCAATGTTTACCAGAGGGTTTACGTCATGATTCACCTGACAACTTGTGCTGCGCTTTGGCTTTGGGGATCTGGATCTCCGAATTCCCTAGCAGCCTAGCGAACCGCTCGATACTGCTAGGACCTGCTAGGATAAGTCACTGAAGAAACTTTCGAACATCGAACTGCTTTTTACATGGCTTTTTACATGGCTTTTTACATGGCTAAACATCAATCCAATGAACTTAGCTTCCGAGGCGAAAGGTGGCGTCGCGAAAATGGCAGGGCAGGCAGGTTGGGAACGGCGTTGGATGATGTGACTATAAATCTCCATTTTGTTGGGAGGATTTCGCAGTTCAGTAAAATCAGAATCATCTACATAAACAAGTCATCATGCAAAGACATATCTCAAAATGCATTAAACCTTGACTTCTCATCAATTCACTACATAGAATTCAAGCTAAATTGATGCAAATTCCAATTTTCACTATAAAATCACCATTTTTCTTGGTGAAACATTCATATCATTCATGTTTTTGGGATATGTTTGGTACCGGAAACTCCGGTGTCGTACTTCCCGAAAAATCCGCGGGCTCCTCCAGCACCGAGCCATCGCTCGGGCCGCGGCATCTCCATCAACTGCGCCATGCGCGCATGCCTCGGACACCGTGGAAACCACGATGGGTGAAGCCCGGGGCTCTAAGGGGCCCCGGAAGGGCTGGAAAAACTCTCCAAAAAATGAGATCTTTCAAGCTAGGACCTAGAATTTTTAGGTGTTGAATCAGCAAAAGGTGGCAAAATAGTCTAGTTAAGCATCCCGAAAATGACGAGTTTGGATTGAGTCAACGAACATGCAGCTTTAAAAAGCCGAAAACACATGTGGATTCAACTGAAATTAGACAGTACATGATGAAAGCAACAGTATATGATGTGGATTTAACCTGGGTTTGCCAAACATCGGATATACCAAACAAATCAATGTTCATGTCTGTCATTTGTTGGTCTGGATTGTTCAGAAGTGTTGCTGGAGCAGCAACTGTTGCAACAAATACATATCCCTATTTTGGCTTAGATTAAGGGTTACACATATCACTATTTTGTTGGTCAAATTGTCTTGTTTTTCTTGATTTAATGGTGAACAAAACAATGATGTTTACTGCATGTGAATCATGTGTGTTGCTGCTCAAAAATCACAATGCTTGCAGGTAGGATTACAACTTTCTAAATCAAAACAAATAAAACACTATTTGCGATGATCAAATCCATGATTTTACCTGCAAACATCCACACTTTTTGCTGGTCCTGTCCCGAAGCTTCCTGAACTTCACCGCTGGGGATTTGGCTCGGCTTCCTCGATGGCTTTGTTCCCCAAGAGCCTAACAGACTTGGAGTCCTGGTGGAGGATATCATGGGACTTTAGTAACCCAAAACATGAATATAATCTGATATAATAATATGGTTGGTGGTTTTAACACTCTTTAATAATATGAAAGTCAATGGGAAGGACTATCCTATATATTATGGAAAATAAAAAGATATAAAAAGTGTTTGAAACCACCAACCAGTAATTATATATGGTGGATATTGGATATAAACATATTGGATATTGTGGTGGATATTGGTTATCATGGGGATATAATGACACTATGACAGAACCAGCATGGGATTTCCATAAAAACCGAACGGATGACATTTCTATCCAGATTTGATGAGGATGAGATATAACCCCAATGGATGATATAATGGGATATGGAGCACATAACAAGAATGGGATAGTATAATCATGTCCAATTTTTTTTTTAATTATATATTTTAGTAAAAAACCCTAATAGTGATGAGAGAATTATCGGATAAGATTAGACTTGGATATAACTTGGATTTGCGACCCTTTGGAGCTAGCCACAACTAGTTTTTCACTGTTCCCAACAACGATTCCCCAGTCGTGGATTTCCCCAATGGGACCAATCACCATCCCTCAGCTGGGAAACCATGGTTGGTAAATTCCCATGTTATAATATCCCTATTGGGTACGGTGGGTACCCAAAAAAACACAATTCCGTATTAAACTAGGATCTTCCTTCACCATTATTGGGGATCCCCCATTTATGGACACCTCCAACTATTGAATGGGAAATCCTCAAGACAGGGAAGTCCTCGGAAAATCCATGGGAAAACCCACCATGTACAAGGTGATGCCCCCCAGTTAGTTATAAGCCCATTAGCTATAGATATATCACCTATAAACAACCCCCTGTCAATTAAGGGGTGGGGCTGCGCAACCATTTTGTAGTGAAGAAACGGCTTGCATAGCCTCAAGCTCTACTAAATGGATGCGCATGCATGATCGAATTTCACTACTAAATGTGGGCCCCTGGTTCAGCTGAAGCGCAAAATTTGGATATATTTTCAGAGTGTCTTAAGACACCAACATGACTCGACCAAACACCCTGTTCCATTTAGTAGAGGTACTCATTTGAGCACAAGTTGCGGGACCAACATCACTCGACCAAAACCCCAAAGCCATTTAGTAGAGAATTACACGGGGTCCATTTAGTAGAGAAAACGACATGAAACACATATGACTGATCCCATGACCATCCGAGTAGAGGCAGCACTGGCTAAACAGGGGAAATCTTGATAGATTTTGGACATTTTGGGACTACAAAATGGTGTTCCATAGCACGTAAGGGATAATAGGGCACACAAGGATGCAACAGGGCTTTGTTTCAAACAGTTCTAGATAGACTGATCCCATGACCATCCATTTAGTAAGCACCCGACGAGCAAGAAACACCCAAGCGAGGGATTTGGCATCGCCCCCAAAAAAGGCAAAAAAAGAACCCAAACACGAAAGGCAGCACCCGACGAGCAAGAAACACCCAAGCGAGGGATTTGGCATCGCCCCCAAAAAAGGCAACAAAAGAACCCAAGCACGAAAGGCAGCACCAGACGAGCAAGAAACACCCAAGCGAGGGATTTGGCATTGCCCCCAAAAAAGGCAAAAAAAAACCCAAACACGAAAGGCAGCACCCGACGAGCAAGAAACACCCAAGCGAGGGATTTGGCATCGCCCCCAAAAAAGGCAAGGCAGCACTTGGCTAGACAGGGGAAATCTTGACAGATTTTGGACATTTTGGGACTACAAAATGGTGTTCCATAGCACGTAAGGGATAATAGGGCACACAAGGATGCAACAGGGCTTTGTTTGAAACAGTTCTAGATAGACTGATCCCATGACCATCCATTTAGTAAGCACCCGACGAGCAAGAAACACCCAAGCGAGGGATTTGGCATCGCCCCCAAAAAAGGCCAAAAAAGAACCCAACACGAAAGGCAGCACCCGACGAGCAAGAAACACCCAAGCGAGGGATTTGGCATCGCCCCCAAAAAAGGCAAAAAAAGAACCCAAACACGAAAGGCAGCACCCGACGAGCAAGAAACACCCAAGCGAGGGATTTGGCATCGCCCCCAAAAAAGGCAAGGCAGCACTTGGCTAGACAGGGGAAATCTTGATAGAATTTGGACATTTTGGGACTACAAAATGGTGTTCCATAGCACGTAAGGGATAATAGGGCACACAAGGATGCAACAGAGCTTTGTTTGAAACAGTTCTAGATAGACTGATCCCATGACCATCCATTTAGTAGAGGCAGCACTTGGCTAGACTGGAGGCGGCATGGCAGGATACCGCAAGGATGTTATCTTTGTCCAACTTCTGTTGTTTCATATCGCGGTATACCCGATCATGTTGATTTACTTCAACCCAGGAATATCTTTGATATTCATTGGCATTCTAGAATTTATATTTATTTTTCAAGTTTCTTATTTTTTTGAGCATCTATTATCATATACTATCTGGATTTACGTGATTAATCCTGATGGACATGGATTCATCCTGATGGACATGGATTGGCCAAAACGGCTATATATCGGGGGCAACGGAATGGGAATCTCTACTAAATGGTTTTTCAGTTTTGTCTCATTTCATTGTGACCGTTTTATGAACTCTACTTCGCAACCTCTACAAAATGGTTCCTGTGATTTTGCAACATTTTTTTGACATCTCTACTAAATGGTTTTACCCAAAAACAACGTGTAAAACAACATGTGACATCATATGATTAACATATCATTTTTACCTCTCTACTAAATGTGGATCATGGGTCTAGAGATGTTTACTTGATTTTTTTTAAAAAAATCATGATTCTCTACTAAATGGTTTCTAGAAATTTCACACTAAATTTTTGGTTCACTTTCCGGGACCTAGGTCATAGCATTTAGTAGTGGAAATTGGCAGGAGGATCTATAAACTATAATTAAACCATAGTTATTAGAGTTATAAACCAACTTAGCTATCGAACTGGGGCACCACCTTGTATGGAAACCTTCGCCCCAAGCAACTCATGCAGCACCCCCGGTGGCAGGGAGAAGCGACCAAGCACAGCTCCCCTGCCAAAACCGGCTGCCAGAAATAGGGCTTTACCCAGGAGAAAAATTGGATTTCGAATCCATGTTTTAGGATTTCGATGTGTGTAAGTTCCCTATAACATTAACCATCTGATTATTTAACATAGCCATGGAAAATCACCATTTATAGATGGTTTACCTATTAAAAATGGGGGATTTTCCATGGCTATGTTAGTCATAACCAGAGGGTAATTACCCAGAATCCAAAATCGATCCCAGAATCGATGCTCGGTGTGGGATTTTGGAACAAATCACCGTGCCGCTGAGACTTCCGTGATGTTTTGCTGAATCATGCACTACTAGTTACAGTAAGTTGGTAAAAATAAAACAACAAAAAGAACACTGTTGGGTTTATCACATGGATATTCCAAACTACCCGGCCTGGTAAACGTAAAAAAATAACGGATGGGAAAGATCCACCATGCTTTTCATGGGTAAATCCACTATTTCGACTGGGCCATGGCTTCAATAGCTATGTAACAAATTACCAGAGGGTAAACCATTGGAACTTTAAGCACAAAACGGAGGTCTGTAATAAACATGGATGACCTACAACCAGCTGGACTTCAAAGGAACATCTACAGGAAACCAATGGGAGAACATTAAACAAAGACTTTCCTGGAATTGTTCATTGAAACCAATTGTGGGATTATGATTATGTATTTTGTCCAAGTATGTTTAGTTGTTTTTTGTTTGTTCTCTCCATATCTGCTGGATTAATATGTCCCCATTTGGGTGAATGATGTTGTGAGCCTCCGACAAAGTTACCCTCTGGTAATTTAACAGTTAGCTGTTGAAAATGACCACAAAAGAAACGTTTTTTGCCCATAAGAAATAAGGTGATTTCCATAGCAAAGCGTAACAAATTACCAACAGGTATACCAGTTGGATAGTGATATCCCTATTGTATTCCCAATAATATTATCTATAGATAAAACATGCCAGTGCAGCATGTATATATACATATAATATATATAATATATATAATATGTATATATATATATATTATACGTAAATAAACAAATTACGTAGACATATTACAATATGCGGATAGATAAGGTATAACATGATTGGGGCAACATGGTGCCACGCCCATGGCAAACGTATTCAGTTCACCAACCCACGTCAACCACCACCTTAGGGTGCGTCGGCCAAGTTCAACATACCTATCATTGAGTTTGCCATTAAATTTTAGTGCTATATATATATATATATAGAGTCGAGATAGGTTTAAAAAAGAACAATCAAATGCTTGTGCCTGTGATTTCTTGATTTGTTTGGTTTTTAAATTATAATTGCGTCAAGTGATATATTTCCCTTATGTAACCCTCAGTTAAGAACAATGATTCTATGTTTGGTTGGTTCTATATCCCATTTTTTATATCCCCATGAAATCCCACTAAACACATTTGTTGTTGGTTAAATCGATTTAAACATCATCATAGATCTCAAATCACCATGAAATCACCATGAAATCACCATGAAATCACCATGAAATCTCCATTAAATCACGATTAAATCCCATCAAATCTCCATTAAATCAGGATTAAATCCCATCAAATCCCATTAAATCACCATTAAATCCGACTGAGTCACCATTTTTCTTGGTGAAACAAAACTCTGAAAAATCACCCTTCCGCTCCAAGCTGGGAACGTCCACGGTCGCCTGGGCAGTGGCACGACACAGCGAGCTTCAGCTCCAGTGCCCGGACCTCCAAAGAAGACTTCGTGACCTCCGGCGCCGGATTTTGGGATTTTGGGGATCGATGGTGATGATTTCTGATGATGGAATCTGGAGATTATGGGATTAAGGTGATTTGGTAGGATTTAATGGTGATGACTGGGGATTTCTGATGGGATTTTCTAGCAATTTCCTAGCCATGGCCGCCATGGCCGATCATACTGCATCTTCATGCCAAAATTTTGCGTGGAAAAAGTGAGGTAATATATCTAAGCCCAGGTCTGGAGTACGATGAAAACATATGAAAACATGCTATGCAAAGATTTTCTGGGTTCAGATTTCTGATGGTGATGGAATCTGGTGATTTGATAAGAGTTCATGATGAGTTCTCCTGGGCTTTCGACTGGTGATTTCGATGATTTTTCAAGGGGATTTCATCAAGAAACATGAGTGATTCAGTAGGGTTTCTACTAGTGATTTGATGGTGATAAAAAATGGAAATTTGTTTATCGGATTCGGCTGGGTGATTCTATTGGTGATGTCATGACATATTTAAATTTAAGTGTTTTGTGGCATTTTTGTGGCACGTTATGGGATGTAATTGGGTTTTATGTTTTTCTTAGAGCATTTATAGGAGAATTAGGATTTACTGCAGTTGGATCTTATTGCATTTTATGGGATGCTTTGGGATTTAATTGTATTTTATGTTTTTTTTTCATGCATTTTAAAGGGAATTGTCGGATTTAATGCTATCTTATGGCGTTTTATTGGGATGTTATGTTTTTTTTCTGGAATCTAAGGTGATCTAGAGATTTTACTAGATTGAATGAGGATTTACATGATTTAACTATGATTTACATGGAGCTTTAACATACTTTCAATTTAGCCGGCTCACCTTGGAAGGGTTTTTACCGTAGAAATCCGGCTTTGAGCGGCAAACATGGATCAAAACTGTGGCTTGCAGTCTTCAATATTTTTTACGCAAAAAACATCTAGAGCAGGATGTGACAAAATCATCAAAATACAGCTTGAGTATTGTACAAGAATTCACTGTATAAGAATTTGAGGGGCTCGAATCCAAGGCGGGCTACATATTTTCAGCTATACCAAACACATAGTACCTTAAGAATTTGAGGGGACCCTGGAATAAGATTGCCAAATTCTTAAATTACTGCTTATACGTGAGGTTTGCACTTCCGCTTTGCGGTTCATTTTTTTTGTGGCGTGACCCCTTATGGTCTTATGGGATGAAATCGGGCTTTGCAAAAAAACAATTTTTCAAGCTCTATTTTTTTTTCCGCACTGCTCTCATGAAACTCAGACAAGCCCGGCTTTGCAAAAAACAATTTTTCAGGCTCTAAAAAATCATTTTTTCGCATGCCTCTTGTCAAATCTGCCAACTCCACCTCGTTATATACCTCGTTCAAGCTCGCTCCAAATTGTGCAGATGCATGCAATACATAACTAAGAATGCCCTAAGAATTTGAAGGACCCTCGGCCTGTTGTGGTGTAAATTTGCCTGCATTTAAAAATAAGAATTTGAGGGACCCTGGGCCTCAAGCTTTCGGATTCTTAACCAGCGCTCGGGCTGTACTTCAGCAAAGCGGTACAAATGAATACATTAAATATCTCAAAGCGAGATTTGACCCCTCTGTCTGTTGTATGGCTCGAACATGATATATCACTTGACCAACACAAATTCGACCAAGTTATGTGTGACAACTTCCAAGTTTGGAGTCACCAAGGTTGAGTTACGGTCAGACAATGCCTCATGAGAGATATGATGCGGGGTACAACCATGAAATAGAACGGCAAAGAGGACAAAGAGGAGCGTGCATGCTGTGTGATAAACAATGTATATATATAATATATGTATATATATAGTATTTGTATACTAACATATAGTAACTATACTAACGTCCAACTTCGTCCAACATGATCAACATGCCCTTCGCAGATCTTGCCGATGGAGCTGGCAATCTAAGAGCCAAAAAACTCAGCACACCGCGGAGCATGCGGACCGCCATTTCGGTTACGCAAGCGACGACGAAACTCGTTGTAAGTAGCGCCAACGCACCATTTTGTTGAAAACAGTGGCCGAATAGAAAAAAATCGGTAAAAATCATGGTGACTAAGACTGGTTGTCAGTACAAAAATTGTTTGTTGAACGTATTACGGTCATGAGACTTTAAAACATCTTAAAACTAGTTCGCTATAGTGGGCAGGGGATACGGATGAAACACAAGATGGCGAAGTTCGTCAGGAGGATAAGGAGAAGCACCTTTTTTGCACCTTTCTTCCTCCCCCCTTAAGGTACTGAAAACAAAATTCCGACATGATGTCGTCTTTTTAATATTCCTTTAAACAAACTAAACAAAAATGACAACCATGGCACATCGAAGTATCCCTTGCCAATTGTTCACTGGCCATTTCCATCTGGTGAACGGGATTCTCCGTTCATGGATTGTGATATTCCCCAATTACCCTCTGATAATTTAACATAAGTATGGACAATCACCATTGAGTTCGTGCATTTTCCCATGTGAAAACCATGGTGGTTTTTCCATCAGTTTTTTGTAAACGTTGAGGCCAGAGGCTAGAAGTTTGCTTTGCAAAATCACCAATCATCAACGCACCGAATCATCAACCCACCGGGGGGTCGAACATATTATTGCTCATTTTCTATTCAATCAACCCACCTCTGTACCATGAGAATGCTATTGCTATTGAATGCCATTCTTATCTACTATGGTTCTGTTTGTCTACCGAGAGATTCCCAATTTTCATGGTCTCATTTACATCCCCACCAATAAATGATCTGTATACATCCTACTTTGAGAAATGATGTTTGTCCCATCTATATACATTAATGCATGTGTTCCCCCATATGTGGAATTGTCAAATCATGGTAGATGTGGTATAGTCATGGTATGGTCATCCATCCCATACTGCAAATCTTTAAAATGATGGGTGTGTAAATCCCTATGAAACCGGATTGATGACTATCTCCCAAGGAGTGGGTATATCATCCAACATTGGATTATAGTTGGTTAGCATACTGTATATGATTCAATGTATATTCCATGAAATATCCCCATTAATGTCCCCGTTGATGTCCAATTTTCATGGCTAAATCTGCATTAATATCACATTTATCCATGGCACGTTTGATTCTAGTTGCGTAGACGGAAAAAAAAACATATTCCATGAAATCCCAATCATTGTGGGTATATCCAACTTTTCCCACAGTTTCCCATTGTGAAAATCTCTATGTTTGATGTCTAAATCCGTATCATAAATCATTGATGGTTAAATCCCCATAGATCATATTGATACTTCATGATATTTCAGGCTTAAATCCCTATTCACATTCCATAAAATTAACATGAAATATCATGGTGTCGAGTTTTTTCCAGGTGCCATGCTATTTCATTCTGGGTAAATTATAATATTTCACTAACCTGAATTAAGGCCATTTGGGGATGATTTCCCTTACTAACCATGATTCCAGTGAGGTCGCAGTGAGGTCGTTATAATTTACCCAGATTTCATGATATTCACATCCCATAAAATCCATGGCATCCATGGCACCTTCGGCGGTGTGGCCGATGCAGGGGCCATTCAGCAGCACCAGCGCTGCGGGATCCCGTGGAGTGCAATCGGAGAGCAGCACTAAGACGGCCTTTTTGGGCCATGGGAAAACTGGTTGGTGGTAAAAAATATGAGTTGGTCAATTGGGATGATGAAATTCCCAACTGAAGGGAAAAATAATCCAAATGTTCCAAATCAATCCAAATCACCATTCTTAACAAACTCAGAGTTTTGTGAACTGGAAAAGCACCATTTTTAATAGGTAAATCGACGATAAAAGTGCCATTTGTCAATAGCTATAGTCAAATCATCAGAGGGTAACATCTATGAATGATCTTCTCATTGTTTTTTGCGACGTTTCATGAATGTCACCAGTTGAACAGTCCGCACTATCCAAGCGGGTGGACGTCTCATGATTTTGTGCTCCTATCAAATGTCAAAAGATACGAGCAACACGAGTGTTTAACCAGCAAAATAACATAAACTAAATGGCATCGTTATTTTATGTTAGTTCGACTCTTGACCAGGAACGGCTCCAACTTGAACAGTGAAACAAACAGTAGATGGGCTTGCAGGTGTTACTACTCCGGGATCTCAACGTAGAGAAGAGATTTCACATGGAAGTCATCTCGCTGTGAATAGCACCGGGTGTAACTTTTTTTTTTTAAATGGGGATTCAGTCAAAAAGCTTGCTGATTGAACATATTTAACCAACGTCATGGAGATTCATCCAACAATAATTTACAAAGATGGATGTTGGGAAATTTTGGGAAATATACATGGATGGAATGTTGGGAAACCAATATTGTTTAATGAATTATAGCCATATTTCATCCAATAAGAACCATTGGTTTCAGCAATGTACATCTAGATGTCAGGGAATTTGAAGCAGAAATGGAATCATCATAATCATGACAAACCTCTTAGATCGGAAGTAGACCTACGCACAGAAACAAGAATCTATCAACATATCAAAATATCTGGGCAAATTATTCCATGACCATGATTGGGCCCATAATTCATGTTGGGCCATGTTGGGCCATGAAATATCTTACTAACCTGAAATGTTGGGCCAGCTATGGGGATGATTCCCCTTATTAACCATGTTTCCAGTGCTCGGGAGAACAGGCTTCGGTCACGGTCGTTGTAATTTGCACAGAAAGATGTGTATCCCCAGTAACATGTGCGATTACCAAAGGGGAACCCATCATTAACCCATCACCAACCTATTATTATTAAATCAATGAAGAACACTAAATTATGTTGTAACCATGGCATTAAAAACAAAAACATGATCCCCAGTTCAATTAACACGAATCAATACTATTTATTAAACCATTGTATGAATCATGATCCCAGGTGGCGTCCATGAATGATGAACTGCAGTCCAACTCCTCCCAATTCCATGGATCATTGGACATCCAAAGAACTTGACGTTTAGCTGGTTTTATATATGTTCATATAAAAGTGTAGCTATTATATAGTTGGAGAGAGATAGCTTACTATTACTATGTGCATATATTTTCTATATAGTATATATACATATTTCTAGAGTTATGTATTTTATATTAATATGACATTATATATACCCTCTGGTAAACTAACATAGCTATGGAAAATCACCATGCTATCAATGGGTAAATCCACTATTTCTATGGTGATTTTCAATTGCTATTTTGACATAACCAGAGGGTATCTCCCATATTAATCCCATTAAATCCCATTAAACCACCATTTTCCAGAGGGTTTTCCTATGGTTTACCATTACCAGAGGGTACCTTAACTGGCACTATATAATGTCATATATATGGTCCACTGGCGATGGCCATGCTACTTTAAGACATGAAATTGTATGGCATGTAACCCCAGAGAAATATATACTTTATACCATTTTATAACATTTTATAACTAACTATACAGAAATTTATTATACATATGCCATGAAAGTCATGCAACTTTAGACCCATAAACATAGCATATGCTTGCTTATGTATCCCTACCATATTCCATATATCTGGTGGTGAACTACAATCTTCATCATATTCGTTGCTTCCTCAATGTCTTGGTTCATCAAGTTGTTAGAACTAACAATCTACAGTTATGGCCCGTTAGTCATACCCTCTGGTTATTTAGTATAGCCATGGTATAGATGGCCCATTTATAGATGGTTTACCTATTAAAAATGGTGATTTTTTATTGATTTTTCATGGCTATGTTAGTCATAACCAGATGGTAAGTCAGTTCTAACGCCATCTATGGAATGATCACAGATCGATTCGGCGGAGAACGGGGGCCTTGTGTAGGTACTGCCCTGGTACCATCCATGGATCTTTGTTTCTCGATGGCCAGGATCCTTCCTGGGCTTCCCCGAGGCGATTCCATGGAGCTTCACCAACGGAAAATGGTGAAAACTGATGGATTTTAAACAAAGCGAAATCCGTGGATTCCAAGCGGCTCTTCATGTGGATTGATGTTTTATGGTGTTTTACTGTTTTATCACTAAATGAATCGAATTGTGATGGAAGAGATTGGGATGCATTTCCAGCATTTCCATCACACCAAGTCGTCACAGTGATCGGAATGGACTCACTGCGGGAGCTTCAGATGCGGCTTGCGCGGCTTTCGTCATATGTCGTTATTAATTATACCCATTTATGGTTGAGTTTCCCACATGAACTTTTAATATTTGAATCCAGGAAGATCTGTTAGTAAACTACTATAGCTGAGGAAAATTACTGATCTATTGATGATTTACCGTTGATTTACCTATGAACTTTCCTTAGCAAACTATTGGATTACCAGAAGGTATCTGGAAAAACACCCAAATATCACAGTGTGGCTAATTTCATCCCGATTATATTCCCTAACATAACCCTATATTTGTTTGGTTCAATCCCATTAAATCACCAGAGGCTTAAATATCTTAAATCATCTTAACTTGCCCATCAAATCATCCTAAAACATAACTGCAGGTGGTTGAGCCACCCCTCTGAAAAATATGAGTTCGCCAGTTCGGATGATGAAAATCCCAATATATGGAAAAATAATAAATGTTCCAAACCACCAACCAGATAAAACATCTCAAATCATCTTGAAACATCTGAAATCTCATAATCCAATTCAATCCCTATTTCAATCACCGTTTGAATGCCACGAAATCCTCATAAAATCCTCATGAAATCCCATGACATGTAGTACGCCGATGAACGTGTGCTAGCACCCTATTGTGAGAAAATTTGAAATTGAAGGGGGGAGCTTCTATTGTGAGGCACAGATTAGGTCCAAGAGAACCCCGCAAACCTTTTATCCACTTTTCTTTGGGTAAAGCTGGTCCATTTACTTTAGAAATTCATATCCATTTTAAATCCGTAAAATGCAAGGCTCACCAAATAATGAGATGCCGTATTAAACCTTGTTTCAAAACAGCACCCAAACAATTTTTCGAGGGGGTACCCCATGAGTGACTCAGATCTTCAATAGTAGGTTTGCGCTGGGAGTCGGTATTGTGTCCTACCTTTTCTTGGGTGGAAATGTTCAAAATCATTTTATCCGTTCTTCTACTAAAGCTGTTCTCTCTTACTTGGTTCCATCCTTTTCTGGTGTTTCTATGGGATTTCTATGGGATTCCTATGGGCCTTCTATGGGATTTCTATTGGGATTCCTATGGGATTTCTATGACATTTCTATGGGAATTCTATAATGTTTCTAAGGGATTTCTATGCAATTTCTTTGGGAGTTCTATGATATTTCTGAACAGAATTCTATGTATTTTCTGTGGGATTTCAATGCAATTTCTATTCCTTTCGTACGGGATTTCTATGGAATTTTTATGATATTTCTATGGGATTCCTGTGAGATTTCAATGGGATCTCTATGATATTTCTAAGGGATTTCTATGCAATTTCTATGGGAGTTCTATGATATTTCTATAAGATGTCTATGTATTTTCTGTGGGAATTCTATGGAGTTTCTATTGGTGTTCTGTGGGATTCCTATGGGATTTATATATATATATTTTATATATACACATGTTTGTTTTTTGGTTTAAAAGGACTTCCTTTGGGGATGTAAAGGAAAATTCATTCAAAAAACAAATGTACATGATTTTGATATCCTTACTTATCATTAGATGTCTTTTGATTACAAAGGAAATGAATTGAAAGTAAATTGATGTGACTTGAAATCTTACTAATCTGTAGTTTTCTTTAAGGTTTAAAAGGACAATCAATTGAAAGTAGTTTGATATCAATTGAAATACTTACTAATCCTGATCTTTTTTAAGGTTTAAACGGAAAATCACTTGAAAATAGATTGACATCAATTAGATTGTTTACTTAAGTTGATCATCCTGAGTTCCCCAGACCTGGTCCCAAGAAAAGTTCGAATAATATAGAGTATACCTAAATTGTTTTTTTTGGGGCCCACGCACTAATCAGCGACCAACATTCAAAATGCACATTCATTGCTATTACCCTCTGGTAAACTAACATAGAAAATCACCATTTTTAATGGGTAAATCAATTATTTATATGGCCATTTTCAATAGCTATGTTAGTTTACCAGAGGGTAAATCACATGGAAAATTGCCATTTATAGTTGATGTGCCTATTAAAGATGGTGATTTTCCATTGAAAAATAACTTTTTTTTGATACCATGGAACTCCCACAACGACCTCCCAATGAACTCCGCCACGGCACGGGACGGCCCAAGCGCCAGTGCGTGGCGGAGCCGCGCAGGATGCTGCCAGCCTCCACCTTGGGGCGTGGTCTGGAAAAAATGGTGGAAACCAACCATAAACATCCATAAAGGAATGGATCAATGGTGGATTAATGGTGGTTAAATGGTGGATTATTTGGATTAACTGGATATAATATGATATCATAATTACTGGTTGGTGGTTTTAACCATTTTGAAAAATGATGGAGTTCGTCAATGGGAAGGACATCCCATATATGAAATGGAAAATAATCCAAATGTTCCAAACCACCAACCAGTCCATAAAGGAATGGATTCATGGTGGATTAATGGTGGTTAAATGGATGAAAAAAGGTGGTTAAACAATGTCATAAACCAACCATTTGTAATAAATGTGTCATACTAATGGAGATTCATGAGGATTAATGGTAGCTTAATCGTTGATTAATGGTGATTAATGGTAAACCAATGTCACAAACCACCCATGACTGGGAATGGTAAACATACCACCTTTGAAAATGGTGATGACTGGGGGATGGTTTATTGTTTTTTCCACCTGAATAATACTAACAATACAGTGTTCACAACCATAAACAGTGGTGCCAATAAACAAAATAGTTACGATTAGTTCAAATACTAATTCAATAAAAGCAATAGCAATAGTTAACTACCAGTTATTGCTATAGTAATATTTACTATATTCTCAGTAATAGTCAGTATTAGTTATTACTGATGATTAACTAGTAATAATTTGCCAAAAACAAACTACTAACAATTAAACAACCATGGTACTAAACATTATTTAACGATCATGATAAGAACAAAAATAGAAAACAAAATGATGATGTAAACACAATGATAGTAATTAATGGTAACACAGCAACGCTACTGTTGGCAATAGTTATTAGTAATATAATCAGTAACGGTACCATCGGTAGAATTATTATAGTAGTAGTGAAGATTCAGATAATCAACACACTTCAAAAATAATAGACACAAACACAAAAAAACACAATGACAGAATATATTTTAATACGTATGTGTATATATATATACATTATTTAACTTGAGAAACTCCCAAGTCAAACTCACAGAGCAGTATCTAATACCACAAAATAGTAACAGTATACACTAACAGAAATTCAGCAGCATAGAAGCACAGTATGTAATAACAGTGACACATATTTAATAACAGTAAATAAACAACTTAGTAATGCAATAAATGATTTAGTAATATCTAAATTGGATAATAACAATAAATCTGGCAAAAACACAAACGTTAATGTATGCTAGCAGTCAGAGAAAAACACACTAGAAAATAACAGTGATGATAACAATGATGATGACAAAATAAAAACGGCACCAATTTGATAATCACAAAATAGTATAAATAAACCACACACACAATATATATATATATACCCTCTGGTAAACTAACATAACTATTGAAAATCACCATTTTTAATGGGAAATTCCACTATAAATGGCCATTTTCAATAGCTATGTTAAATTACCAGAGGGTATATATATATATATATACACATAGAGTTCAACGTGCGGCACTTGCTGCGAACTCCTGGCAATCTTCAATCTTCACGCTGCAAGTTTTCATCAAAGGATCACTCAGAAGGATGTTATAAAAACCAACCTGGACCAAACATGGACTCCACAGTTTTCCCCGAGCAGATGGCAGCAAATCCGGCGCAAATTTGGGACCTGAATCTTGGACGAAACGTGTGTCATAGCCTCTGGTAAACATACAAAAAACTGATGGGAAAATCACCATTTGAAATGGGTAAATCCACTATAGATGGCAATTTTCAGTAGCTATGTTAGTTTACCAGAGGGTATTCTGTTGAGAAACATCCCGGTCCCATGTCTTCAAATCCTTGATTTGGCAGGCCAGATCGATAGTCAATTCCGGCATCAATTGATGCTTTTCATCGACGTCCCCCTCCATCAAGGTGATTCCCTCGATACACAAAAGAACCCACCAGCCTCCGGCAATCAAACACCGCTTTGTGGAAAATCCTCGATATATCAAGTTTTATTGGGAAACAGTTCCATAAGTCTTGCCATAAGTTGTGGATTTTCCATTGCCATATTTGATTCACGGACCAAATTAACAAATGGCAATCTTTAGTTGATTTAATTCTTTCACCATTCGTGGCTAAAACCAACGCCCATGAAACATCATGAATCATCATTGAACTTGTTTGGCGATTGTGAATGAATAAGCGGCACCCCCACAATCCAATGGTTTATCCACCAAACAACAAAACGCCCGACTCTTTCCCATGAGCAAACTATATATTGTAAAAATATGTACCCAATGGTAAACTAACATAACTGTGGAAAATCACCATGCTATTAATGGGTAAATACACGAACTAAATCACCATTTTCAATAGCTATGTAAACGTTTACCAGAGGGTATATCCCAGTAATATCCCATTGAATCACTAGAAAATTCCTTTAAACCACCATAAAATCCCATTGAATCACTATAAAATCCCATTAAATCACCATAAAATCCCATTAAACCACTATAAAATCCCATTGAATCACTATAAAATCCCATTAAACCACTTTAAATCCCATGTTTTCCCCATGGCAAAATCGCCATTTAGAGTCTCCATGTTTGCGACACCCAAAGGTCGAGAGGTCGAGTGGCCAAATGCAGCGACATGGAGCGGAGCATCTCTCGCGGCCTGGTCCACTGATTGGGGGTAGCCCGGCTACGATTGGCCAGCGAAATCCTGGGACCCAAACCACCAATTTAAGGGATGGTTGAAAGCCTATAAAGAAAGGGTGGTGAAATAATGGATAAAGAAAGGGTGGTTATAAATGGATATAATTGATGGTTGAATGGTGGTTATAAATCCTATTAAAATAGGTTGGTTATAAATCCTATCAATGGATAAAAATAAATTTTTGCATGGGATGTTTACCACCGTTTTCAACTGGATCTCTGAGGTGCGGGCCTGAGATATGCATCTACCCATCTTCGGATCATCTGACCTGCAGTGATGGTAAAAACCATCAACAAATCACCAAGTTATACAGTTATGGCCCATTTATTTGTTATAACTGGTTATTTCAATGAGATGATACAATCATATACAATCTATAAATGGGCTTTTGTTAGTACTTATAACTGGTATATAAAGGGCCATAACTGGGAAATATTTTCCTGGGATATTCGGGATGATGCTACAGTACCTTGCCGGCACGAGGCCTGGAGGCCTGTAAATTGTCTCCCTGCAAAAGCATGCAATGTCTTAGGAGTCTGTACATTCAATGGATTGGTTTAAGGGAAAATCTACAGGAAACCCATGGGTTTTTACCATCAAACATAGGGGTTTCCTGTAAATTTTCCCATCATCCAATTCTATGACTGTATATGTGTATATTCCTCTTTCTATGGGCCTAAGCAAGTATAAACCCATGAACCTAGGTAGATTTATCGAGGAGTGGCCTCGAAATCGTGTCATGTTGGTAGAGCCATGTGAGCTTTGAGAAAAAACGGAGGTACCCTGGTTACCCTGACCATCTAGGAGCACAAAAACTGGGGACAGGTCCAGAACAAACTGAGGTTCATCAACATCATAAGACATATACAAACACATATGACACTATGAACTCATACATGTATGTCTTACATCGATATACTGTATATATATATATGCATTAAAAAATGTATGAACCGTATAAACCATATATTATGTATATAAACGCAAAATCATAGAATAAAACATGAATTTAATCATTTTTCTATGTAGCAAACAGCAAACAACAATGCAGTCGGGGTGCTATTGTGCGCTTCCTCCTCTCTGTCCACCTTTTTCAACTCATTCGGCCTGGCGAAAAACCATGTCTCAACGTTCGGATGTGACGATTTGGGCGCGTCTAGAATCTAGAACTGGAGTCATGTGGGTAAAACAAAGCCATGTTTACCATCCCCCAGTCAGAAAACCATTCTAAAAACGGTGGTATAAATAAACCAGGAACCCAGTCATGGGTGGTAAAAATCACATGGTTTTTTAACCACATGTTTGGAGGATCATGCACTTAGTAACCCTGGTTGCGAAGTTTTTTGGGCTCCCATTTACAAGTTGATACCCTACTTGAAAATCTCAGTGATCATGGAGGCCAGTGACTGAAGCCACAGAAATCGCAAAAAAGCTAGCTAGACCGTAATAGAATGTAATCATATGTGCATTCATATATACTAATATATATATATATATATGTGTGACATCGAATTACCTAGATACAATAGAATCAGTATATAATATATATATACATACAATTACAAACATTAAAACACCAATTTTACGACAAAAATCGACCCATTTTCGCATCTCATTCCCAGCGGTCGCCTGAAGGTCTCATAGAGTCTCCACCAGGCATTGACGCCGTCCCCAAGGCCACCGGAGCTGTCCTGGCGGATGAGATTCCAATTAATTACCGTTTGAACACATATATTTATGCATATATATATGTATATATATATATATGTATGTATGTATGTATATATATATATGTATGTATATATATATGTATACATATGTGTATATATATATATATGTATATATATATATTTAATGTTCAATGAGGATTCGATTTCTTTGATGCGGTGTATCGGTATCCAATTGATATAATTCTACAAATGCATGCAACAATTGGGGTTCACCTGTTTCACCATTCAAATTCAAGTCTTACATGGATCACACATGACATGTTTCATGGTTTCACCATTCAAAACTGCAGCTTCCAAGTGATTCTTATATGGAATAGTCTCAATATGCTTCAAAGTTAAACCAATCAAAAATATCGGGATGCAATCAAACATTGTATGTAAATGTAGATACAAGATAGTATGCATAACTATATAACCAACATTTTTGCAAGTGAAACTGCCCATGTTTGATGATCGGCAGAAGCTGCAGCTATGCCAAGTGTCCTTAGCCTTATCAATTGGAGTTTCATTGGCACCTTGAACAAATGGGCTCCTACTATCTCATATTAAAAATCGTTTGTAATAGAACCAGTAATCTACATTCCCTTACAGTAGATTATCAGATTTAATGTAATATTTAGTTATCTTCTGGTAATCTAAGGATTCTAAGGTAATCTAATCTAGCGATAGCAATAGAACATCACCGATTTATTGCCATATTGTTCATCCTGAAATCCAAGAAAAAAAGCACCAAATCATCAGAAATCATCACTTGCTTTAATGATTCTCTGGTTGGTGGTTTCAACCCCTCTGAAAAATATTAGTCAGTTGGGATCATTATTCCCAATATATGGAAAAAAATGTTCCAAACCACCAACCAGCAAATTGCTGGTTTTATCTAGGTAATCCCATCATTTGCTGAGAAAACATTAGAACAAACATGGAATCAGCCATCATAATTTGCTAACCCCATCCCGTTTGCTGCGGAAGACCTCTGTGGATATGGGTCTGAAAAAAAGGGCAGCCCCAAATCTTCTGGTTGATCATATCCCTACCCCACCACAATTATATAAATGTTAGTGAACTATTCTGGTTGATTATAATCAACATGGTGAGCACACCCGTATTTAGCCATATTTAACCATATTTAAGCATATATTAAACTCAACATTGTAATTACAATATATTACAATATATCACCATTCAGCTTGATGGGACCCATATTCAATCCCATTAAAGATATGTCTATTTCTATTCTATTTTCATTATAAATCACCATATGTTCCATAGATGTTTCCCGTTCCATCAATGAATCCCCATTTTCCTGGTGAGACCCCCTAATCATCACCACAAAATCCCATAACATCCCATGGGGAATCCCTGTGAAATCTGTTACACTCCAGTTTTTATTAACATAGACCCTGCCTAGGGGTTGGAAGATTTGTTTCCAATTCAAATTGATGAATTTACATAGCCATGAAAAATCACCATTTTTAATAGGTAAACCATCTCCAAATGGGCCATGGCTTCCATGGCTATGTTCAATAACCAGAGGGTTCCATTGAAATCCCATAGATTCCCATAATCATCACCATAGAAATCCCATGAAATCACCATTTTTCTTGGGCAAATCACCATTTTTTTTAAAATAGGTCAATCCCATAGAAATCCCATAGATTTTGAATCATATCATGCCAGGTTCAAATCCCAAAAATCCCAAAAATCCCAAACATTCCAAAAAATCCCAAAAATCCCAAAAATTCCAAAAAAATCATATAGAAATCCCAAAAATCCCAAAAATTCCAAAAATTCCCAAAAATTCCAAAAAAATCATATAGAAATCACCATAGAAATCCCATAGATTCCCTTCCGCTCCGCGTCGAAAACAGTCGAAAACCGTGGCACCTCTCGGCGGTTCAGCCGTTCCAAGCGCCCTTGCAGCGGCGCGCCGTCTTCGGCGCTGTCGTCGCCCAGCAGCAGGGCGCCGTCGGCGGCGCCCAGGATCCAGGCGTCGCCTGCGCCACGGGTCACCCGGGAAAAACGTGGGAAAAACGTGGGAAAAACGTGGGAAAAACGTGGGAAACTATGGGAAAAACTGTAAAACTCTAGGTTTTGATGGTGTTTTGATCGCTTTTACCATGTTTTGACCATGAAACATATATGAAGGTGGACTTTTTGAGCAACAATGTTGGATGCAGAAATCGAAAAGAGAAGGAACTTGATATTTTTGCAGTCCTATGTAGAAGGTATAAACAATTCACCAAGCATTTGGTGCACCTCGGTTCAATTCATCTTGAAGTTGTCCTCTGGACCAGCCTGTCTGTGGGTGGGAGAGCTGCTGTTGACCATCTGGGGGATATTTGTCGGTTATCTTTCATGGTCACTGTAATCAGAGAAATGGGATTCTAGATGTAGGAAGATTACAATGACTAATCTAAGATATTCTGTTATATTATAAATGATCCTAGTATATTCTGACTGTAGGATGTCGCATGAAAAAGAATGAAAAAGGAAGCTAGTACGTTGTGCTAGGCTGCCATGACGTTGTCAAATCCATCAACAAAAACTTGGGGACTTGGGGCTACTTTGACCTGGGATTTAACATTGATCCGGGATCCGGACTAACTCAACTTTGCAAGGGTTACATTCCAATTGCTTTGATGTTACCATCTGGTTATTTAACAGTTGGCCATGGAAAATCACCATGCTATTAATAGGTAAACCCAGGTAAACCATCTATTTCTATCGGCCGTGGCTTCCATGGCTATGTAACAAATAAGCAGAGAGTTCCATTGAAATCCCATAAAATCACCATAAAATTCAATAAAATCACCATTTTTGTTGGGTAAATCACCATTTTTAATAGGTAAATCCCATAGAAATCCCATAGATCTCGGGTGAAATCCATGACCGACAAGTCCCAATTTTTCTGCTCCGAAGAGCGCGCTAAAGCCCAAAGAAAGGTGGTTCAATGGTGTTTTTTTAATGGTGGATTAATGGTGGTTAAAAATGGATGTTCATGGTGGATTAAATGGTGGTAACCATAAAGGATTGCTGGTGCAATGTGCCCATCTTGAAAAATGATTGAGTTGGTCAATGGGAAGGATGACATCCCATATATGAAATGGAAAAGCATCCAAATGTTTGAAACCACCAACCAGAGATGGGAATATAGCTCCCGTAGAATAAAAGGTATTTTGGCCATGACTAAAACCCGATGAGGATTGCACCCATCTTTGTGTCCACGCCCCCGAAATCGCTGGTTTTATATCACCCCCTCGCCTGTATATCCAACCACCAGCATGAAGTCTTCTTTCTTTGCCTGAAATGTGACACAGATCTGCGTTTTTTGGGGCCATAAACCAACTTGCCAATGTGGATGTGGGAAGTTCCTTTTTGATTTCACTGCTTTGATTCCAGATTGGTGATTGAATCACACAACCATAGGATCTAGTTGGCTTAACCAGAGAAACTTGGATTTCATCAGGGATATTTGATGATATTTGATGATATTTGGCATTTTTGCCGCAAAAAAAAAAATATCATCTCATATCACTCATTTATAGATGTACCCTCCAGTAAACTAACATTTTGCGATGGAGAAAATGGACCATTTATGAATGATTTACCTATTAAAATGGTGATTTTCCAGTTCGCTCTGTAACAAATTACCAGATGGCAAATATCAATTTAAATAGACCATGAACCATACCCTCTGGTAAACTAACATAGCTATGGAAAGATCCACCATTTCTAATGGGAAAACTCACTATTTCTATGGCCATTTTCAATAGCTATTTTGACATAACCAGAGGGTATGGTCATGGAAACATACAACTTTTACTCCAAATTTTACATAACCATTATATCAGTTTGTCAATTAAATATACTATAGTTAACCATAGTTATAAATCTAGTTAATTATAAATTGATAGTTACCCTCTGGTCTACCATAGTTATAAATCTAGATTCACGATAATTACCAGAGGGTAGTTAACCATAGTTAATCTAGTTGACCTAGTTATAAATCCCTACACATGGCTTTGGGTCGCTCGGGGCTCAGGGACTTGGCAGACTTGGGAGTCGATTCCACCGATTTCTGGGAGATGTTCGGAAAAAAACACATTACCTATGGGCCATGGGTACATTTAAATGGGATATTTATGTCATGGTTAAATATATATACATTATTGCTAATTAATGGATGTTAATGGATGTTAATGGATGCTAATGGATGTTAATGGATGTTAATGGATGTTAATGGATGTTAATGGATGCTAATGGATGTTAATGGATGTTAATGGGATATTCAATGGGTGCATATCTGCAGGATTACTAAGATTACTAAGATATTGACTGGGAATGACTGAGATATATTCCATGTAGTACACTCAGGGTTCATCCTAGTGCATATCTGCATGCTTTCCATGGGCAGGATCTTGCATATTTGACGTTAAGGACCTCAATCCATGTTGCTGCAGCAACTGGTATACGAACCCATGCCTGTGCACATAGACTTCGCTTGGTCTTGTCCCAAAAAAAAATTGGCGCCCCAAAATCCCATTTACATCCATTTACACCATAATTTTCCATTTAATAAATATGGGATAATTGGGATTATGGAAAATATGGGATTTTCTCATATTGGACAAAATATCCCATAATTTTCCATAATTGTCCCATATTTCCCCCCTTCAGACGTTACACTTTGGGTACCAAGTGTTTGAACACTCCAAGCACTTCATCACTCGATAGCCAAGCAACTTGCCCAGTGACCACCAGCAATTTGGCTTGTCGGAAACTCATAATGTACACCTGGACAGAGTCATTTTTCTCCAGCTGCAAAGTCAGGAATGAGGAACGCGGCGAACTTCCAGAAGCGAAACAACAATATGGGCGATGTTGGTCATGGATTTGTGTAAAGGTAGTGAATTGTGAATTGTGGACAGTTTTCCATTTTCTTTCAAACCCAGTATGGCTCAAAGCTATTTTCAGCCACTTCTGGATCCCAAAGGGTACCCACTTGTCAAGTCACTTGTGGCACAGAAGCATGCGATTTAGGGTTTCCTTAAATGCCCCCATAACCGTACTGATGGGTTATATCAAGTAGATAAGTAGATCAAACACAAAAGCTACAAAATACGCCATGCATGGACAAACGAACCCTCCAGTAAACTCAGCTTGCTATGGAAAATTGCCCTGTTTATTGATGATTTACTACATTCAAAATGCTGATGTCCATAGCCACCTTAGTTTACCAGGGGGTTATATATATATATATACATACATATATACATACTCTATATATATATGTATATATGTATATATGTATGTATATATAATTATATGTATGTATATATATATATATACATATACATACATATATAATTTATATATACATATATACATATATATATATATACATATATATATAATTATATATACATATTAACATGGTTTCCCTGATCAGCCGATGCTTGATGAATCTCCATGCTCCGCCAACCAAGACACCCCGTTGATCACGCGATTGCTATTTCCTGCAAACCTCATGGTGGTTGGATACCCGGTAGCTGGAGAAACGTTGAGATACGTTGAGGTGTGTTAAGAACATTATAACTCAAAAAAGGCCAGATGTGGGCAACCATGGGTTGCCCCCCAAAAATTGATTAAACAACAATTGGAATGCTAGATTCTGAGGTGAACATCATCTTTGACATGCTGGAACAAATCAATCTAACATTTTTTTGAGGCTCGATGGGGTTTCTGTAACCGAGTTCTTAGCCGCTAGCCCTACTTTTTATTGATCAGTCGAAAAATACGACATCAGAAGCAGAAAAAATGGGGATTCATCACATTCATCAATCAGAAATACCCCAAAAAATTGGTCCAATCTGAAAAAAAAATGAAAAAAAAACCATTGGTCAGTTGGTTGGATGGATCCCCATTGTTGGTTGGATCTGAAAACACCCATGGCTTCAATCTGAAAACACCCATGGTTGGATCCCCAACCAGGCCAGTTCAATCACCCCAGTGAATCGGTGAAAACCCGGCCTGGTGACGTTTACAGGTTGCGAACTGGAACATGGTGATTCAGTTCGTGGATTTAGGCATCAAACATGGTGATTTTCCATAGTTCTGTGGCTGTTTACCATTTAGTTTGTGGATTTAGCCATTGAAGATGGTGATTTTCTCCATTGGTTTTTGTATGTTTACCAGAGGGTATATGTATTATGATAAGTGGGAGAACATCAGAACATCATTATCATTATATATATATATAATTATGATAAGTGGGATATAACCCTGACACATCATGTGAAAACACTGAACATGGGAGAAGGACATTGGAATAATCAGGACACAAACATGTTTGGAGCACTGAAGCATTCGCTGGATCCATCAGCCATCAAATATGGCTCTGGCTATATGTTAAAAAAATATAAACACACATATATATATATATACCATTATATATCCCATTTGGCACTAGAAATCCCAGTCGGTTCTGGCTATATGTTAAAAAATATAAACATATATATATATATATTTATCATTATACATTCCATATGGCACTATTGAGAGATCACAGTTAATAAGTTATTTTCGCCTTACACGCTTGAAACCCATACATTCCAGACTTTCCTCTTATTGCTGGTGACATTGATATAAAAATATGTATCCCATACAATTCCTGTATATTCCTATATAACAGGCGACATTGATATAAAAGCATTGGTGATATTCCATATATTATATAGTCCATTCGTATTCCCATCTAGCCATATAAATGTCCATATATATATATATATTCCCATGCAATCAATATTACCATAACATTAAAACATTCCATCTGGTTGGTGGTTTTAACCATCTTGAAAAATATTAGTGATTATCCCATATATATCCATATATTATGGAAAATAAAAAATGTTTGAAACCACCAACCAGCCATATATTCCATATATATCCATATATTCCATTCCCAAAAACGCTTACGGTCGTTACCACCGCGCGACCTCTCCATGGTGTGGAGGCAGAAATGTCTCGGACTGCGACCTGCCAGAGAGATCGCCCCAAAAAAATGCTGGATGAAGCTTCATTTCATGTGATTTACTGATGATTTAACCAACCAAAATGGTGATTTACTGATGATTTAACCAACCAAAATGGTGATTTACTGATGATTTAACCAACCAAAATTGTGATTTACTGGTGATTTAACCAACCAAAATGGTGATTTACTGGTGATTCAACCAACCAAAATGGTGATTTACTGGTGATTTAACCAACCAAAATGGTGATTTACTGATGATTTAACCAACCAAAATGGTGATTTACTGGTGATTTAACCAACCAAAATGGTGATTTACTGGTGATTTAACCAACCAAAATGGTGATTTACTGATGATTTAACCAACCAAAATGGTGATTTACTGATGATTTAACCAACCAAAATGGTGATTTACTGATGATTTAACCAACCAAAATGGTGATTTACTGGTGATTTAACCAACCAAAATGGTGATTTACTGGTGATTCAACCAACCAAAATGGTGATTTACTGGTGATTCAACCAACCAAAATGGTGATTTACTGGTGATTTAACCAACCAAAATGGTGATTTACTGATGATTTAACCAACCAAAATGGTGATTTACTGATGATTTAACCAACCAAAATGGTGATTTACTGATGATTTAACCAACCAAAATGGTGATTTACTGATGATTCAACCAACCAAAATGGTGATTTACTGGGACCAACCAAAATGGTGATTTACCAACCAAAATGGTGATTTACTGGTGGTGATTTACTGACCAACCAAAATGGTGATTTACTGGTGATTTAACCAACCAAAATGGTGATTTACTGATGATTTAACCAACCAAAATGGTGATTTACTGATGATTTAACCAACCAAAATGGTGATTTACTGATGATTTAACCAACCAAAATGGTGATTTACTGGTGATTTAACCAACCAAAATGGTGATTTACTGGTGATTTAACCAACCAAAATGGTGATTTACTGGTGATTTAACCAACCAAAATGGTGATTTACTGATGATTTAACCAACCAAAATGGTGATTTACTGGTGATTCAACCAACCAAAATGGTGATTTACTGGTGATTGAACCAACCAAAATGGTGATTTACTGATGATTTAACCAACCAAAATGGTGATTTACTGGTGATTTAACCAACCAAAATGGTGATTTACTGGTGATTCAACCAACCAAAATGGTGATTTACTGGTGATTCAACCAACCAAAATGGTGATTTACTGGTGATTCAACCAACCGAAATGGTGATTTACTGGTGATTTAACCAACCGAAATGGTGATTTACTGGTGATTTAACCAACCGAAATGGTGATTTACTGGTGATTTAACCAACCAAAATGGTGATTTACTGGTGATTCAACCAACCAAAATGGTGATTTACTGGTGATTCAACCAACCAAAATGGTGATTTACTGGTGATTTAACCAACCAAAATGGTGATTTACTGGTGATTTAACCAACCAAAATGGTGATTTACTGATGATTTAACCAACCAAAATGGTGATTTACTGGTGATTTAACCAACCAAAATGATGATTTACTGGTGATTTAACCAACCAAAATGGTGATTTACTGATGATTTAACCAACCAAAATGGTGATTTACTGATGATTTAACCAACCAAAATGGTGATTTACTGGTGATTCAACCAACCAAAATGGTGATTTACTGGTGATTTAACCAACCAAAATGGTGATTTACTGATGATTTAACCAACCAAAATGGTGATTTACTGGTGATTTAACCAACCAAAATGGTGATTTACTGGTGATTCAACCAACCAAAATGGTGATTTACTGGTGATTTAACCAACCAAAATGGTGATTTACTGGTGATTTAACCAACCAAAATGGTGATTTACTGATGATTTAACCAACCAAAATGGTGATTTACTGGTGATTTAACCAACCAAAATGGTGATTTACTGGTGATTTAACCAACCAAAATTGTGATTTACTGGTGATTTAACCAACCAAAATGGTGATTTACTGGTGATTTAACCAACCAAACTGGTGATTTACTGGTGGAAGTCCCATCTTTAAAAAACCACATGCCAACTAAGATTGTTCGCTTTTTTTACGCAGCCAATCCAAATCTCCAACCGTGGTGGTTCCGACGGCACCTGCGCATTCCAGACCCTCGCAATCTCCGCCGAACCAGACTTTCCAGTCCTTTAAGCCTGGCGCGTTCGTGCGAAGTTCGTGAAAACTTGGAATTCAGAATCATGATTAATGGTTAATGATATAACTTAATGGGTAATTAACGATATAATAATTAATGATTAACAAAATTCAGAATCATCATTAATTCAATAATGGGTAATTAATGATATAATGGTTAGTGGTAATTAACAATAATGGTAATTAATGGGTAATTAAATGATATAATAATGGTAATTAATGGAATTACTGATAAATAATGGGTAATTAATGATATAATGGTTAATGGTTAATTATTAACCCAAGAATGAACATAGTAATAATGGAAGTTAATTATGAATACTCCATTATTGTTAATCCATGATATATGATTAGTTAATTGTGTTTATCATTTTCAATGGTTAATGGTCAATTAACCCAACAATCATAGTTAGTGAATCATGGATTTCTAGTGGTGTAAACCCAATACATGGTTTATATTGGTGAATTGTGATTAGTAATGGATCATAATGGTGATGAATGATATGAAATGAATGATGACTACAGATGATGAATGAAAACAAGTGGTGAAACCCAACAATAAACCATCCCCAAAATCACGGTAAATGGATGCTATAAACTATCCCCACATGGTAGGTTTTTGATTGGGTTTTCCGCATTGGTGCTTATGTATTAATCACCAGAATGAGTCAAACAAAAAGAACAACACCACGGAAAACATCTAAGGGAATGGCTGGGAACCGCCATGAAAAGATGTTTGGATTTTTTTTTTCTGAAGAGTACTGTAGTCATAGAAGCAAGTCATGATAGAAGTTACCAGGGAGGGACATCATAAAATTCATCAGAACCATTGATAGAGAGGACATGACAGGACTCCACCAGTCGAATGGGATAGCGAGATTGTCATCCCGATTGCTAAAGTGCAGCAGGTGGTGCTGGAGGATTCCTCGATCATAATGTCAGACCATACTCAAATAAATTCAAAGATCTATCTCACATATGCCAGATTATCATCATGAAGAATTAAGACATATCTAGTATTATCTAGATATCCAATGAATCTTTCCTCACATTAAACGCGCTTAAACAAACTTCCAGTAGATCATCATCCACAGCTACCAGGAAGTCCAGCAAATTCCCCCCGCTATTGGGCGGCCTTGGGTCAAGCCCAAGAATTGGAACAACGAATCGGTAAAAAGTTCTGAATCACTGAGATCCTGCCGGAGAATCCACGAGAGAATCGGCCAGCCATAGATCGATCCATGAAATCCATAAAGCAATAGGAACCAATTTGGGTTCTTTTTACTAAACGGTGATGGCCTACCAAACCCAATACGTGTCCAATATATATATATATATGTATAGAGAGAGAGAGAGAGGGTTGTTTATCATTATTTATCCAATACTAAGCTCGGCTATGCAAAAGGTGTATAATCTTGGGCCTGATGAGTTGTGCGATTCAAGATGTTTCTATATATTGGAATCTACTATAGAAGCTAAATAGTACAACAAACCCAAGTTGGATGTTTGGTTTTCATGTCCATATGCTCTGTGTATAGTCTATCTACCTACATTGGAGTCTTGTTTGGGTAAGTCTTGGTATTCCATACATTGGGTAAATTATAATATTTCACTAACATGAATTAAGGCCATTTTGGGATGATTCCCCTTACTAACTATGATTTCCAGTGAGGTCGCAGTGAGGTCGTTATAATTTACCCTGATAGATATGTGAGCCGGTCACACAAATTTTACATCGGCCAATCAATATGGTCCAGGGATTCAGCCACCGATCCCTCATGTCACCCCTACACCAAAATAACCTACGTATGGTTAGGCGCTCTTGGAACTAAGTGCAGCCCAAAACTGGAACGCAAACGGCTTAATTGAATCCTGCCATTGTCAATCTGAAGTAGCCTCCGCTTTCTAAGCTGGTCAAAATCTAGGTACGGTTATATCATGTATGATAGTATGTATATATATATAATCACAGAAATGGGGGTTTCCTGAAATAGGGATGCCCCCAAATCATCCATTTCAATAGGATTTTCCATTGCAAACAATCCAGCTATTGGGGTACCCCCATTCCCCCAATCCGGTCCACATCAGCGGCCGTGAGTTCCGTGGGCCGATTTAAGACCACACCCACGGTGCCCTGGTCATCATGATCCACAATGAGCATGACCACCTGCACTGGCAGTGTCTGAAAAGGAGGATATCATGGGGATACATGGGATAATATATATATATGTATATATATATATAATATGATATATCATGTAAAAAATAAAACAAATGTAATCTAGGATGTATACATATAATATGTAATATATGATATATAGCATATACTATATAATATAAAATATAATATATAATATACGTGTATATATATACACTACTTTACATGATATACCATATATGAGTATAATATAAAATATTATAATGTAATATAATATAATACACTATATTAAAATATATAACCTATTATAGTATAAACTATTATAATACAAAATATTACAATATAAAACATATTATGATGTAAAATAATATAAAATAAAATATTATGTTATATTATACTATGTTATATTCAATTATATCATATTATATTATACTATATTATATTTTAATATATCATACTATATCATATTCAATTATATCATATTATATCATATTATATCATATTATATCATATTATATCATATATTATATCATATTATATTACATCATATTATATTCAGTTATATCATATTATATCATAGTTTATTATATTATACTATATTATATTCAATCATATCATATTATATCATATCATATCAAATTATATCATATCAAATTATATTATATTATATATATCATATATATATATATGCCGCATATAAATATGTATATTGGAGAAATCTATGATCATATGTATATATATACTATTATATGAATACAAACTATAAGAATATGACATATCAGTGGCTTACACCAGCACAAATAGTGATTGAACAAATTATCAAATGGAATAGTGATCTAACAAGGATTACCCTCTGGTAAACATACAAAAAGCTATGGAAAATGGCCATAGAAATAGTTGATTTTCCCATTAAACATGGTGATTTTCCATTTATAGTTGATTTTCCCATTAAAAATGGTGATTTTCCATTTATAGTTGATTTTCCCATTAAACATGGTGATTTTCCATTTATAGTTGATTTTCCCATTAAACATGGTGATTTTCCATTTATAGTTGATTTTCCCATTAAACATGGTGATTTTCCATTTATAGTTGATTTTCCCATTAAAAATGGTGATTTTCCATAGCTATGTAAACGTTTACCAGAGGGTACTCGGTGGATATAGTGACCGATTTCACCACGGACAACTACAGGCATCAACAATGCGGATTCAGACAGCATCAATTTTATGTCAAGACAGCATCGATTGACAATCAAACCTGGGGTGGTTAAGAATGGTTTATATATGGTTATTATATGATTAATGATGGTTAATATATGGTTAATGTATGGTTATTATATGGAAACCAACCATAAACATCCATAAAGGAATGGATCAATGGTGGATTAATGGTGGTTAAATGGTGGATTATTTGGATTAACTGGATATAGTATGATGTCATAATTACTGGTTGGTGGTTTTAACCATCTTGAAACATATTAGTCAAGGGGAAGGATGACATCCCATATATGAAATGGAAAATAATCCAAATGTTCCAAACCACCAAAATTAAGTTCTTTGCTGGTTAGTATATAGATATTCCCATTGACACCAAAAGACTAAAGGATTAAAGTATCCATCTAAGATTGCCCTAGTTTTATATAACCATTCGAAATTCGAAATTTTTCCATTCAGATCCTGCAAACAAGTGGCTGGAGGATCTGACATGTGAACAAACTTCATCATGTTAACCAAAATGGTTCGAAGGGGCCGTTTTTAATCAGCACAGATTGGCTGTGGAAAACACAAGTGAACACACCTCAGTCAGTCCATGTCAGTTCCCATATGAATTTCTGAATTCACCATTATGTCCCCATGTTTGTGGTTCAGAACTTGCATCTGCTGGTGCAAGCCACAATTCTGTGTGTTCCAGGGAGCCAGCAAACGAGTCATTCTCGCCATTTGTAGTACCTTCTGATAATCGTTAAGTTAATATCCATTAATTATGGTAGATAATGGGATGAATATGAATTACCTTTTGATAATGCAACATAGAAATAGATAATTTACCATAATTTACCTTCTCATAATGGTGTGGAAGCCATGGCCCATAGAAATAGATCATTTACCATTAGATTTACCACACGCATCAAAGGAAAGTCTTCACGTGCCTCCTGGGACATGTCTGTAGAAATCGAGTCAGTTAAGATAAGGATAAGCCCTGTGGAAATTCTCATCTGGTTGGTGGTTTTTCGCCACCTACCCATCTGAAAAATGATGGAGTTAAAGTCAGTTGGGATGATGACATTCCCAACTGAATGGAAAAATAAAAGCCATGTTCCAAACCACCAACCAGTCATGGAAACATGATTGAACAGGTCCAGACAATTCCATTTCTTCGGTAAGGTGGTGTAACTCGAGAAACATCAAGTAAAAATACTGGCTCCCTATCTTCGGAAAGCTTACTTGAGGCACCAGAGTATGACACACGTTTATTCAAGCTTATTGTATAGCCATGTATATATACCCCAACAACTGTTCATTTCAATTCCATCTGCATTTGAGAATATGCCAATACTAAATCAATATAACCTCGAAAAAAAGGAAATCTAGGTCGGGCACGCAAACACGTTTCAAGGCTTTGAAAGCTGGATACTGGCCTGACAAATCCCTCCATGGTGTGCATTGCAACTACACCCAATGTACTGGTTTCCAGAATTGGGTGAAAAGGAATTGTGATCCTCGAGCGCAAACCGCCCGAACACATCGAACGAGGCGTCGAAGAGTTTCGCCACACTGTCGAAGCGCCCAGCTCGATGATCTCTGAGCATCTCACTATGTAGGAATAACGCTCCTGAGGGAAGGTGTTCCAAGTTTTGATATTAACAATGGTGATTTTCGGTAGTTATAAGAAATTAGCAGAAGCTAATATTCCGAAACAGCTTGACGCTAATTGCATCTAGTTGCTAAGGTAACAAAATTGAATCAATGACAAAAAATCTAACAATGCGGTAGAAAATGCTCTTCTACAGGGGGCATTAATCCACCCGATTTCCTAGAGGAATCTAGTACCAGGTCCATTTTTCCGGCTCAGATTGGGAGAAGTCACACAAGTGACATGCTTCACAAGTGGAGTGTTTGGATATTGGCTTGAGATCAATGCTGATTTGGGGATGATTTCTGGATGATTTCTGGGAGTATTTCAATACTTATTGAACCCAGTTTTTTCAAGGACTTTTTTTCTCATTCTCTTTGGCAAACCATGCCCCTTTTTGCTGGTTATATCATGTTAAACATCCCCATGAATCTGGCTGGAACTGGGTGCAGTTCAACTAAGAAGTGGTAACCTCCCCATCTATGTCCGTTCACAACCAGGTTTATGGAGAGTTTAGTATGCATTCGTAACCATTGGTATCCCCACAGAATGGGGCCCCATAGTTAGCGTTCAGTTGGTAACTATAATAACAGTTAGTGTATGATACTTATAATTATATTTAGACGGGGTTATAAACCAACTTAGAACTGGGGGGCTCTCGGCACCTTGGCAAAGTACTGACGCCGCAGTGCCCAGTAGTCTCCTGCAAGCAGCGATGGATGCCACGATTCGACGATGCCAAAACAGGTAAGGCCAGTGATGCAAAAACCATGGAAAAACAGGAAGGAACATAGGGATTTAAACCATTTAAACCACCAACCAACTGGATTTCAAACTGGATTTTCTGGTCATTTTATGACTCAAAATCACCATTTCACTAGGCGTTTTGAAAAAGGTGACCTATATCTGTTAGATGGGCCTCACAGGATGATTTACGGTTTATGGCATTGGATTTACCGCATGAGTTCAAGGATCTATGAACTATCCATGAATTATCAATTCATCAACCATCATTCTTGTTGATGATTCAAGGTTCAACATTGATTATCATTAGATTCCATCATTTTTTTTACGATTAAGATCATTGATCCCATTACAGTCTCATGATTCGTCGACGCTTTCATGCCCTGATGAAATTATGTGAAAATTATTATACGTTTTCCGGCTCCTTGTGCATATATATATATATATCTGTGAGATATGCCTATTGCATGTGTATATACACATTTTTATTTGTATAGATTATCTGTATCTATTCTTTTTTGTTCACACCACAGGGCAACGCACATATTCTGAACGGAGCTTGATGTCCTGGCACTGAAAGAAGAACTGAGCCTTGTTCCAGCAAATCCTCAGCCATTTGCAGAGTGAAGTCTCAAACAACCGATGGACGTACCAAAATGCGCACGGCACATGCAGAAAACTGACATATACATTTTATATATGTTACGTATATATATATATATACACCCTCTGATTCACCCATGAACAATGGGGATTTTCCGTTTTTTTTTGTAAACGTTTACCAGAGGGGATATAGATAGAGATATAGATAGAGATATAGATATGGATATCTGGTTGGTGGTGCGATAACCATCTTGAAAAATATGAGTTCGTCAATGGGAAGGATGATCCGATATCTGAAATGGAAAAATAAAATTCATGTTTGAAACCACCAACCAGATATAGATATATAGATATATAGATATATGGATATATAGATATATATATAGATATGGATATGGATATGTATCATTGATGATCTTTCTGGCTCACCGGATTGAAAAGAAACCTGTGGGTGTGTTGGGCCTGGTCCAAATGTGTCTGGGTCACTTAGAGCTAAGATGTCCTGTGGTGTCCTGTGGGTATGTCGGCTATTTATGTAACAGTGTGCTATGGAACATGGATGAACATGGCCCACTTTGCAGATGATTTACCTATACAAAAATGGAGATGTTCGTAGCAAACTGCTATATAACATAGATAACCAGAGGGTATAGCTATACAACTGGAAGCCATTTGCAATCCTCATTTCGAGAGTGGAAGCTCCCTCTCAAGGATCAACCCATCCAACATATTGCAAAATCAAGTGTTGATCGTGTTCAGTGCTGCTATTAATGCCCAAGAATATAACACATAATGATTGGACAAAAAAACACAACAATTCTATGCTTTGCAAAAAATAATTTGATATCAGAGCTGAAGCCTCAAACAAGTATTGTAATTCAGTCAAGCACCTGGCACAGAAGACTCAAACGGATATGGAAAACCTTTCATTTGTAGATCATTTTGCCAGGTAAACGTTTCTTTATCTGGTTGGTGGTTTCAACCCCACTGAAAAATATTAGTTGGTTGGGATTATTATTCCCAATATATGGAAAAAAACATGTTCCAAACCACCAACCAGTTATGATTTTTTCCAAGTGAGCTTGCCTCGTAGATCCCAACTTCCGGACCCACCCTCTCCCCTCCACCGTGAACGGAGCATCGGTGGAATAGGCCCAGCCGTCCGTTTTCGGGCCCTCCGGAGCACTGCCATCACTGCTGGTGGTGCTTCGAGAACCTGCGGGAGACTTGGAAGGTGGGCTGGCAGCTCAAATGGATCAAAACCATAATAAACCATGCCCCAAATCACCAGAAATAGCTGGTATAAACAATTCTCAAATGGGTGGTTTATTGTTTTACCCACATTAAACCAAGGGTTTTCAACGTTAGAGTTTCTTGCAGATACTTATTTCTAGGATTTCAATCAAAGGGAACGCCATATCGATGGCTATACCCAGATCCAACCTTTTTTTCACCAGATTGCTGGCTTCCATCTTAAACTTAATCGGTGCAAAAAGGAACATGTGCAGGAAACCATGTTTTTGGGCCTAAAATGGCCTACCATCTGCTTATTTAATATATAGCTGTAGAACATGGCCTGCTTAAGCTTATAGACTATTTTTGATGATTTATACCTAAAATAACATGGTGATTTTCCATTACACATTGAATGACCAGAGGCTAAATCTATCGGTTTCCATCGTCCCATTCTCGGATGATGAAGGTGGGTTCAATCCGTCACAAACATAGTCATTGCTCCTTTCATGATTCTCCATTGAAACCCCGTAAAAAAAAAACTCTGGTGGAACTCAACGATGAGTTTTAAGTCTGTGCAAAAAATCATGTGTGATTCAAAGAAAACCCATGGATTAGGAGAGTTCGGATTTGCTTGAGGAACCTCCAAAAGTATTTTTTTTATGCATTCCATGAACACCTAAAACTAATCATCATCTTCAGTAAATCCAAAATATATTTAAAACGTATATAGTTTATTTCCATTGATTATAAATATTCAGTTTATCCATATATAATAAATCTAATATTCAGTTTATCCATTGATTTTCCCTTAATATTTATTCCATTTCAATTTCCATGTGATATCATTCGATTATCCCATACACATTCCATGAAAATTATTAATCATCCAATGGTAACTGGGTATACCATTCTTATACATTTTTTTTTTAAATGGCTATCCATATATATTCCATTCATGGTTAATAGAAATTGGTTGCCATTAATTGGTTATCCAACAACCAATAGTAATTGGTTAACCATATCATTATACCATTAATTGGTTATAACATGTTATAACATAACTATGGAAAATCAAAACTTTTAATAGGTAAATCAACCATTTCTATGACCATGTTCCATAGCTATGTTAGTTTACTGGAGGGTACATCTATAAAAATGAGTGATATTAGGGATGATATGGTAAATCAACCATTTCCATGGCCATTTTCAATAGCTTTTTGTATGTTTACCAGAGGCTATATCCCATTAATATCCCATTGAATCACTATAAAATCCCATTAAACCACTTTAAATCCCATTAAACAAATTAATACAAATTACCATAGGTTATTGCTAAAAGCCTGGCTTCAGCTCCACACCTTGCACCAGTCTCGCGCGGAAGTCGCGCCAGTCGCGCAAACTCTCGGACCGCCGACGAACGAGACGCTGCAAGGAGCGCGGCGTCACCTGCTGGAGAAAAATCTCCGACAGCGCGACGCGGTTATAAACCCATTGGGGTTTTGGTGATAAACCCATGGGGTTTTTTGAAAACATGTCATTTTATTGGATTTAACGGGATCTAACCCACAATTTCATGGGAATTTGATGGACGAACCAACAATTCACGCGATATCATGGCTCTGTTGACCAATAAAACTGGTGATCGATCGCTGGTGGGTGGTTTGAACATGAAATAGAGCATTGGTACCTGACAGTTGGTAGCAAAACCCCGAATCCCAGAATTTTCGTTGATTGATCATCATTTCCCTTTGAGATGGCTACTATTTGGGGGTTCTCATTCTGAAATCGAGGAATGGACCCTGTGCAAACATGAAAAGGCCATAAATTTATGGTAAAACACAATGTTCAGACACACCCGAATGGCTTCACTGGGTGGGGTTCAGAAGTTGGTAATATTTTTTTTTGCCATTCTTAGACAGCAAATCATGAGATGGTTCGTATAAAACAACAGATTACACAGTATCAACCCATGTAAGACACGACTAAGATTGACGTATCAATGCTGTATTGAAGAAATCATTTAAAACCCATCGAAGATTGACCCACCAATGACTTCTGCGACATCACCAAGGCACTTGACGTCCCACGAAGGCATTGAGACTCCCAAGACAGACGAGCCTCGGCACGATGCCACTTAAGGTACAGAAGCTGTTTGACCAACACAACTAATTAGACTGCAAAGATCTGCAAAGTTGGGATTTACATAGCTTTGAAAAGTAACAAACAATGACCAAACAACTAGTAAGCCAACACAAAAACATGTGATTTTTGCCCAGCTATGCGAGTGTGAGTATAGGAAACATGGTGGGTTTTTATACCAACTGAAGTGACTGCCAACGCTCACATGGCGACGAAGCGACCTTCCGGTGACTGGTAACTAGTTGGTGATGGGCCCTGTGACTACAACATAACAGCAGGGATCTTTAAGCAAACAAGCAAAAGTCTTTTTTAAATAACCACCAGAAAAGGTGATGACTGGTTGGTGGTTTGAACCCTACCCCTCTGAAAAATGATGGACTTCGTCAGTTGGGATGATGAAATTCCCAATATGATGGGAAAATAATCCAGTTTTAATAGGTAAACCATCTATTTCTATGGGCCATCTATACCATGGCTATGTTAGTCATAACCAGAGGGTAAAATTCCATGGTTCCAGTCACCAACCAGATCCATCCAAGAAGACCCCATCGCTCCTGCCAACGTCACCATCCCCAAGAACACACTGGGACCATTCCCAAAGCTGGGGTGTTAATCTTAGTTCCTCTTCAGGTATTCCATCTTACCCAATCATTGAGAACCTTGCCAGTCCGATGGATCCAGTAAACTTATTTTGGAATGATGTTTCCTGGTTGGTTGGGATGATGAAATTCCCAATATATGGAAACAAAATGTTCCAAACCACCAACCAGTTTCTATATATAATCCTTCAATCACTCCTATTCTGGTTTGCAACTGGAACTGTTTCACTGATGAAATGAAGGACGGGCCGGGTTTGGCACACAAGAAGTGGAGATAGCCAGCACAAAACAAATGGTCGTTTCTTGTGGGGAAAAAAAACATGATGATAACCGAGATCAGGATGGATTTGGGGTTCCAATCTTTGAGAAACAACTGCGGATGTCTCCTGCCTTGCTCGAAACTCGAAACCCATAGATGCCAACAACTAGAATTCAACAATCGTAGCCCGGAAACGGATTGAACCGGATTGACAAGGTACCTCTGGTGTGACCCACATCCTTGGGCTCCCCACAGGGCAGCCACTGCAAAACATCGCCGCGGAAATGCGTTCCGGGAGGGCCGGGCGTCCATGGCGTAGCCAGGTGATCAAGCTCTATGGCGTTCTGGTGGTACCATGTTGCGTACACCTGGAATATAGTCCCTTCCCCACGAATAATACTATAATTAATCCTAATACTGAATACCTCCTTAGAAACCCTGGTTTTTTCAACGTTTAGTACTGGATCTTCCATCATTTTCGGGGGTTTATCATGGGTGATATGTAGGGGATGGGATTACTGTGATGCCGGCCTCATTGCTTCACTCGGCTGTCGTGTGTTCGAATCTTCACCATGCTACACATGTTGCCTACACATGCTACAAAGCTTCGGCGATGCGCGATTGATACCCAAACATCAGCACTTGGCATGTAACTTATGTTTTGTTTTAATATTTGTTTACTGTCATGGTCCCAAACGTTAGTAACTAGTTTCTGTGTAACTGAGGTATAACTTACTTATCGCCTTACATCCTCAAGCAATTGCAATCCGAGAAATGCCCCGGCAACTTGGAGAAATCCCAGGTCTCTCCCGGACGATCCCTAGTACTTTCATTGCATTTTTGCTGAGGGACTAGCTGCAAACATATGAACGCTGGTGGCAACAGTAGGCAAAGTTCCATGCCAATTCATTCGGTTTTCACACTTATATAATATCCCGTTGAGATCCATTCCCTATTGGTTAAATCACCATGAATTTGTTTGTTTACATCCCATGAAATAACCTCACAGTAGTTAATTTATCCCAAGCACTAAGCTATCCATCATTAATCTCCCAAAAGCATCCAAAAAAAACATATTAACCCATTAATGATAGTCCAATTATGCTTATAGATATTCATGGATTTTCATGATTATCGTGAGCGGTTCACCAGTGTTTACATTCCATCAATATTCATGATGTTTCAATCCTCCTCAAAAAAATATCTCATCGAAAGTTGACCAAGATTTTTTTCGGTGGTGCCCCCCAGTTCCATTCGTTCGTAAAAACTGTATAAACCCCATCAACTGTATTCTCTCTCATAAAGCCTGAGTAAACAAGTGGACTAGACTCTAGACCAATGTCCCTCATATCAATCTCCCTCACATCAATCTCATAAATCAGCTATATCAACTATAAATCCCCCATGTTTCATGGTGAAACCCCATTTTTTCATGGTTAAAACATGGTTAAATCCACACGTTTCACGGTGAACACCCCCCACGTCATCGCGGGCCTTAGCCCCACGCGCGCGAGGAACGTGCGTCGCACGCCAGCGGCTCGGGCGCAGAGCTGTCCGTTGCCAATCTCGGTGTCCGGGCCAGGGGGTTCCAAAGGGTTGCATCTATCTATATTAATTGCGTCGATTTATCATTGAATATATATATATAATTATATATATATATATACATATGTTGGATATATACTATGATAAAGATGTCATACATTCAATAGACATATATATATATGTATATACATACACTATATACATATATACATATATACATATACATATATGCTAGATATTTATATACATATATACATATATACATATACATATATGCTAGATATTTACTATTATAAAAATATGATACATTCAATAGATGTATATATATATATACGTACAGAAATGGAACGCTTCTACAATTGCATTCCCATGTGTGTTTACATAATATCGTGTAACGTATGTATATATATATATACACATATGTAGAATTATATGTCTATGGCCGGCCCTGCGCCAGAACTTAGCTTTGTCATATTTGATGACCAAGATATATTTATGGCTACCATATTCTTACTTCCAGAAATCCCCATATATATTGCTACATACAAAGCTACATATACATGTATATATATATAACTATATATAATTAGTATATATAGACACCAACCCCCCGAAAAGATAGAAAAGTGTCTCCAAAATGGTATAGATGATGTTTCCACTATCTGTTTCATTTCCAACTTTTCTATCTTTTTTGGGGGTTGCATGGGGTTGCAAAAAAACAAATATATATATATATATGGGTAAATTATAATATTTCACTAACCTGAATTAAGGCCATTTGGGGATGATTCCCCTTACTAACCATGATTCCAGTGAGGTCGCAGTGAGGTCGTTATAATTTACCCAGATATATATATATACAAATATATATATATATACAAAAAACAATATATATATATATATAATGCTGGAATCCATCCTCCCTCATGACATTCATCGCGAGTGTCGATGCGATGTCCAACTTCCTCCGCCAGGAAGCGCCGGACCTCTGACGTCCAGGCTGAAGTTGTGGAATACGTTGCAATTTTATACCAACCTCACAAGAATTTAGGAAAGTCCCCACGGAAATAGTGGCAACATTACCTTACATATACACATACAATATATATATATGTTGCTTTAATATATGCTCTGACAAGGACCATGATGATCAATTCTGGGATTTTGTTTTCGGGGTGCCGCTGCGTTGTTCAAGGGATACTTGCGACTGATGTTGAGCAATGAAGTCGAGCCTGCAGTCATCACACATATGAAAAAACTTATATATGCTCAACCACTAGTAACCCGAAAACGGAAACACATGGACTTACAAACCCGGCTTTGCTGGATCAGCTACCCATGTTCAAAACCCATACGTATACATTGGAATAAATTGGAAGGAGTCAATTATGGTCAAAACTTACAGTAATGTGGTAAACCCAATGTCACAAACAATACCCAAGTCATCACCACCTTTATGGGTTGGATTTCATCCATCCCCAGTCATTGTATATAGTTGTTTATGGCATCGGGTTGCCAACACTACCATAACATCGTTGGGAGATGATGAACATCTACACTGCCCGGACTGGCCTCCTTCTCACTCACCCCAGCAGGCAACTCACCCTGCAAACTCGGGGCAGCCCAGTTTGAAAAATGTGGGTAACCAAGCTGCAAGAATGTATAAGCAACAAACACATGGGTGTGTCTGAAAATAGTGTACCCCTAAACCCAATGGTTAATGATCATTATCCCTATTAAATGGCTATAATTGGGAATATACCCTATTTTCAGACAAACCCACATGGGGTAAAGCATGGATTTTTAGACACCAAGAGATTGCAGCTCATGGCAACTCATGGTGATTCCATAGTCTTGGGGAGAAACGCCAAAACAGACCTACGTCGTGCCATGGGTCAAAACTGAACTGGCAACCCACTGGCCTTGAAATCTCTAATACTTAGCATCCTCTTTTGAGGCGTGCAAGTTTCACCCATACACATTGCCATTGCATAGGTTCGTGTTAACTAGACCAGGTCGCAAATAGGAAACCACTGAAATTCAACGATAGGCAACCAATTATCCCGCCTTACCTCCTTTTTGTATCTTTTTGTTGTGCCATCATCATTGATTCATACCCCCATTGGGGATGGGTCAAGAGTCAAGAATTGTTGTACACCGTTGCTGATTGCATCCTGTCCTCAAGCAATTGGCAAAAAAAATATTTATTTATTTAATTTAACAAACACATGACCCATCAATGCCATTTGGGTTCTTATATGTACATATATATATATATATACAATATATATATATATATGTGTCTATGTATATGTTTATATAATTATATATATATATATATATATGTCTGTATATCTTTATGTATATGTATATATATATATAAAGATATGTCTATATATCTTTATATATATATATATGTATACATATATGTATATATATATATATGTACATATATATATATATACATATATATATATATATATAGATGTATGTATATATACAAATACTTTTTAACCTTAAACCTTTGGATTCCAGCAATCTTCTTCGCTAACGCTTTCGCCTCCAAGAGGCTCAGCCTGCCCAGGTGCAACCCCTCAGAGGCGTCCAACACCCGAAGGCTCCGCAGGGGTCCTCCCATGGGCCCCGCGGGGCCCCGTGGGGCCCCGTGGGAGGTGGGGAACTGCTGGGTTTATCTCGATGTATACACTCTGGTTATTTAACATAGCCATGGAAAATGGCCCATTTATAGATGATTTTCCCATTAAAACCTCCATTTATAAGGGATTTTCCATGGCTATGTTAAATAACCAGAGGGTAATGGTTTAACATGGTTTAAGAAAGAACAATAAGTGGATTTATCGTGGATAAGTATGGTTCATGATAGATACAACTATAGTTTGATGGGGTGAAACCAAACTAACTTATAAGCAGAGTTGGTTCACCTTTTAACTGGTTTCAACTGACCGTTTTTGATGGTCCACTCACCAGGTTTGATGGGCCAAAAACCCTGAAATTCAGGATTCTTGATGGTTGACAGTTGACTCATCCATGTTTTTCTTGCGAAATCCTTCAAACTCACCTTGAAACACCCCTCCCATCTCCTTGTTCTGCTTTCCTCAACTCCTCCTGGCGAATCACCGGACCAAATACACAAAATAAACCTCCGTACGTTATACTAGTATACGTACGTTTAAAGGTATGTAGAAAAAGTCACATATCCATGAGGGTACATGTGGATGTGTGTACATATGTGTGTATATATATATATATATTATAATTATTATATATATATGTATGTATGTCATGTATGTATGTAAATTATATATATATGTACGTCACGTCTACATATAAATAAATATATACATTGTATATTGTACAAACGGATGTCTCTGAACATGGGCGTTCCTAAATAACATATGTTTTGATGATGAATATGATGGTTGAACTGTGCATGTGGGGCCAACCCATATGCACTTATAGATTGATAGATAGATAGATCGATCGATAGATAGATCGATCGATAGATAGATAGATAGCGGGGATGATTGCTATGGCGACCCAACTTCGGGACTGTGATAATCTCAAACCATAGCCATCTTCGAAATGGATCAAACTTGCTGCAAATGACTTCTATTGTTTTTTCTTTGTTTGCTTGCACTTTCTGTCTTGGGTCAGAATGTTGCATGCCTCCAAAACCTAGATATCAAATGTCTCACATGCTTGTCCGAGTGTCGTTTATTGTTGAGACAATCCACAGCTAAAAACCC